TATCCATCAACAGACTCAAAATATTCACCAACCGATAAGAAATATTCATCAACAGAATGTGACAATTGTTTTTAAAATGTCTGATGTGTAATCTTACATTTATGTAGACACATTTATGGTTGTTCACAGCACTTCTGGACTTCGTCTAGAACTAGAGATTTGAGAGCACATACTTTTTACAGATCTGGTTTATTTGCATGCAGACTGTTGGTTCCTTGTTCTCAATACACTGCTGAAACCAATGCCAGGCAGTCTGCTGCAAAACTGGTTGAAGCTGAGACCAAATCTGGCACCTTAAAATTTTGAAGCATGTTCGCCTGAGCTACAGGTGTCGTCAATTGTCAAATACACTGACATATAAAGAATTTTCTTTTCTCTTTAACAATTAATACAAATTTAAAAAATGAAAGTCAGTGGCTATCATCTATTCCTCAACAATCTGCAAGTAAAAGTGAATCAACATACAAGATATTAATTTAAGCCTGTCCGAACTGCTTTACTAAAATACTTTATGTGTCATCTTTACAATGAAAACTGACTTCACAGCAGCCATTGATGTGTTTGGGAATATTCCTTGGTGAGGACCCAGACTCTTCTATAGTGTGATTTTTATACTACACAGCCTTAAAATCGTGAAAACACTTTTTTCTATCTTTTACTTTCCACTGCTGAAACTGAACCCTAGTACTCAAGGAAATGGTAGAATCACTAATGTAGAGCTGAAGAAGAGAACTAAACAAGTTCCAGTGGACTATGAGGTGAATAAAAGAGGTTGGTGTCGGATAGGATACATGATGAGAAAACCTTAGAACAATATAAATAGAATGTCTTTGCACTGGAACCCGCATGGGCATAGAAATAAAGGAAGACAAAAAAAAAAAAGAAAACTAGAGGGTGAAGTTGAAAAGATGGGGACATGGGGAGAGCTGTAGGCATCAGTAAGGATAGAACAACTTGGTGTGAGTTGATTGAGGGCCTATGCTCCACTGGGGGTTAGAAAGGCAGAAGAAGCAGACTCAAGGAATGCAAAATTGTAAACACATTCACTAGCCTCTAAGATTGCAACCATTTGAAAGGTATATTAGCAGGTGTGGCAGAATCAAACAAAGAAAACTGTTAAGGAGAAAGCATACACTTGGAACAAAGTTCATAAACATGTTCTACTGCTTGACAAGACTGAGTACCATCTGTAAACAAAGGCTTGAAAAAAGACTTGCAATTTAAAATTTGTGTTTTATTGCATACTCCCTATTTTTCTGCAAGGCTCAAAGCAGAGGTACAATGATCCACATAATACATTACTTCCAAAAGAAATGCATACCATAGTCTCTGTTATACAATGGATGGTTTAAACCCTACCTTCACGTATTGGTCAGAACTATTTTTATTTCCCAGTGCGGTGGGATGCAGGTATGCATATCTGCGGCAACTTCTTTTCTTGAGTCCAGGTGCAAATCTTCTTTAATTCTGTTACATTTGCTAATTAATTTTTAAATATTTTTAACAAAGCCATCCAATTTTTTGTTGTTGTTGTTGTTGTTGCTGTTATCATGCCTTGAACACATAAGACAACACAAATGAAAGTAATTTTTTAAAACTTGCCAAACATTATGTTCAGCACATATTTGTACATATCTTGAGCAATTTCCGTACCAAAATACAATAATACTAGAGCAGTGGTTCTCAACTTTCCTAATGTGGCAACCCTTTAACACAGTTTCTCTTGTTGCTACTTCATAACTTCAGTGAATATGTTTTCCTATGGTCATAGGTGAACCCTGTGAAAGGGTCATGATCCACAGGTTGAGAACCACTGTACTAGAGTATTAAAAATAGCATTTTAAAAAAACACAAGACGTTTTCTATCCTCAGTTTGTTATTTCCATTACACATTGATACCCAGTTAATTCTTTTTCTTTCAAGTAAGAAACTCACCATATGTTTGCTTACTCTATACAAGATAACACTTTTCATAACATAACTGATCCCACTGAGCTGTTGTATAACCCATTTATGGAAGCAGGCATATGGTGTTAGACCAATATTTGTAAAGACTCCAGTTAATATGCTGAAGATAACATGACAAGATAAAATGCAAGTGCTTTTATGGGATAGTATGACAACTGTCCACACAAATTTCCATCAAAGACATTCTGACTGCAGGCAAGCATCAGGCCATTGTGACACCAGGGCTTCTTCTTTTTACAGCCTCTACCATATGACACTGGTATTCATGTCTATCCACAGCCTTCTGTTTTGTTTACTTTCAATCAATTCTAAAACAGATGATATTCCATGCCATGATGTCAAACTGTCCAGCATCTTCTTTCTCTGTCTCCCTCTGCCTTGTTTCCCCTGCAGCTTTCCTACTATCACAATGTACTCCGGTTTTTGCTTTCTCATGACATGAGCAAAGAACATCTCATCAAGGCAAAGAAAATGGCTACCATCATATATCACCTGTGGCAATTTTTACCAATAGGTAGGTGAGCTCATTTTGACCCCAAAAACGAATATAAGTGACAAAGAATATTAGAGACATTGTGGATGCCTCAAAGAAAGATTCTAGTAACTTTGAAAACTGGAAGAACAATGACAGTCACTCTGCCTGGCATAGCAAATCTCTGCTAGTGAGGTAACACTTCTTCTTCTTCTTCATTCCGAGCCCTTGAGGTCAATTGCTGCAGATATCACCCGCCTCGATATATCTGTTTCATTGGCCTTCTCTTTCCAGCTAGGAACACTAGGTCTTTGCAGATCTCTCTAGACATTATCTCTCCATCGTCTTTCTGGTCTGCCTCATGGTCTATGACCATTCATCTCCCTTGTGTATACAGCTTTTGCCTCTCTGTCATCTGACATTCTCTCATTATGCTGGGGCATTTCAACCTATTAGCTCTCATGATGCCAATGATCAATGGTGATCTAAACAAATTATGAATTTCGTTGTTGCTTCTCATTCTCCATTCCCCGCTGTTTACATCTTTGGTAGGTCCTAAGATTCATCATACAACTCTGTTTTCAAAAACCTGTAATAAGCCTTCATCTCTTTTAGTTGTGCTCCAAGTTTCAGAGCCATATAAAATGAATGGTCTTGTCAACATTTTATATATTTTGATCTTGGTGTTGCGAGATAGAGACTTTGACTTTAGCAGATGTTGAGGTAACAACGGAGTAGTAAAACCTGAGGAGGATGCATATATCGGGAGTGTGGCTGTAAATATCTTGTAGAGCCAAAAATTACCAAGGAGAGGCAGTATGAAAAAAGTTATGAAGCTTTGACATGCAAAACACGAATACTCTTCCATAGCAACATACCTGCATAAATGCCACTTCTTGCCAAATACCTACATATTTGCCACTTCTTGCCAATTTTTGGCAAGGCTAGAAATGGCCTTTATTTTAAAAAAAAAAACAGCCACTCTACTATCCAAATTTGGCTTTACTTGTATCCAAAGTTTAAACAACCCCATTAAAGTTAGCAAGTTTTAGAATATAGAAAAAATTTTGAAAAATTCACTATGGGACACACATCCTATCACAAAAAACAATTTCTAGGATGCATTAAAAACTAAACAAACAAAAATACTGGAACAAGTGCATCAACAGTGGAGGGAACTAATATGAAGTAGTCTAATGAAATTGTAGGCAGAGTGAAAACAAATTTTTTCAAAGTTAAAAAAAAAAAAAAACTAAAAAAACTCATGCTGGTAAGATGAGAAAGAATGCTGCAGATTAGCAGGAGACTCACTGCAGCTGTACGCTGATGCGAAAACAGTAGCTAGTTTGAGCACCTCAAAAACTTGTAACTAGTTTAACATAGATTCAGTACAATCTGATGTAGCAGATTTTGATATTTTAGGACAGAACTGCAGCTGGCTGTGGTATACTAAGAGTTAATATCTTCAAGCAGCAATCTTTTACAGAAAGTTGCTCTTGTCACAGCACACCAGACAATCTCTCTTTCTCTAGCCAATTCTCCAACCCTGCGTGCTTTCACAGCCAATGCATATCCAATACCCTGTATCCATCTTCATAGAGGTTTGCCTCTGCCAGATTTTCTGGAAACTGTACCCTCCACACTGTTAATACTAACTGCTTACAACATGATTTACAAACAATAGTTAATTACCTTGAAAGTTAATTACACACTTGTCATAACAATTAATTGTTAATTACATTCAAAGTTATTTATAATTACATGATGACAATTATGAACAGTTAATTACACTGACAGTTAATTATGAATACAATTAATAATTAAATACCTTGAAGGTTTATTAGGCTCACAATATAATAACAACTAATAGTTATTTACCTTCAAAATTAATTAAACTTACAAAATAATAACAATTAACAGCTATTTACTTTCAAAGTTAAATTTAGAAAAATGAATACAAGATACACAAAACAGGATATGTACTCAAGAACAGGACAGTTTGCCATTTAAAATATATTACAGATTTACTTGTGCAAAATGCAAAATAGAACATGAGAAGATTTGAAACAAAATATAATAATTGCAGTAATATATTATTACCATCTGAACTAGGCACATGATGTAAGACACTGAATTGTGTTAATAATTTGCCCTTTAACCAGTCCAAAATAAGCAGTGAAAGGCAAGAGAATCTGCTTCATTGCACTGGGTTTTATGTCTTATAGCTTAGTCTCTCTCACTCTCTGTAGAATGGCTGGTTGTTCGCCAAGAGTGCTGGACATAGTAGTTTCACTGAACAGAAACCACTGAAGCCTGTGTCAAATGCTACATGAAGCATACTACAGTAGTTTGTGGTGTGTGGCAGCCTGCGTGCTACTGAAACAGTTAGCGTCTACACCTTAAGACATTTGCTTAAGGAGGCATCACCAAAGAAACTGTAGCTTCATTAACAGCACCACAGGGAATGCTGAAACCAGGCAATGGACTCAGGAACTAAACCCACAACCTTCAGAGTACAAGATAAATGGCTTTACAGCTTGGCCACAAAGACCAGTGAAGACTACACAACCATGGAGTTCCAGCAGTGCCAGCAGCAGACATTGACAAAATCCTCCACATGAGTCAGCAGGCTGTACAAGGGTAAGTTTGGCTTGTCGGGGGAATGCTTGAACTCATCTGCCACCGGCTCCTTCATCACCACACACATGTCCTGTAATGTAAATGCAGTTAAAAAGTCAAGTACACTCATAGGGTCTTAAGGCACACCAGGAATATGGTTAAAGGACAAGTAAAAGATAATTACCATACCTTAACTCTTTGAGTCCCAGGGGGTTTAGCATCACAGGCCCAGGGGGTAGTAAAGAAAGTAATAAAATTGGTGCATCATGCGTTCATTGGGCTTCTAGGTAGAAACCTATAAATGTATGATGCTTTCCTTGGGACTCAAAGAGTTAAGGCAGGGCTATTCAACTGGCAGCTTGCAGGCCAAATCTGGCAAGAGGCTTGCGGATCACTGACAACTGTATTATATGAGTGAGCTTTCTGTGCTTGGGCTCGAGGTTTTGGCCTATGACGATCCCTATTTTCAAATTGTTTGCCCCTGAGTAAACTTAGTTGAATAGCCTTGCCTTAAGGTGTCCCTGTGTGGGTTTTGGGAGCACCCACCTTTTTTGGGGGGGCGTGGGGGGGGGGGGGACTGACCCACGCCCCCCCCCCCCCTCCCTCTAATAAAATATCATACAGGTGACTAATTAGGGTTATTTTTTTCAAGGTTAGAGGGCATCTGCCTAAGAGGTAAGGAACAACAGTCTGCACATAAATAAGACAGGTATAATATTTAAAAAAAGCGATGTGCATTCAAAACTCTAGTTCTGGAACAAGATTAAAGTACAGAAGTAGACAAACAATCAGAATTTATCCGCAGAGTTTACAAGGGAAGAAGAAGATTCCTAGAGATGAATCAGCAACATGCAAACAGCCGAGAATGGAAAGTGAGAGGCAACAACAACATTTATAATGTGTTTAAATGGCATTATGAGGGCAAACTGATCACCACTTATTACTGGCATCATAAAAGCAAACTGATCATCACTAATTACTGGCATCATGAAAGCTAACCAATCACCACCAATTACTGGGATCATGAAGGCTAACCGATCACCACTAATTACAGGCATCATGAAGGCTAACCAATCACCACTAATTACTGAGATCACAAGGAGGGCTAACCAATCACCACTAATTACTGCCATCAGGAGGGCTAACCGATCACCATTAATTACTGGGATCACAAGGGCTAATCGATCACCACTAAATACAGGCATCATGAAGGCTAATCAATCACCACTAATTACTGAGATCACAAAGGCTAACCGATCACCACTAATTTCTGGCATCATGATGGCTAAGCAAATGCGATAGGTGGGGTATACAGAAAGAATAGCAAATAAGAGAGATACATACTGTGTACACAAAAGAGTTGAATGGGAGTCAACCATGTGGTGGATCAAGAAGACAGTGGGGGAGGGGGGCGGCACTGCCCTCTTATAAGCATGACTTATTAGGAGTGTATCCTTCAAAGTCAGAGCACATCTGCCTGAGTGGCAAGGAACCTGCAGTCATACAAAGAAGTCAGAAACAAGAATGGGTTCTTTACCGACAGGATCTTCTTTTAATGGGACCTAGATGAATATTCTGTGGATATATTACCAGTGAGGAAACCAGTGATGTAACATGGTGTTTCACTTATGATCCTGCAAGCAAATGACTGAATACAGAAGGAGTGGGGCAAAACTCACCAAACCCCCCAAAAAACTGTGACATTCAGTGTACAATGGCAACGGAGCATAACAAACTAGCTAGTTACCAATGTTGTTGTTGTTTTGTCCACTGACAAAGACTTTAGTAGAAATGTTCATCTGTAATTGTGGATTCCAGGTCACTGTGGCTTGGAAGGCAATGAAATAGCGGACAGATTGGCCAGAAGCGGCAGTGACATGGTACAACCAAATAGCGACTTAACCCACCAAGAGATGAAAACACTAATACAATCTAGTATCCAAGAAAGGTGGCTGGATACCCACAACAGATTTTCTCCCCAAGACTCACTTCATCGCCTCTCTAGAGAGGGACAGTCTATTATATTCAGACTAAGGACTGGGCACAACAGATTTCGTCAACATATGTTCAAATTTTTCGGTGTAGGAAATACGGAGACGTGTCCCTGCAGCGTGGCACCCGAAAATGCTGAGCATGTGCTCCAACACTGTCAACTGTATGCTGACAACAGAGATGCAATCTGGCCTGTTCCAACCACAATGAAGACAAAACTGTATGGTACACGAGAGGATATGGATTGCACGATAGCTTTCATAAAGGCTACCGGCCTCCTGATATAAGTTTTCTGACAGAAGGATCGAAGAAGAAGAAGAAGATCTGTAATTGTGTGTGTTTTTTTTCCCCCCTCCATTGACCTTTCTAGTCACATATTGTGTTGTGTTAAGGTATTGCAATTTATTATCTTGATAACAAAGAAGCAATGAATACACAACTTACCGTCTGTTCCGTTGAATCATTGAGAGACAGCATTGCAAACATATCAAGATTGTTGGCATTTAAAACAACCTAAAACAGATCAAATAAATTCAAGACAAATTTTCTAAACAAGAATGCAATAATGCAGGTTTAAGTAAGTAATGGATAATTTTTAAGCTAGTAATGCATAGGACACATAATGCTAGACTCGTATTTGTACAGACCAATCCTCACTTGATGGCTCATGTGGTTGGTCATCATGCCGAAATAAAGAATTAAAATTGTCTGTTGTTCAGTCTTCAGTGAAAAGTGTCACTTTTCCCAAATTACAAATGCTCTATAGTGAAGCAGTGTACGGAGCTTAAGTTGCATTTCAAGGCGAGATGTGTTGCGTTCAATGAGTCCTATTTAGGTTTTTTAGTATTCTTTTGATGAGATTTATTTAGCTTTTTCTAGATCTTATTCTGGCTTGTGTTTCAAGGAAAGATGTTCTACTAACTTGAGCCATATCTGTCGGTTTAAGGCCCCTTTATATTTTTTCTTACTCTAGCTAAGCTTGACTGACTGATGTTTTACCCTACCAGGAAATCAAACTGAACGATTAACACCCAGGAACAAACAGCCACCATTTGGATAAGGAACACTCAGCGAAAGGCCCTAGAAACCCCCTTTTTTAACCCATAGGTTGGGTTACATAAGGGCTCCTTCAACAGCCAGGGTGGGGCTTCAAAAACGAAAAATTGTGCCTCCACATGGGGATAGACTAACTGCTAACTAACTAAGCTTGTGCGCCTAGGACAGATGAATAGTCTTCTTTGTAGGTTTCTTTAGTATTCCTTTGATGTTGTTTATTTGGCATTTTTCTTGACCTTATTATGACTTGTGTGATATTCTACCCAACGTAGGCCATATCTGTCTGTTTAAGGCTCCTTTATGTTTTTTTTCCTTACTCTGGCTAAGCTTGTTTTCCTAGTCCAGGTGAACAGCCTTCACTGATTCTTTAGTATTCTCTGTTGTTTATCTATTTTTATTTGTGTATATGTGTGTATGCAAACATCATTAGCATGGTTATGAAGACATACAGATTTACAGTATACTATTAGCACAATTATAAAGACTTACACATTAGAAACACTATTAGAACAATCATGAAGACTTACAAACATTATACCATTTGCACAATTACAAAGATATTCATATAATAAAGAATTTCATCACAATTAAGAAAACACACATTTTACAAAAACTATCAGCAGAATTATGCAGGCATACAAACTTACAATATACTGTGTCTTTCTGTCAGGACTGGAAAAACATCGATGTGCTTCAGGGTATTTGTTGACTAGAGCCGAGAACAGGCCTCTATACCAAGGGTGGGGCATGTGGAAGAGTGGAGACAGCTGGGGATCAATCTCCCACAGGGAGGATATGGCAACTGTCTTAAGAAGCTCACAGAACTCATGTGAACTCAGTGGACTTAGAACCTGTGTAAATATTAAGAAAGAAACACAGCAATATTACGTTATGTTATCACAATCGATGTTACTGTTCAGGCCTCTGATGCAGCAGTCACTCCAAAGTACCCTTACTTATTGTTCCCACAAGAAGTTGGTTATGTTGTCTCCTATCTTGACCTTGAAGACAGCATAGATGTGCCTCCCAAGCTTTACTCCTAGGCCACCCAGTCGTGTTAGCATCAGGGATTCATCACTATCCCACATAACAATGTGAAAGAGTCTTTACAACTGTCTTGCTGAATGGGCAATCATGTAACGTTACAATCCTCATTACCTAACAATGTCATATTATATATTATTCAAGAAGTTGTTGTTTTTTTCAACATTTCATATGGCATAAATATGGCTTTTGTGACCACCAATACATTGATTCTTAAATATTCAAAAATGTGGTAGATTTCCCTAGTCTTCTAAATCCACATTCGAGTTACACATTTTAAATAATCTATTGTGGATAACCATTTTAACTCAAATAAGATTCAGTTATACTCAGGAACTATCAGAGAATGTAGATACTGACTGTTTAAATGACACTCCTGTAAACATCTGAGAGTTGTCTGTTCATACATTCCTCATAACATCAGGAATGAAGTCACACACAAAAAATGTCGGCACAGAATAAACACAAAATTACATACACAGACAGCAAATAAAAGGGGTGCCCACTTAACAGAGATTGCTTTGTGATGCCATACCACACAAAACACAAACCAACACTGGAGAGGGATGTCAAGCATGAAACAGACCAAGAACAAGATAGAAAAATAACATCAGAGAAATTCTACAATAGTATAATGTGTACATTGGCGAGGCGTTCAAAAGAGCGAGTAGCAAAACCTTATATTTCCCTCAACACCCAAAGTGGTAAAAGAAGAAGTGAAAAGGAAAATATATTACTTTCTGGAAACACCTAAAAACCCAAATGTGTACCATATTCTTAATTATCACGGATGAACTACATCTTGCCTTACCAAACAGGTATACTTACACTTTCATTTGCATCATCGGCATCAAGGCGGCGCCTCTTGCCCTCATCAAAATCTGAATGTGAAGTGAGCAGCCTTTGCCAGAGATAATCTCTGCGACACTTCTGCTTTGACATTTCTACCATCTCCAAAATCTTCTCCCTGGTTTCAAAGTAAGAAGAGGAGTTGATATTATATGCTCTGCCCAAGTGTTAACAGAGTTCACTAGGAAAGCAAACAACTGTAATACCACCATATTTTGGCTTATTTAAAACAATGATCACCAGCAATTACTCCGATTAACTTAAGTTCATATGTCAGTGGGTGCAAACCACATAAAAAGATAGTTGCAGTTCCTTTAAAAGATGGCGTAATGCTGACCACATCACCCATCTTGTGCGTATTGGTCTATAAAATAGTCTAGCCATATATGCCCTATACGCCTAAAGGCGTGGAAAAAAGTCCTTTACTTTTTACTTTACTTACCTTTAAAATACATTGAAGAACCAACACCAGCATGCATTAGCTGTCTGTGACTTCTCTAGACAATTTTACATTCAGGAGTTTGCCACTTCTTCTTTTTCTTTCATTCACTTGAAATAGATTATCTATATCTGCAGTGCTGTCTCTAGTATGAACTTTTCTCTGTTATAATTCAATCAGTGACCTGCAAAGATTGACTTGCACCGGTGTTTCTCTTGGTCAAAAGTTTTTTACTTGTTATGTTGTTTTAGGGACAGTCTTGGAGGACATGATCTGTTGTCTCAGGTGCCAATACATAAGGCTGATTTGCCAATCTTAAATTTTGTGTACATGTGGCTGCAAAGTCTGCCACTGTTGAAGCAAAAAATACAAGGTGGTCTGCTGGCAAACTGCCTGCAGCTGGGACTGAACCTGGCAACACAGAATTAAGAAGTGTGTTTACAATGCCTAAGCCGCAAACACTGACTACAAGTGCTGCAAACCACATACTTTTCTCATAATCAGTCTATGAAGTAGAATTCTATTAACTATTGTTTGGCTCAGTGTTTTACTGCACATCTATATCCAAAATTGCCTGTTTTTAAATCTGGTCAATAATTATCTTCATTACTGCTGTATTTTCCCTGCCATACCTATTCTGAGTGTGAGTGCCCATGTCTTGGCAGATCAGCAACAACATTTGAAGTCCCACTAAAACCAACTAAAGAATATGCACAGCAAGAACCAAGAAACACTGTTCCATCTACCTGTGCATTTATATTAGTGTTTTTGTCCCCCTGTGTAACATCTGTAAATTTAACACAGTATGACCTCTGATTTGTTCATCATTCTAACAAACTGTCAGAGAGCTACAGAGCTACAACGTGCTTTCTGAAAGTAGTGCACCACAATTTTTTTCTCTCAGTAAATAATGATAGAAGCATGATATTTTGCAGGTTTCATGTTTGAAATATCATTATTATGTGTACAAAATGGCAACTCATTCTAAAAAAAAAAATTTTTTTTTGCGCTAGCAGGAAAACCTAAAAGAGAGAAGGTGATGTGCATTCGTTATGCACTGGCATTAGGCCACAGAAATGGATTCAGATTAAAAAGAAAATTATAACATGAAAGACATATAATGAATTATACTATCAGTGAATTTCAAACATTTTGCAGTTTGTGAGATGAAAATGTGGGACATTACTTTCTAAACGCCTCTCATAGTTAATACTATACGTTGCAGCATGTAGCATAATGGGTGACTGTGCCAACAGTGAGCTGCACTTCTGGTGTAAGACCATTGTTTCATATCTCACAGCTGCCTTTTGCATTTTTACTTTGCATATGCAAGCTTTAATATTTTGCTGTGACTGACAAGTTTTTCACGAGTTTTGTAAATGGGATAATAGAAGACACTTCTTGTGATTTCCACTGGCACAGGAACAGACAATTATGGGGTGACTTTTCTACAGTGACATTGGCTCCTCCATCATCATCATCAGTTCTCGTTATGCCTAGTGGCACATGAGGCTTCAGAGAGGACTTTCCATGCTTTCATGTCCTGTGCAATCTTCAGTGCAGTTTTCCATGTCAAAGATGCCGCACTCAGGTCACTTTCCATCGTTCGTCTCCATGTTGTTTTTGGGCGCCCCTGTTTTCTCTTTCCCTCTGGTGTCCATGTGAGAGCTGTTTTGGCAGGTATATCAGAAGTCATTCTCATAACACTGACATTGGCTCCTCCACTAAAGACTAAACTACAAACTAGATTCCACTACATGACTGGCTCATTTTAAAAACCGTTTTTTTTTTTTTTTTTCAATTTTAAACATACCTGCCAATTGTGCTTTGATTCAACAATGAACTGAAAAGAACAAATTGCTGGACATTTGAGTAGCCCCTGTAGTTGACATGTTCTTTCCTCATACCAATGTGCTGCCTCACAGGCACTGGCATACTAGAGTCCAGCTCCTCTTGCTCCTCTATCTTCAGCAAGTCTTCTGACCCTGTGGGCAAGAGGCAAATTCCAATGTACTTAAACATACACCTTCTTCTTGACTTACGACAAGACCATCTTTACTACACACTATAAACCTCCCCCTTCCCCCCCCCCCCCCCCCCCAAATGTAAATAAAAAACATTAAATTTACAAAAAAGATAATATCTGTAGGTCAAAAATTTCCCGGAACTGATGCCTAGAGTCCTGCAGAATCTGATTATATGTACATAGACTGCATATTTGAGTTTTATGTACAATTTGTATGACCGCTTTGAATGAACATGTTACTGAATAACATAAAGTAAAGTTATGACCAGGTTTATTTATGACCTGTTAGTGGGAATGGAGCTCAGTTTAAGCCAAGGAGACCCTGTTTTCACACTCATCCTAGCTATCCTTAGCTTAATCTAGAAAGATCTAATGCTCTTTAACATCCATTCAAGCATTTGCTTTGTAAAATATACAACTCTATGGCCTCATGGTTATCATCTTGAAAATGTTCAGCTATATGACAATTTACAGTTTTAGGAACACCTCTGTTTTATACATCTCCATGGTATCCTGAGTATGATGCAGGGTAATGTAATTACAGCTGTATAAATTTACAGTTCTACGATGCCCTGAATTTCAGATAGGCAGGTAGGTAGTTGTACCCCACCAGGACATCACACAAGCGATAAACACCCGGTGACACAAAGTGCCACCATGCGGATGAGGATCACCCGTGGAGAGGTCCCAGAAACCCCTTTCAGTCATTAGGCCATATCTATGGCTAGGCCATATCTATGCCCCGGCTATATTCAGGGCCCCTGGCAGAAGCCAGGGTTGGGCTTCAAATAATACACAAATTGCATCCCCGGTGTTAAGAAAAGTCTTCCACAATTATAGCATGGGATTTCAGGACAATTGTTGTCAACACTTGTGTTTTGTCCGCTTCTTCTTAGACGGTCAGCTCTCATCCTTTCTACAATCATTTCTTCCTTCATTCTCATTTCCTTCCTGAAGTGCCCCTCTCCACACAACACGGTCCATGTCATTTTGTTCTCATGAGTCCACCTGAATACCTGTATTATTCATGTCTCGCTTGCACACATCTTTATATCAGGGTAGAGACAACAGAGACAATTACTATCTAACATACCAGCAGATCTTTTTCTGCCAGACGAATGTCCAGCAGCACCTCTGAATTCCCCAAATGCCTTCTCTAAAGTCCTGATGGGATAGCAGTCTCGCTGCCGGGTCAACACCGTGAAGTACTTCAGGATCAGCTTCATGGGATCCTCTGACATGCCACTTTTACAGGAGTTGTTGATGATCACCAGGCCAGCGTCATAGACCTCTGCTTCTTCGTCTTGATCATCTCCTGCATCACGGCTATAGATTGCCAGCGGGAGCTTGTCATGCTTGACCAGGGCAAACTTCTCTCCCTGTAAAAGAAATGTTTCACATCATCTTTTCTTGATAGAAAATTTAGGGTGGGATGACTGCCGTCAAGCTGATAGGAAGAATGAAAGATAATGACTGGATACAAAATGCAACTAGGAAACTCAGTTAAAGAAAATAGGAAACCAACAACTTTTTTTACCAATGAAACAAAAGCACTTAGCTACAGAAAGTAAGTAAAATTTATAATTGTTAAATGACACCTATTTTACACATGCAGAGAAACAAGACAGCAACATGAAGGGAAGGGGGGGGGGGGGGTGGGTGGTGGTAAAAATCGGGTATCAGCAGTCCCATCTGTACATCATCACTCACACAACCAACCCCAGCATTTGTTGGCTGTCTTGTGATTTTATTAAGCAATTTTTACATTCCGTAGTTTGCCATTGCTTTCTAAACAGATGACACTCCATACCATTGTTGAAATCAAAGTACAGTGGTCTACTGTCAAATTCCTTGCAGCTGTTTTGAACCGCTTATTCTAGAATTACAAACCGCATTTGAACCCCTAAACCAGATGATCACTGTAGGGTACCCCTGTAAAATTCAATGCACAGCGGTCTATTTTCAAATTCCTTGAAGCTGTATTGAACTGGCTATTCCAGAATTACAAACCACGTTTAAACCCCTAAGCCAAATGATGACTGAAGGGTATCCCTGTCAAAATCAACTGATGGCCGTTTGCTAACAATTCACTTCACACCATAATTGTGAAGCTGAGTTCCCATTCTAGTCACCAACCACTAACATGAGTGTTAGAATCTGGGCGCTCAGGCCTCTTGAGCCCCCCACCCCCAATATTTGGGTGGAGGGAGGAGTTTGTGGGGGAGGGCTAAGTGACCCCTTCGTATCCATACATAGAAATTCTCTTTGAAAGTATTTGTTTACATATGTTAGTTATTTCAAAACAGAGGTACCTCAGAATTTGAACATTTTACAACTAAATCAAACTTGGAATCCAAACAAAATTTTCAAGCAAATTTTACATCAGAACTTGAACGTCACCTTGGAAACAGAATACAAGGGAAAAAAAAGAAGAAATTTCTTCAGGGAAGGAAGGAAAAGGAGGGGTGGGGGAGGGGGGGGGGGGAAGGGATTAGCACTGCTGAAATATAACATCTTTTGATCATATGGTTAAAAACCCAAGAAGCTGATGAGAGGTGGGCACACTGACAGAGCACTAGTTAACAGGTGTGTTAACTTTTTAACTGATAACATTAGCAAAAATCAAAAATGGTTGCCAACATTATAGCATTTTGGAATGCTGGCTGTCAACTAGTGATCCCAAGCCCTCTACAAGTGGTGAACGACTAATTCCAAGGAAAGATAAATCTTCTTCTTTTTCTTCTTCAGGATTCTGAGTAGTTGAGGTGCTGCAGATATCACCTGCCTCCATTTATCAGTACCTTATTCTCACTGACTCAGATAAATACTGGATACATATTGCACAGATAAACAGATGGTCAAAATTGGTAATATGTTATACAATAATCCACTATTTTTTAACTGCAGCTCCCTTGTCAGGATAGAAACGGGTATATGGAAATGTCCCGAGAAGTAAAGGCAGCCACAATGTTCAACACATGATCCAACGAGTTTTTCATATATAAGAGGGCCACTGTTGTGTAGCAGCTAGATATCGCCTTAGGTCAGAAGTCTGTAGACTGAAATCATCATGCTGGATTTTTCCCCTTAAAAAATGACCTTGGCTCCCAGGTCGACCCAGACTAAAATGTGAATCATCCTGGGAAGTAAAAGGGGTCAGCGTAATGTTAACCACATCCTCTACCAAGTGCCAATTGGTCTATAAAATGTAGGTCTAGAACTATAGGCCAAAAAGCCAGATTTTTCAAAAATGACCTTGGCTTCCTGGTCAACTAGCCAAAATTGGGTTCCAGGTAATGTCCTGTGAAGTAAAGGTGGCTGGTGTGATGTCGACCAGATAACCCACTGAATGCTGATTGGTCTTCACAATATAGATCTAGACCATATGCCCAATACGCCCAATGGTGTTTAAAACAAGAAGGTCAAGTAATCCCATGGCGTTTACCTGTTTCACAAATAAAACATAATTATCCAAAAGGTGTAAAGTAAAGGACCCATTTCCACGCCTTTCATGCATATTTGATATATCATGCTAGGCCTGTATTTTATAGACCAACGGCACAAAACAGGTGATGTGGTCAGCTTCACGCCGGCCACATTTACTTCTCAGGACTGCTCCTGGTACCCACTCAAGGCTGGGTCGACCTGGGAGCCAAGGGAGCGAACTCACGACCTTCCGATTTGCAAGCGAGCATCTAGCCGCTATATCACGGCGACTCCCTATCCAAAGGTGTGATTTTATGAATTGAAAGGAAAGCCTGTACACATAAAAAGTACCGATGACCCAGATGCAAAATAACTGCCATGTGACTGGCTGAACCCTAAGGTACTCTTGTTCTCAATTTAACAGATCTTAGAAGAAACTGGCAACATCTGGAGTAAGTGATTTAATATTTTTCAGTTTAAAGGTCAGGGCACAATGGACGGAGTTGTGGCACCACTAGAAAAAACTTCACCATTCATGGTAAGCATCTGATTTTAAAATCAAAAGGGTTAAATAATTTTATTAACATTGTTCAGGTATTTGATACTGTAACACTGGATGGTGCTTTTGATTAAAGTATTATTCCTGTTTTTTTTTTTTAAACCTTTTTCTTCTTCTTCTCTTTTTGTTTGTGGTCCTGTTTGACTGGCACACTGTGGGACTGTACAATCTTTATTTTATACATGTGGTAGTTGAGCCTGCAGTGTCCTGTTCGTAGACGGAAAATTGTATGTTTTTTAAACTAAAGAACACATTGAATTATCGCAATTATAGAAAATTATAAAAATTTTATTAAGCGCTGTGGTTGTACGTTAAATAAAAGACTAGAATGTAAATGACAATTGTTGAAACTGAAATGATAACACTAAAAACAATAAGAATAATAAGTTAAAACAATACAATATTCATGGTCACTTTTTTAGAAGAAAATAATTACCTAGTTTACATCTTTTTTCCCCACTAACATATAATAACAGCTGACTAAAATAACAAAACAATATGGAGTATTTTTTGCGTGGGACACACATAACAAAGCAAAAAGATGGCAGGGTACAAGCATCTATGAGGTGGGATGCAGCTACTGCCCTACCATTTCTTTGCCTCGACCATAACAAACCATTCTAAAGACCCGCATCTCATGGACGCCCATCTGCTTCAACATGTGCTCCTCATAAAGCATGTTGCCTGGGAACGGCAAGTCCGGCAGTGTGATGGAGTCTGGCAGATTAGAAAAGGGATCAACTGTTAGTGTTGCTTCAGAACTCAAATATTTATATATAACTAGCTGTACCCGGCCACGCGTTGCTGTGGCATAGTTTGGCTAAATGGAAATGAAAGAAAATAGAAAACGCACGTGTCTAATACAATCATTGTCTGCTCAGATATAGAGATAGTCTTTGATCCCCGCCCACCACCACAACTAAATCCACCTACTACTATCTCCCTCATCAAAGGTTTTTTGGAAGGTTTTTGGAAAAGAAAGACAATGGAAATCGCACGTGTCTAATACAGTTAATGTCGCAATCATTCTTGAAAAGCAAACGAACACAGGAAAAAAACACCATAATTAGGAAATGAACGCCATTGTAAACAGCACAGCTTAAAATTCCAACACAGATGAAATAACTAAATCTAAATGAAAAATAATGAAACTCTATAAAATTTCAGCGTAACCATGCAATCGGAAAGTTTAACAATGCAATCATAAGTATGCGAAATGGTCAAATTTAATTATCAAATGGTTTACCCATTTACTTTTTTTTTTTTTTTTTTTTTTAAATATTAAGGCAACATGGCTAGTGCTGTCACCACGACAGAGCAGATGAAGATATTTTTTTAGTCCAGGGTAAAAAAAAAAAAAAAAATTAACGACTGCGGATTTGAACCCAGGTCTACCGCACATGAACCCAGTGTTCTAACCATTCGACCAAGCAGCCACTTAATCGGAACAACGAAAAGAGAACACAACTATTAGACATATGTGTCCCTACCACTGTGTCGCGATTAAAACACAATTCAAAACCGCAGGCAATTGTTTTCTCGTAGACAGATACTCCAGGTATGAAATCGCACGTGTCTTACACGGTTAATGTCGCAGTCACTGTCTGCGCCGACGTCGAGATTTAGTCCTTGATTGCCGCGCCCCCCCCCCCCCCCCCCCCCCCCCCCCCCCCCCCCATCGAAGGTTGTTTGAAAAAAAAGCAGAAAATATAGAAATCGTGTTTAATATGGTTATTGTGGCAAATATAGAGATAGTCTTGTTTGCTGTACCACGACCTACTCTATGTATTTGTATTAGAGAAGGCGTTGGCTGCACGTAACTCGCCGGCGAATGGTAAATACGGCGCATGCGCAATTACTAACGTGGCTATAATTAGAAATCACTAAAGTTATAAATATTAGTTGCGTATATTTTGGCATAAATTGTGGTCACCTGTCTCTAACAGTGACAGGTTGAATTTCAAACCACGACAGTTCAAAATCCGGTATCACAACAAACATATCCTGAAAATTTCAGCTAAATCGGTTCAGTAGTTTCCGAGTCTATAGGGGTGAAACAAACACACAAACATTGATTTTTATATATATAGATAAAAAGCATTGGACACTGGTTTGTACCTACCTGTTCATTAACAATGACCCCAAGCTGAGAGCAGTCCACAGCAAACATTAATTAATGAAGAACTGACATAACTGCATTTGGGACATTTCCACAGGTGCTCCGGCCCCCTTCTCAGTAACTAATGAAGAGCTTTCATGCTAACTGTATCTGTTGCAACCTGAGTAAAAGTCAGCCTCTGTTTCCCCTTGATAACTGTACTGATTTCTGGTAATGACAATGAATGGGTGTGTTGTTTCTCCTTTTTTCCATTTTTTGCAAGTCTATCTGCTAAATTATTTCCTTGGATGCTGCAGTGAGCTGGGATGCACTGGAGAATACTTTGATTGTTTTCTGAGAGTTTGTTTAGCTAGCGGGTCAGTTCTCTCTCCATGTTGTCTTGTGGATCCCTTTGTCGCCGAAAATAATTTTGCTGTTTTTAATTGGTGCCAACAATATCGACAATCAACAAACAAAGTTTAAGTTTAAAAACACTTTCTAAACATTATCCTATTTACAAGAAAGATCTGCCAACCTTGTTTCATGCAGTTTCTGGAAAAGCTGGGAGGGTATGGGTAAATCTGCTTGAAGTCGGTCAGGAAATTGTCCAGATCAAAGCCTGTAGGGAACACAGAGTCCTCCTGTTGGCTCAAATACTTCATGACACAGCGCAGGTGGAAGTCGTGGGCAAATGAGTGGACATGAATCAGGTCTTTGTACTTGTCACATTCATCAACGAAGATCAGGTGCATCTGCAATGTATACAGTCACTCTTAAGCTATGCAAAAGCAGATGACTTATCTAACTGGCATTAACCCTGCCAGACCTGAGGCCCTGAACCTAACTACCCCCTTTACCTGAGCTCCTGGTCATTACCATGAAAAATTATCATCACGTAGTAAGCAAAGGACCGACAATGAGGTGCAGCGGTTTAGCAGCAGATTAGGATTTTACCGCAGTAGCGTTACATAGGTCTGGTGGAGTTAAACTACTTACCGATATTCTTTAGTGATATAAGTAAAGGACTCCTTTCACACATATGGCACATAGGGCATATGATGCTAGACTCATATTTGTATAGACAAACTGACATTTAAATACATTTGACACTTCCCAGGACTTTACAAGATAAAAATTCTAGCCTGGGTTAAAGTGAAGAATTAAGGTCATTTCATTTAAAAAAAAAAAAAATTCAGCTCAACATGGATTTGATCTTTAATTATATAATATGTATTTTATACGAAGCACTCAAAGGCACAAGATAAATTTCATTCCACTAGGTTTTAGTCCATGTGGCTCGCTCTCTCTTTACATCTCTCCACACAAAGACATAATAGCATTGCACAAAGCACATACTCTCTAGCTCATACACACTGTGACTCCCAGGGTTTTCTGAAACACTTGTGCTGGCAAACCAAAAGATGGAGTATAAAATCATTAAAAACTACCTTCAGAGCACTAGGCATGTGGCACAAACACTTCCCTCATAATAAATTTCAATAATTATATTGTATAATTATAGCTTTACTCTTCAGCACCAGAAGATTTAACAACATTTGCCCAAGAGGGGGACACTTATGAAATCTTAAAAAAAAAGGTTAAACTACTTAGGTAGCCAGATTTCTTAAACATGTTCTATAAAAATGTAAATTATAAGAGAACACATTATTCACTGGCTGCGAGTCACTAGAAGGATCTAATCATGCACAATGAGCTGTTTGGGACTGAAAACAGTTCAGAATTAATATCATATTCAGTACAAAAACAAATTTTTTTTTTTTTTTTTTAAGAGATAATCAAATGTATGTGACCTATCTTCTTCTTTATATTTTCCTTCATTTGGAATCAGCATGTGTCTGTAATGTTTTTTTTTTAAAACAGCATTTACTTGCTGACCCACTGCCCAAAAAAGCATGTCACAAAAGTCGACTAATTAGGAATGTTTTTTTTGAAGTCAGAATGCATCTGCCTGAGAGGGGAAGAACCAAGAATCTGCTTATAAATAAGCCAGATCCGTAAAATGAATGTTCTATCAAAATTAAATTTCTGGAACAAGACTAAAGTTCAAAAGTGGATGAACTACCAGAACTTTCCCCCGGAGTTTCCAGCAAAGAAGAAGAGGAAGAGGAGGAAGACGAAGACAAAGACAAAGATGAAGACGACGAAGATGAAGATGAAGAAGAAGGAAAAGATGAAGAAGAAAAAGAAGAAGAAGAAGAAGAAGACGACGAAGAAGAAGACGAAGAGGAAGAAGACTAAGAGGAAGAAGACTAAGAAAAAGAAGAAGAAGAAGAAGAAGAAGAAGAAGAAGAAGAAGAAGAAGAAGAAGAAGGACGGGAAGGAGGAGAAGAAGGAGTAGGAGGAGGGGGAGGGAGATGAGAGGGGAGGAGAAGGAGGAGGAAAAGAAGGTGAAGAAGAAGAAGAAGAAGAAGAAGAAGAAGAAGAAGAAGAAGAAGAAGAAGAAGGTGTAGGAGGAGGGGCAGGGGCAGGGGAGGATTGGGATGGGAGGAGGGGAGGGAGGAGGAGGAGGAGGAGAAGAAGGAGGAGGAGAAGGAGGAGGAGAAGAAGAAGAAGAAAAAGTCATAGAAAGAAGAAATTGCAATCAATGTGTATTTTCCCTGTATGTACACTATTAATAAAAAAAACAATGGACACTGGTTTGTACTCACCTGTTGATTAACAATGAAGCCAAGCTGAGAGCAGTCCACAGCAAACATTCTGACACAGAAGAACTCCTGTCTGAAGCTCAGCTCCATCAAGATAATCCCCCCAGTCAAAGTCTTCTGCAGATTTATAGCAGGAACTCTACTGTCCTTGCCATCAAAGGAACCTTGGCTTAACACACTGGATCCATGTGCTCGGCTATGGCTGCAACAAAGAAATAACTTACTGAAGACATTTGTAATCAAAATAAAAAGTACTTCACTATGTAAATACAGTATCCAAAGTTAGCAGCAAATGGTATGTATGACTGGTTATACCATGGCTTAGATTTGTAAACTGGAATTCTCTGCACAGGTCATAATCCTCATTTTGTAGCATGTTGTTTGCTAAAGGTTGATCTCATTATTACAGCCACCCTCACAGACCATGACTTACTGGCTGGCACTACAAGGGCCTTCACATTAAAACCTTAACTTAAAAAAATAATTTGCTTACGTTTTGTTTAGGGGCAAATAGATTCTGAAAAATTAAAGAACAATTCTTTCAATGTAATCACTACTGCCAATTAAGTGCTTGGATTACTGTAGAAGCAAATTATCTTGTTCGCATGTGTACTCACACACCACCTGCTGTATTGTAAAGTTTTTCCTCCCAGTGATTCTCTGAGTTGTCCAAACAGGTGGAAATACTTGAGGCTTAGGCTAGCAAGAAGGAGGATGTGGTACAAACTGACAGTGGAGGTCTTCGATGGTTTAGATCAGGGGTATTCAACTGGTGACCTGCAGGCCACATCTAACCTGCGGAGGCCTAGTAAGCAGCCTGCTGGTCATTGGTAATTGTATGATCTTTCTATGCTAAGGATCATGTTTCTGGTGGCCCCTGAGTAAACAGTTAACCAGCTCTTGTTTAGAATTTTGCCCAGGCAGTACAGGGTAGAGCAGTGTCGTGTAGCAAAAGAACATCTTTACTCATAAGTCCACATCATTTCAATTTGACTGTGGGTTGGAGATAATTCTTGAGAAGATCTGTATACCTAAAATTGGTGACAGTTTTCCCTCTTGACATGTAGTGCTCTAAAAACATGCTTTGTTCATCCCAAAAGAGAGTCAGCATAACCGTCCCTGCAGATGGCTGCATGTGAAACTTCTTGGGTTTCAGTAAGGAGGATGGTGTCATTCCCTGCTCGCACTATTCTTTCCGGCTAAAGGTAATGAACTCAGGTTTCATCTCTAGTAATAGCTCATGACAGGAAACCATCTTCTTGCTTCAAAGCACCACAGAAGTTCTTAACAAGCAAGCATCAATGAGTTGCTGATTCTATTCTGGAGTAAGCTGCCAGGGCACCTACCTGGCAGACACTTTGTGGTAATGTAGCACATCATGGATGATGTGGCCATGTCGGTGTGTTGGGAAACAAATACATTTAATAATTATTACTGACTCACAGTTGAGAAAGGTGAAAATGGGCACGTTCCATGCAGAGTGGCAAGCATCACTACAGAGGTCACAGGTAATTAGCATCCTTTGAATATTTTCTCCAGGTCAATGTTGACACAGTCAAGCTTCATATGTGCTAATTTCATCATGTCTTACAGCAACTACAAAAGGCAAACTTTTTAAGGTTCATCTGTGGCAAACTTCTTAAGGTTTATCTATCCAAATACATTCATGCATACAGAAGCATGTGCACTCACCTCTGCCCATCCTCCCACACCCCATCATTACACCTTCACAATTCATTTTCACTAATTGTATAAGAACATACCTTCTCTGCATGGAAGGCTGCATATTTAACTTGACGAATCCCAGCTCTGAGATTAAGTACTGCTTATATTCCTTCATAAACTTCTGCCTCAAGCTGACATGCCATTGTTCCTCTTCTTCAGTTTCCAGCCTGCTTCTTGCTGCTGCTCCAAATGTACTAGGCAACCCTGTCTCAGAACCCTTTCTGCCCAGCTCATCGATTTTAGCCTTAACACTGACGATGGAAGCTCCTGAGCTGTGACGTGACCTCTGAAATACAAAAACAAATTAACAGAAACACAAATTTAGTTATTATTTAACAAACACATTATATATATATATATATATATATATTATATATATATATATATATATATATATATATATATATATATATATTATATATATATATATATATATATATATATATATATATATATATATATATATATATATATAGATATATATACACACACACACACCAACACATCTTTTAAATTAATTATTCTAAGAAAACAATTTCCAAATAATATTATTAAAATCCATGAAACATGTGAATGATAGGTAACCTGCTGGTCCAGAAGAAATCAAAGCAGAAGCCATTATAGCCAACATAAACTTATCAATTGAATTGCCACACAAATGATTTAACTTGGATACTGAAGAAATACCAGCAGACTAGAAAGACAGATATCTGGTGAAGCTGCAAAAAAAGAAATGTGACCTGCAGGAGTGAAAACATTACAGATGCTTATTTATTTAATGAAGCTACATACTGCACAATTTACTGCCTAAACTATTTAACCCTCCATGTGGGTTTCAGGGCCCCATTGTATGGATAACAAGAATAGACCCACTGTCACCCCAACAAGCATGTCGCAAGAGTCGACTAACTGAGGGCTTCCTTCGAAGTCGGAGTATGTCTGCCCGAGAGGCAAGGAACAACCAACTGCACACAAATAAACTGGTAAAACAAATGCACACGCAAAACTCAGGCCCTGTCACAGAGCCAAAGTCCAAATGGACGAACAACCAGGACTTTTTGCCAGAGCTTACAGTCGCTAAACAAAGAAGAAAAAGTATATTTAACTGTATCCTGTTTCATCCCAGTGAGATCAGTGTAACAATAGTCATTATGACTTGCACAAATTAGTTAAAATGAGGTAAAACATTTAGTTCTTTATTGATTTAACTCTGCAGTAATGCACCTGGTGTGACACTGCAAAATATGCCAGACAATAAATTGTGCAATCTAATGTTAGTGTCCCCATTTTGTAAATTCACAAACAGAAACTCAGTTTTGGATCATTATTGTCAGTTCCGGGAAAAATATTAGGCGGGATTACTCTAGAAAGATTAACAAATGACCACTGACAACTTCGGGAGAAAGAAGCAGTTTTTCAACCACATAGATCCCATACTGACCAGGCAGTCACAGGACACTTAAAGGATAAAGCACTGAGCTAAAACCACAACTTTATTTTGCACTTGTCGACTATGAAAAGACATCTGACAGCAGTGATACAGAACATTTTTTGAATATGATGAAACACTATAAGATCCCACAGATAATTCATTAACTTAATTAAGGTAGCATAGGAAGATATGAAATGCCAAGTTCTTCATGAAGGAAACTAAAATTTTTACTTAAAATAACAGCAGCAATGTGACATAAATGTGCTTTTATCATTTTTACTATTCATATTAACTTTAGTAAAAGACATCAATAACTGCCACCAGAAATGAAATTCAATGGATCCAGACAGAGAAGTTGGATGATTTCAGCTTTTCTGAAAACACTGGCTTCTGACCCACTCAACAAGTCAGATATGAGAAAAACATTTCCGATTGGGGGCAAAAATGTATAGGATTCATAAGGGAATTACAAAGGTAATGAGAACAACAACAACAACAATATTGTTATGTGTCCTTTACAGGATGTTGCAGAACCAACCCCAGCATCTTCTGGTTGTTTGTGATTTCACGAGGCCATTTTACACTCAGTAATTTGCCACTACTTTTCGTATGGCCGGCTTTCCATACCACTGTTGAAACCAACAATGTAAGGTGGTCTGTTGCCTAATCACCTGCAGCTAGGATCGAACCCAGCACTTCAGAGTTATCAAGCGCGTTTGCAACACCTTAGCCACAGATGCATACAATAACCAAATCTGGTGAAACCCCCACCTCAAAATATGGAGTCCTGCACCTTTATAGACAGCACTGTAGACAAAAATGGGTGAACAGACAAGAGATCTAAGAATTAGAATACAAGCAAGCAAGAGGAATCTTAACAGCCCTAGAAAATCTGTGGACATGGACAGAAATTAAATAAAGTGCCAAACCAAGTATTTCTGAACTCTTAATGTAAAATCTGTCTTGGCTACTGCTGCCTTAAAAAAAAATTTTTTAAAGCCCAAACATGAAAAGTGACTAAGTAAAGTAAAAGGTAAATAAAGGACCCTTTTCCACACCTTTCAGGTGTATTGGGCATATAGGGTTAGACCCAAATTTTACAGATCAGTAGCCACTTGGTGGATGATGTGGTCAGCCTTACGCCAGCCACCTTTACTTCCCATGACTATGCCTGGTAGTCATTTAATGCTGGATCAACCTGGGAGTCAAGGTCATTTTTTTTATAAGACTGGCTTTGACAGAGGGAATTTCTAGCCACTACACCATGGCAGCTCTGTAAAACATATAATAATAAACTACTAATATTCATTAACTGGGGACAATATAACCAGCTTCTCATGGGGACAATTAGTAGAAGTACTTTAGAGTGGCTGCTGCTTCGGAGAACTGAGCATGCATGGCTATGCCCAATGTGCAGTGACATTAATTGTGATAACAGAACATAAAATAACATCTTAGTAGGGAGTCGGCAGTACGAAACCCAAGTTCAAGGTGTCTCCTTCGTGCCAAAGAACTGCATGGCTGTTGGGTGAACAGTCGTTAACGATGGCAGGCAGGTCGTTGTAGGGGCGACGCCTGCTGGTGGATGTAATGTCCTAAGTCCCTTCCCCAGCTAATAATGAGGGTACTGCTGGGGTGACCGTTTATTAACCCTCATATAATTCTTCCGGTAAAAATGGACGCTAGGTACGGCCACCTTTTTTATTTTTTTAAAAGCCATGGCAAATTTTTTTTTGTTTTTTTTGCGCCAGACGTTGGCCGTTGCATTTTTGCTCCATTTGTAGACTGGAAGGATGTAGTTTCATCGCCCAGCTTCTGAGTTGAGTGCATGGCATGACACTGTGAGCTGCGTTTGTTTTTCGTTGGCACAGGAGCGGAGCATCTGTGGGGTGACCCGTTTGCTATGAAGCTGAAACTAGGATTACCAGATTACCAGATTCATTAACAGGTACTTGTGCTGAACAGAAGGAATTCAATTGTCTGATAGAATGATTATTGGAGTGCACTAGAAAGGGGCGCTTACATTTCAGTAAAACTACAGATGAGGAAAAGACACTGGTCCTAGTTAGGACACATTGAGAAGAAAAGAACTGATACTAGTATTACTAGAATATCCTTTCATCAGATCTCACAGGACCAAAGGAATAAAGGGGAACCAACATACAAGGAAAAGAATATTCAAGTCAGAGGTGAATAGCCAGGAAGAATATACAGAGTGCTGGATTCGATTTTTTTTTTTTTTAAATAGAAAGACTTAGCAAATGTTAATTCAGACTCTAATGGGACATAAAAGATGACAGCATGAAAACAGACAATACTCAATACTCAAAGCTGATTAGTCATAAAGCCAGCCTCCATGCAGAGAAGGTATTTTCAAGTATAATAACTGAAAATGAGATGTGAATGTGTTAAGATTAGTAACAATGAAGTAAGTAAGTAGGCTGGCAAATGAAGCTAGAATGACTAGACTGTCTGGAACACATTAACTACTAAACCCCTTATCGTGAGGTTTCATTAACCAAACTAAAAATCCATCACTACAGGAAGTGAAAAAAAGCAACAATTAATATTAATTATCTGTTTCAATTGCCATCAATTGCTGACATCACAAAGGCTAATAGACTATAATGCTTGGGGCATACAGAGAAGCTGGCAGAAAACACAGAGATAACAACCACGAACATAAAAGTGTTGAATGGCCGCAGACTAGGAGACAGAACTAGAAGATGGTGGAGAGATAAACCTATTAATACTTGGAGTCACCAACTGAAAAGAGAAGGCCAATCACAGAGATGAATGAAGGCAGGTGATATCATGCTAAAGAACAGGAGGAAACAGAAGGAGGAAAGAAAAGGAAGAGGAGGAGCAGAAGAAACTTAAAAGTGTAAGCAAGAAGTAAAACTGTAATAAAATAAACAAGGCCTATACAAAATTAAAGAAGGTTCATCTGCTCAGAATTTGTGAATATTTCAACAACAACAAAAAGGGGGCAACACTGGGCTGATTCATGCCTGTTGTCCCACAAACACCAATGAACATGATGCATCTTGCTGGAGGATTCAATATTAACCCTGTCGCCCCAGTAATATTTAAACAACCAAAAAAAAAAAAAGATCATGAACCTGTGGAAATCCTGAAAAAATCCTCTTTAAAAATTTGTTTTCACATACACTAACAAATTTTTTATAAATTTATGTATCTACATTAAAAAAATAAATGAATGCATTCAGAAGCATATAAAGATATATAAAGTGGGTTATTAATATACATGAACAAAAAAAGGTCTTAAATGGCAAACTTTCCAAGGGACCTACAAAATATGTATCAGGCTACTTATGCCGTGACCCTGTGACCTCTATCACATAGGCTGAAGGAAACATTTAACATTAACATAGCCTTCAAACAGCTTTTTAGTTCACAGGGAAACCTCCCTAAATGCTATTTTCAGTAAATGTATTATCGTCCTGACTTTCTAAATGTTCTGCAGGCATAAACATTAACTTTGCATCTCATAAACATGTCACCCAGAAATATCATTAAAGCAACTTTTAGAGGGAATTAGACCCAGTCAGATGTGTCAGTTTTGTGGATTCTAGGAGTGACACTTCGAACGGTTAGATGAAGCCATTGCATTTTCCAAAAGTTGGCAACAATTATCAACAAAACAAATGATTAATATTTTATATTAGTTTCTGGAGGCAGCAGCAAAACTATCACAAGTTAGCTTTAAAATAATAGCATTTAATAATGAAAAACAAAAGAATGAGTAAATGAGTAGGTAGAACACGAAAATAAGAAAATTACAAACATCAAAGTAAAATTCCCTGTGTGAGTTCTGAGGCCTCATTTATGGGAAGAGTAATGGGGATATTTTGCTGAAACCAGACATGTTGAATGTTGAACTGAAAGACGCAGACACCACAGCCAAACTGTAAACCACTTATATCAATGACTGGATCATTGTGGAAGACCTAGTCTTCTTCTTATTGAGAATGCCATATGGTGTAGGTAGTCCTGTCTTCCACAGCCTTCTGTCTCGTATGCATTCAATAATTTATGATACAGATCACCCCTCCCATGATGCTGAAGTGTCCAGCATCTTCTCTCGCACTCCTTCTTTTCTCCAACATTTATAGCTTCATAATATACTCCAGCTTTCTCCTTCTTTTCTCCAACATTTATAGCTTCATAATATACTCCAGCTTTCTTCTTCTTTTCTCCAACATTTATAGCTTCATAATATACTCCAGCTTTCTCCTTCTTTTCTCCAACATTTATAGCTTCATAATATACTCCAGCTTTCTCCTTCTTTTCTCCAACATTTATAGCTTCATAATATACTCCAGCTTTCTCCTTCTTTTCTCCAACATTTATAGCTTCATAATATACTCCAGCTTTCTCCTTCTTTTCTCCAACATTTATAGCTTCATAATATACTCCAGCTTTCTCCTTCTTTTCTCCAACATTTATAGCTTCATAATATACTCCAGCTTTCTCCTTCTTTTCTCCAACATTTATAGCTTCATAATATACTCCAGCTTTCTCCTTCTTTTCTCCAACATTTATAGCTTCATAATATACTCCAGCTTTCTCCTTCTTTTCTCCAACATTTATAGCTTCATAATATACTCCAGCTTTCTCCTTCTTTTCTCCAACATTTATAGCTTCATAATATACTCCAGCTTTCTCCTTCTTTTCTCCAACATTTATAGCTTCATAATATACTCCAGCTTTCTCCTTCTTTTCTCCAACATTTATAGCTTCATAATATACTCCAGCTTTCTCCTTCTTTTCTCCAACATTTATAGCTTCATAATATACTCCAGCTTTCTCCTTCTTTTCTCCAACATTTATAGCTTCATAATATACTCCAGCTTTCTCCTTCTTTTCTCCAACATTTATAGCTTCATAATATACTCCAGCTTTCTCCTTCTTTTCTCCAACATTTATAGCTTCATAATATACTCCAGCTTTCTCCTTCTTTTCTCCAACATTTATAGCTTCATAATATACTCCAGCTTTCCTCTTTTCATGATGTGACCAAAGAGTGTGGGTTATCTCCTTCTAATGTGGGTAATCAATTGTCTTGATGAGTTAATTTCTATCAAGACATTATTACTTATTTTTATATGTCCACAATTTCTCAGTGAAGTGAGGCTGGTGTACAGAGTTTCATCATGACGTAGTATCAAAGTACCACCAAAATGGGGACAGTGCTGCAATGCACTCCTTCCCCTTAAATAATAACAGAATTAAATATGTGTAAAGTGAAAACATTCTGCGTAAAATTAAAGAAATTAAAACATTTCTTGTGTGAAATTTTCTTCTTAGTTCTCTTCTCATTCTCCAGTTATTTCAGCAAAGTGGTGGTGATTGGGAGAGGAAAAAAAGGGGGGAGGGTAATGAAGGATAATGTGTGTTCTTTTTTCTAATGTGTTGTGTAAGTTGGTCTTCATTTTTCTAAGGTTATTCCCTAAATTTCTTTTTAACATAACATACCTCTGTGTAAATTATATTTGTAAAACAGGACTAATACATTGTCTGCTTGAAACAGAAACAAAATATTCTAACTTGAAATAAAAATAGAGTCATAACCTGTATGTATAATTTACAAAACACAACAATAATAATGTTATTCGATATAAATTCTGTTTATACTAATCTTACATATTGACAAACATAAGAAAGATAAACTAAACTTATACAATGAAAGGATAAACTAACCTTACACACTGAATTAATATATTAACCATACATACTATAAATATTAACCTTAAACACTGAAAATATAAACTAGCCTTACATAGTGAATGAACATATTAACCATACATGCTGTAAAGATAATATTAACCTCAAACACTGAAAGGATAAACTAATCGTACACATTGAATGGATAATACTAACCTTAAGAACCTTAAATACTGAATGGACAAAATAACCAAATATACTGAAAGGATAATATTAACACCGACAGGATAAACTAACTTTATATACTGAAAGGAAAAAGTAATCTTACAGACTGAAAGGAGTAACATAAGATTAACAAAAAGAGTTAGCAATAGCAGAAAGCTCTCGTTAAAACAAAAACCCTTCCTATTGCATGGTATAACACTGCTGTTTAGGAAGACAGAAAAGGTGTCAAACAACAGAAAGGATAATATTAACCATAAAAACTAGAAGGATAAAGTGCCCTTTCATATTGAAAGAATAAACGATTCTTACATCTGAAAGGATAATACTAACCTAACATTAAAAGGATAATTAAAAATTACTATTTGAATATATATACACATTAAAAGGATGATACTAACTTAACATACTTTACATGAAAGGATAATACACATTACATTACACATTGAAAAGATAATTCTAACCGCACACAGTGAAAGGATAATCTAAACTTACACATTGAAAGGATCATCTAACCTTACACATGGAAAGAATAAAACCAACCTTAGACATTGAAAAGATAAACTAACCTTATAAACTGAATAGATGTTAATAATCTTATTCATTAATAGGCTGATATTAACCTTAGACATTGAAAGGATAATGTAACCTTAGACACGACAGATTATAATAACCTTACATACTGAAAGTAAAACAGTAACTTTTACTAATCCTAACTGCTGAAATACAAAATAATGCCTACTATTCCTAAACATTTATACATTTAACAATTACCATTGATACACACTTAACAGAAAATTCCAACCACTGCCAGTTTTATTCAAAAGAAGAGAATGAACTGCCTCTAATCTCACTTACTCTAAAGATAATTTTGACAGAGCCAGACTTTTAACAAAAAGACCTTGGTTCCTAGTTCAACCCTGCATTAAATGGATGGGTACCAGGTACAGTCCTGGAAAGTAAACGCAACCAGCTTGATGTTGACCATAGCATGCACTGTGTGCTGACCGGTCTATTTAAAAAAAAAAAAAGGTCTCATCCTTTATACCCAACACATCTAAAGGCATAGAAAAGAGTCCTTCACTCTAAAGATAAGCTAGACCCTCAATAAACTTATTTACCAAAAAGAAGCATCTGAAATGTTTCTAATCACACTCAGATAAAAGTGTTCTTCTTCTTAGGGTCTACCAGCTGTAACCACCAGCAGAAAGTTCCGGCTGTTCATCTACTTCTGGACTTTGATCTTATTACGACTTGAGTTTTGCATGTATATTTTAAGTTTTTAAGATCTCACTTATTTGTATGCAAATTATCTGTTGTTGCCTCTCAGGCAAGTGCACTCTGAAGAAAACTCCTGTAACTAGTCCCCGTTGTATGACAGGCTTTTTAGGGGGGCAGTGAGTCCTAAGGGCACACCTGGAACCCATACAGGGAGAAGTGACACTGAATAGTTTTTTTTTTTTTTTTTAAACAGGAGTGTTGTTTATAATCCTATCTGCCTAAAAGGAAAACTAAACAGTTACTAATCTGGTTTTCTTAAAATAAAAGCTGGACTACAAGTAGTCCTAATGACTGAAAAGTAAACAGTTAATGATAAAGAAGGCAATTACTATCTGGACACACAAGTTATTTACAATTTAATTTCTATAAATGTAAATGAAAACACCACTAACTGCATTGCTAAAGAAAAAATGGATTCCTAAATAACTAGTGACTTCAAAGAACAAAATAGCTCCTACCAATTCTGTGTATTTAAACATATGACTAAATTTATTATTTGTTTAAAAGTAAATTGTGATCATCTGTATAAGTTTTAAAACATCTAAAAGCATGTTTCTGTTATTTTCACTGATCTTAAAACAGCTGCAAGCATGTTTTTGTTATTTTTATTGATCTTAAAATAGCGGCAAGCATGTCTTTGTTAACAAAAATTATGAGTTATTTCAAAAACGAATCAAACAATAACAGCAATGAATTAAAACTACTAAAATAATTTCTGACGCAAGATATATTTACAGCCACTACTAAATTTTCTAGCAACTGTATAAAACAGAACAAATTGATTTCTGAAAGGAACAAAACTTAGTCACAAGGCACATGCTTTCTTACAGTCTGCACCGGACTTGGAACTGGCAAGAAATTTGGAAACTGCAGAATTGTTACACAAGAAAAATGTAAAACCATTGCTGCAGAAACAGTGAGCAGTTTGTTTTGTGTCTGGTAATTTTTTTATTATTTTTTTTTAAATTATGTAGATGATAATGTATTCTGATACTGATAACATTTTTACTGCGTAAAACTGATACACAAATAAAGAAGTGAGGACTGACTTCACTGCCACAATCTTATCTTAACAGAGTGGCTGATTGCCCACAACAGCATTAAATAAAACACTCAGCTCCAGCGATGACCCCGATGGATCTTAAAAATACCTATACTCGTGAACTCAAGGACCAAGTGTAAATAACTGAATTTATTCCACCACAGATACCCTCTATGAATAACAACTGTTTACATTACCCTTGCTTCTTTCAAAACCAGAAAATCTCCAGAAAACCACCAGATCTCAAAAACCCTTTTTACTGAAATATTCTTCTTCTTCCTCCTCTTCTCTTCCCCCAGTATCTCATCAAAGTGTTGGAGGAAAGATATAAGGATCTTCTGTTCTTGATACCGTAAGTCCATCCTATGCAAGGGCTTTCCTTGCTCCGTATTTATTGTATTTATTTAGCGTGGCTCTTTGTAGCAGCTGGTACCTAGGGCATTGTCACCACATGGCCAAATCATCCATCTATCCTCTTCAATCAACAGTTTGACTAGTTTCAGTGCTAGTCTTCTTCTAATTTCTACATTTGTTAAAACGTTATCTCAACTTGTGTTTCTGGCATTTCTTCTAAGACATCTCGTCTTTTTCTTATGATTTTTACTCACCAGTTGTAGTATGTGTTCATGGTAAAATATTTGCCCAGTATATTCACAGTCAGCAGTGCAGTGGCTAGCATACTTGCCTTCTGGTAAAGACATGTAGACCATACAACTCAAACTGTTGGGTCACCTTTCCCACCTTGTCCATGTTTACCCAATGTGTTTTATAATGAAATAATTATGTAGTAGTTTATTCTGGTGGGATATTTTTCAGGCTTAAGAAGAGGCCTGAGTTAGGTAAAGAGCCAGTCATCAAGAACAATGCATACATTAATACTGTTGCTGTATTAAAGAGGAGTGGCTGGTGGAATGATTAGAACTCTGGAGATTCAAGCGGAAGACCCAGGTTCGAATCCTCAGCAAGGCTGGGGATTTTTTCTGTCGGGGAAAAAATTAAATTCTCACCTGCACAGTCGTGTAAATCCTCAGGCTCAGACCCCCACTCCCCAGACCACAAAAGTGGTAAAATAAAGGCATTAATGGCAGTTGCAATTTGGCTGTATTAAAGGGGCAGTGTCTCTGACAGCATCAGGGCCCCAAGCTGAGCCTGGGTGTGCCTTTAGTCTTGCTTCAATACCATCTGTTGAGATGTACCTTGTGTCTTTTTCCTTGCCTATTTCAGCACTGTGGATGTCATGTACCATCTGTTCCATCTGTGTCTACTCTATTCTGCTATTTTTTTTTCAGTCTGGAAAAAGAATCTGAACAAAAGGGCTTCTTTGTCGTCATTTGTTTCTGGTTTTCAACATATGTTTAAAAAGAATTCTTGCATGTCCCTACCCTCTCTCTTTCCAGCTTTCATGATGAGGATTTAAATATCTCTGAAAATGTTTACTATTATCTATGAAATTAAGTATAAATGAATAACTGCATGACAGGAGTGAGACAGGAAGGACAGAATGTTCAATGGGTCTGCATGCTCAATTTTTAACCCTTTAAAATAAAATGTGTTTGTTGGTTCTCTCTCTCCTCTCTCTCTCTCTCTCTCTCTCTCTCTCTCTCTCTCTCTCTCTCTCTCTCTCTCTCTCTCTCTCTCTCTCTCTCTCTCTCTCTCTCTCTCTCTCTCTCTCTTTCTCACAGACAGACTTTCACTGTCAGCAGACATGTTTAAAACACACAAAAAGACAGTATAATAAAGAATTTACAACAGCATCAACAACTAATTTCTTCTTGTACTAACCGCTCTCTGAGTCCTGTCAGGTGTGGCTGGTGTGGTGGCTGCAGATGCTGTTGCAGCTGCGTTTGCCAGTCCAACTGTAACCAGATTAGTGGTGCTGGTGCCAAAAGGATGAGTGGAATTGCCAAAGGCATCCGCACGAGGCTTTTCTCCCTTTCCTGTGGTCTTATGCACTACATTCTGTCTCCAGGATGTTGAAAACACCAAGGGTGTGGCACAGTAATGGAACAGTCTTCCAGCTCTTTTCAACTGTACCAAATAGTCTTCCTGTTTCCATAGAAAATAAGGGAGAAAAAAAGGACATTCTCAACTGGTTCTTTGTTAGAGCTCTTTCAGTAGCAATCAAATCACCATGGATCTGTTGGTTTCAACTTATATGATACACGTTTCTGAATTCCGTGTTGCCTACCTAGTTATTTCACTAACCCATTCTGTCACAATTCTAGCTTTAACCCTTTCTTCAAGCAGTCTTTTCATGTTAACTCTCTAAAACACAAACACTGACTAAAGCAGTTTTACAATTCTTCTCAATGTCCCAGAAAGGGGCAATCTGATTGTGGGACGGGGGGGGGGGGGGGGGGGGGGGGGGGGGGGGGGGGGGGGGGGTGGGTGGGGGGTTGCGGGGACGGGGGTAAGAGGGGAAAAAATCTTATTGATGGTGGGGGGGGGGGGGTGCAATTTGACTGTTCGGGGAGGCAATTTGACTGTTCAGGGAGGCAATTTGACTGTTCAGGGAGGCAATCTGATTGTTAAGAAGGGTAATTAGAAAATGGAGTTGTCCAGAGTTTGAGTATTATGTATATGTTACGTAGGCATAAGAATTATTTTAGAAATGCTTAGGTGGCGCATGGCGCTCGCACGCACAATTTCAGAACACTGGACTAAAGAAAAAACATCTTAGAATGGAATAGGTGGGTAAATTACAACATCAAGGGGTTCACCAGAAAAGACCCCTAAATGCTGTTTTTAGTATACTGGGCCCTCGTAAACACTGCACAGAAATTAACAAACCCAAAATGGAACATTAATAAGGAATGTAGTCAACATCATCAACACTTAATCAGTGATGTAGTCAACATCATCGGCACTCAATCAATGATGTAGTCAACATCATCGGCACTCAATCAGTGATGTAGTCAACATCATCAGCGCTCAATCAGTGATGTAGTCAACATCATCAGCACTCAATCAGTGATGTAAACATCATCAGGACTCAATCAGTGATGTAGTCAACATCATCGGCACTCAATCAGTGATGTCGTCAACATCATCAGGACTCAAAAAGTGTGGTAGTCAACGTCATGAGCACTCAAAAAGTTTTGTAGTCAACATCACAGCACTTAATCAGTGATGTCGTCAACATCATCGGCACCCAATAAGCGATGCAGTCAACGTCATCAGCACTCAACAGGTCTTGAGTCAACATCATCAGGACTCAATAAAAGTGGTAGTCAACGTCATCAGCACTCAATAAGTTTTGTAGTCAACATCATCAGCACTCAATCAGTGATGTAGTCAACATCATCAGCACTTAATCAGTGATGTAGTCAACATCATCGGCACTCAATCAGTGATGTCATCAACATCATTGGTACCCAATAAGTGATGGCGTCAACATCCTCAGCACTCAACTGATTTTGAGTCAACATCCTTCGGGACTCAATACAAGATGTAATCAACATCATCCGCACTCAATAAGTTTTGTAGTCAACATCATCAGCACTTAATCAGTGATGTCGTCAACATTATCAGCACTTAATCAGTGATGTCGTCAACATTATCGGCACTCAATCTGTGATGTAGTCAACATTATCGGGACTCAATAAGTGATGTAGTCAACGTCATCAGCACTCAATAAGTGATGTAGTCAACATCATCAGCACTTAATCAGTGATGTCGTCAACATCATCAGCACTTAATCAGTGATGTCGTCAACATTATCGGCATTCAATGAGTGATTTAGTCAACATCATCAACACTATAAAAGTGATTTCGTCAACATCATCGGCACCCAATAAGTGATGCAGTCAACGTCATCAGCACTCAATAAGTGATGTAGTCATCATCATCAGCACTATATAAGTGATGTCGTCAACATCATCGGCACCTAATAAGTGATGCAGTCAACGTCATCAGCACTCAATAAGTGATGTAGTCAACATCCTCAGCACTAAATAAGTTTTGTAGTCAACATCATCGGCACCCAATAAGTGATGCAGTCAACGTCATCATCACTCAACAGGTCTTGAGTCAATATCATCGGGACTCAAAAAGTGTGGTAGTTAATGCCTTCAGCACTCAAAAAGTTTTGTAGTCAACATCATCGGCACCCAATAAGTGATGCAGTCAACATCATCAGCACTCAACAGGTCTTGAGTCAACATCATCCTCACTCAATAAGTGTGGTAGTCAACGTCATCAGCACTTAATAAGTTTTGTAGTCAACATCATTAGTACTATATAAGTGATGTAGTCAACATCATCGGCACTCAATAAGTGATGTAGTCAACATCATCGGCACTCAATAAGTGATGTAGTCAACATCATCGGCACTCAATAAGTGATGTAGTCAACATTATCGGCACTCAATAAGTGATGTAGTCAACATCATCGGCACTCAATAAGTGATGTAGTCAACATCATCGGCACTCAATAAGTGATGTAATCAAAATCATCAGCGCCCAATAAGTGATGTAGTCAACATCGTCAGCACTTAATCAGTGATATTGTCAACATCATCAGCACTTAATCAGTGATCTAGTCAACATCCTCACCACTAAATAAGTTTTGTAGTCAACATCATTGGCACTCAATAAGTGATCTAGTCAACATCACATCAGCCATCTTAACTTCTCTGGATATTTCCTGGTAACCATTCTAGGCGGGGTCAACCTGAGTTCTTTAACTTGACTGTTATAAAAATAAATATATTTCAACCGTGAACATAAAAGATATATTAAGCCACATACTAAAGCAACAGCCAACTTACAGTAATAGGCGGGTTGGCACTATTTTTCCAGTTAGTCTGTGACCAACCAACATACAGTCGATAGAGTTTGGCTCGTTCCTCCTCTGAAAATCATAACATAGAAGAGTGGTAAATCAATGATAATGAAAATGTGACTTTAAAAGTGGTTACATTTATGATTGCAGAATGAGACGTGAAATCATTGCAAGATGTAAGCTAAGACACTAATATCAGTCAAATAAATATGTATGCAAGCATATACACGCACACTTAGCAATTTTTATAGCTTCAGATATGATTTATTTGTTATTCTGTGTTTAGTAACTGGAAGTAAATTTGCCTAGAAAAACCATAGCAGTGAAAAAAAATGCTGGGGCTGGTTGTGCAATGTCCTGTAAAGGATATGTAACTAACTTTAACTGTGTTCAGTTCAGTAGTTTATTAGAGAGAAGGAGAGAGACACACACACACGCACACATACACCACACACAGAGACAGAAGTAGAGAGAAGAACATAAAGGTAAACTTCAGAATGACAGGAATGAGAAACAGTAGAAAGTGAGAGAAAGAAAGATAGAAACAGAGAGAGAGAGAGAGAGAGAGAGAGAGAGAGAGAGAGAGAGAGAGAGAGAGAGAGAGAGAGAGAGAGAGAGAGAGAGAGAGAGAGAGAGAGAGAGAGAGATTAACAGTGACAGGAAGTGAAAGGGAAAGGAGACAGACAGACAAAGAGAGACATTAAGAGTCAAGAGAAAGGAGAGTGACAGAGAGAGAAAGAGAATGTAGTGTCAGATTATGACAATTTCAAAAAGAGAGAGATGAAGAGAGACAGGAGAGAAAAAGAGGGAGACAGAAATAGAGAGTGCTGCCAGTGAGAGAAAGGGAATGAGAGAACAAAGAGGAGTCAGATAAAGACAAACGTCAGAATGACAGAGAAAGATAAAGAAAGAAAGAGAGACTAAATGAGAACTGAGGTAAGAAGAAGAGGGGGAAAGAAAAAGAAAGACTGACAGAGTGAGGGAAGGAAAAGAAAAAGGAGGAGACAGTGACAGAGTAATAGGCAGAGAGGAATGGTCAACAGAGACAGATAGCAAGATAAAGGGAAACACAGAGAGGGAGGTTGTAACCACAACAATTTGTACAAACAAGTAAATGACAGATATGTGATTTTAAATGGTAGTTTCACACAAACTAAGAAAGAAATAAGACTCAAAGCAATCACATAACAGTGGGAAAAAACTTGGATAATTTTGAGAGCTTCTATACAACCTAATACATTGTACGTGAAAGGCAATACAGACAAATAAGAGTCATGTGCCTATCCTTTACAAGATGTTACAGAACTGAACCAAACCCAGCATTTTCTATTTGGCTTTTTTTTTTTTTTTTTTAGTAGGCAGTTTTACATTAAATAGTTTGCTATTAAACAACCCTAAAAACCCTAACCTGCACAGTCCATGGTGATACAACTAACAACTAGTCACGCGGTAATAAACCCTTCAGTTCAAAGACCACCCCCCCCCCACCCCCCCCCCCCCCACCCAATTACACAGCAAAAGCGGTAAATACAAACAGTAACAGCAACTGTTTTCAGTTTGCTGTTGTTATCTAAGCAGTCATCTCTTGATACCCCTACTGAAATCAATGCAAGGTGGTCTGCTGCCACATCACCTGTAGCTGGAATCAAACCAGGCACTTCAGAATTATGATGTTCGCTCATAACACTGAAGCCATATGCGCTGACAAAAAATTGTTTAGAAAAAAAAAACACAGTGGCGGAATCTTTTTAGGTCTTTGATGAATCTGGCATATTAAGTGTTAAGTGCTAGACATACATTTTATAGACCAGTTAGCATTTGATGGGTTATATGGGCATCAGCAAGTCACAAACAAATAATTAAAATGTAAATCAAGCGGTCTCAAATACAACAACATAAACTGAAAAGGGTTGGAGGGGTGGGGGAGAGGGGTGGGAGGGGATAATACATTGAATAAATGAAAAAGCAAAACAAGATCAAAGCCCACAATAAATCAGGCACACAAGTGTTTGACTAAAATCTCAGCCAAATTATGAGATTAACTCTTTGAGTCTCAGAGGGTTTAGCATCCCAGGCCCAAGGGGTAGTAAAGAGAGACGTAAAATTGGCGAATCTTGCGTTTACTGTGCTTCTAGGTTGGAACCTATGAACATATGATGCGCTCCTTGGGACTCAAAGAGTTGAATTGTAATCTATTCCTCAGTAAGATGTTAACAAATATTATATCAATAATATATAATAAACATACTGAGCAACTCTCATTACTGACAGCAATATCAATTTGACTACTAGGTTACATAAATTTACAAAAGGTGAGAAAAACAAGGAAATGGTATACAAAAGTTTGTGACTGAAATCTCTGCCCAATAATGAGACTACATTTTTTTTTTAATCTGTTCATTAGTTTACCTGATAAGAGATATTTTAACCATCATTTATATATATAGATATATAATTTTTAATTATGGTTGGCAATAATTCCAAGCAGATATCTTACTTTCTAAGCTGTTCTAAGGGAAATAGTATATAAAAGTATATCAACGAAATCTGAGAAAAGATTAGGATTGTGTGTATTTTACTGTATGTTATCAAAATGCTAAAAACAATTCAATAATTAAATTAACCACAATTGTCATTGTAGTTTCAAATCCAACTGAAATATTTAATCATCTGGGATGTTATGGCACCATAAATTAACAAAAGGGAAGGAAAAAAGGGACAAAAATTAACAAAAGGGAACTGGTACACATGAGTAATAAAGCTTGCAATAAAGTTATTCATAATTCTCAGAAATGAAAAATAGCTAACCGACATCTTAATCATTCATCTTAATCATGTTTGTCCTTTTTTAAAATTCTAAAACACACACACATACACCATACCATAGTCATAAACCACGCAAAGTGATATGTGTGTGAGCTGCCACGTGTGTGCAAATCCACATTGGATGATAATTTTTGCGAAATAACCCTTCAAATTAAAAGAGAGAGAGAGAGAGAGAGAGAGAGAGAGAGAGAGAGAGAGAGAGAGAGAGAGAGAGAGAGAGAGAGAGAGAGAGAGAGAGAGAGAGAGAGAGAGAGAGAGAAGAAGAAAGAAAAAAAAAAAAAAAATCAATAATGTGGCCAAATGATCTTCTTCTTTGTACACTCTTCAAGGACGGCTGTCACTTTTACATCTTAGATAGGATTATATGCCTTTTTGGCCCAACACATTAGATTTAAGCAAATCTTGAATTAGTAGCCATTTATGGCATGCTCGCTAAGGGCAGTGAGTCTATTCTGTACCTCAGTAGGATCGTGGGACACAACTGAGAAGCCAGAGGATGGAATAAGCTCTACTAAAAATATTAATACCTCAACTGACAGAACAGACCGTAAAACCAGAAAACTTAACGAAAACACAATCATAAAAAACAAAATGGTATTTTGACTAGAAAATCTTCATTAGCACACAAAAGCAGAATGCCACTAAAACAAATACATATTAGAAAGCTGAAGAAAAGTTAGCATAGTGAAGTGAGATATCTTATCATTATTATTCTGGGGTGATTACTGGCTCCTGAGAATTGTGACGACTCTTGGATACACATTTCAACAAGCTGAATTTTGTGTCATTTAAATTTGTTACTTTTTATATTGTTCATTGCCTTATTAAAACTGGTATGCTACTCTGATTCATGATGATGTAATTTTGAGTCTTAAACAAACCATTTTCAACAATCCAGAATCAATTGCAATCTTCATTTAAAAAAAATAAAAGAAAGAAGGATCCCTGATAACTTAACAGTGACAACTAATTGTTAAAAATAAATGTAAAACTAATATCATGCACTAGAAACAAATATATCGACATGCCAACACTATTTTACTGTGCTGGCTGTTAACCCTGTCATCCTACATAAGCCGGTTTAGAGGTATTTACTGTTTTTATTTTTTTTAAACGACATTACACACATAGGCAGTTGTCAGTATGCTTATATAGCAGCTTTGGTACTAGTTGCAACTGCATAGTGTGTAGACATAGTTGGTATGATTATACTTGATTTTAAAAAATGTATTGAGATACTATCTGGTGCAGGGGTGGAAACATAAACACAATTTTTTTTTAATCACTGTAATAATGCTATAAATAGGGATAACGTCAGGAGATGACTGACAAAATTGGGTAAGTCCCTGATAGCATGGGTTTCACGGAAATATGGTGAAAGGACAAGAGTGAGTGAGTCACGTGTGAATGCGAGATCCGGGGGATTGAGAATGAGGTGGTCATTTGGTGACTGGGCCCCAGATTGGAAGGACGTGAAGCTGAATCCAGAGTAATAAGTGCACACATGGATCTGGATGAGAATCGAGTGAGTGATAGTCCTGAACAACAAGACATGCAGCGTGTTGAATTATTGTTTAGGCCAGCACTTGTACTCCACGGCCTATTCATTATGCCAGTCGTGTACACGCGAGTGTTCATCGTCTGAAGCGTGGCTGGATACTCAGAGCGTGAGCAAGGCGAGATTGCCCAAATGGCGTAAGTTAGTTCATCTGTTGATTCTTGTTGCTTGTGTTACATTGACAATAAACCTGTGAAATGCATCAGCTGTCGCCGACCGTCATTAAAAGTTGTGTGGCAGTGGAGAGACGTGCCGTCTGTCTGGAATGAACTGTGACATAACACCTAGACAACAGAGTCAGTGTTGAATCTGCACAAGAGAGATTGAGTGTGGAGGAGACACATTACATTGGGAGCTCGTCCGGAGTGGGAATTACTCTGGGAGCTCATCCTAACTGGAACAATACACTGGGCGGTCGTTCTTATTGCAAAATACATCTGAGTAAGTCACAGAAAAAAGCGTAGTGTTGTTGTGGACAGACTAAAGTTTTGGACAAACACTGGCAGCCGTAAGCTGAGAGTGATTATGTGTCACGGATGATGGAGTTTAAAGAGTCAAAGAGTATTATGTAAGACCAGGACATGCTGTCGAGAGGCATTATGCATTATGTAAATCCAGGACAACTGAAGTTCGTGCTCTATTCATTCTCAAACGGATCACTCCACGTGTTAGAAATTTCATACGTTTTATCCCGCGACGTGGGAATTTTCGTCACTGGAGGAGACAGTGTAGGCTGAACTTTTGACCCTCATGGTGGGTAATCCACGAAGCAAACTTTTCAGCGACTGTATCTGTGTGATCCTTATTTGACGTAGGTATTTTTGTCATGTTGTCATGACTTCATAATAACCTCATTATGATTTCACTTTGCTTCATATGGCTGTGTCAATAAAACCTTGTTTTCATGGTCAAAGGGAAGAAAAGCAGTCAATTCTTTGCTTTCTTTGTATTTAATTAATTCTTTCTTAGAGTAAAACAGGGCTATGCAAGACAAAAGTGACTAATAGTGACTAAACATTTTTTTTTTTAATATCCAGAAGCCATGAGTTGTTAACCCTTAGGTTCGGTATTATGGATATCGCAACCTTTCGGCCTTGTTCCATTGTAAATACCGTATATCTGGGAGAAATATAGCTTTTCTGCCTACCCCCGGGAGTGAACCCGGACAACAAGTAGTTCGTCACCCGGTCACCACACAGTCCGGTTTTACGCTAGTATCACAAAAATTAATAAAAGAAGCTGATGGCATAATAAAGCAGTTGTTATACTTGCCCTATCTAGGGTTCGGTAATTAAAAAACTGACCAAAACTCAGAATTTCTGCTGCTTCTTTTTCTCTCATTTTTTATCGCAACCTTGAAATCGGCCTTGTTCCATTGTAACACATGAGGATACTCTGACTATAGCTCCTGCGATGACAAATAAGGCTCTCAAAACACCTGCACTTGTGAAGCCGACCACTGAACCCAAGTCAACAACCTTCAGTGTGAGGTAATGGTTTAACCACTATAGGAACCATCAATGGAGTATGGATATATATACTATTTAAAAAAAAAAAAAAATCAGGGACAATGTGATTTGGCATACAACTAGACAGTCAGCAAGCACAGACAACAACTATGCCCTAGTGATAAATCTGTCTGCTTGTAGCTTACCTTCGATGAAGCATTTCTGTGTATCATTGAGGTGTAAACCCTGCTGGAACACAGGATCTCTGATGCTAATTACCGAGATCTTTTCATCCCGTGAGACTTGTCCAGATGACTGGTGAGGTGACGTCTGCTGATGCTGTTTGTCTTTTTCCAGGGTAAATTTGGCACAGTTGTTAGAAACGATGTTATGGTACAAAACATATATAGTTCAAAAAGAAAGGTGAAGGGTCACATTTTCATGCCGTCATAACATTTTGGGAGATGATTTGATCAACGGATTTGATCAAATGGGGAGGTTGGGTCATTATCGTTAGTTTTAATATGACAGTCAAGAAAACAACCAATCAAGTCATGAACCAACATTACAGCACTCTGGACATTCTCACATGCACTCTGTCCTCATCTTCAGCAGCTGGCAATAAGTTATAATTCCAATAGTAACAGTACCAGTCTGATTATATGTAAACATTATTACCATTCAGCAACATTGCACTGCCGTTTTTATGGGGTCACATATGTGTAGATACAGGCTTTTAATCTCATTAAAACTGTGCAAACTACTTCACACACAAAATATTCTTTGAGATTTTTGAACACAAAGTATCTGATTGAAGATTAATTTTAATATAAGGTAGTTATAAGAGGATAAGATAAGAGGAAACAATTAAAGGGGAAACCTCACTTAATCAAATGAATGTAAACAATCAAACTAATCATATATTCTGTATACAATATTTAGGAAGCACATCAATTGCAAAATTCACTCACAGGACACTCAAGGAAAGGTGTGTGAGGAAAGGAATGCTATTAAAAAATAAATAAATAAATAAAAAAGACAGCCAGCATATAATATACCATCTGTTCATTGTAGTGAATGTTTCATAAATCTCCTAACTTTAAAGTTTAAATGTGAAATATACTTCTGAACATTTAATTAAAATAATAATAAGTTAAGTTGCCTATCCTTTACAGGACGTTACAGAACCAACACTAGCGTTTTTTGGCTGTTGTGGTTTTTCTAGGCAAATGTTTTGTTCAGTAGTTTGCCATTGGTTTCTGCACGGTCAGCTTTCGGAACCACTGTCGAAACCAGCTCAAGACAAACTGTCCACAGCTGGGATCGAACCTGGCAACCCAGCATTACAGTGTGTTCACAACGCCTAAGTAACAGACGCCTACAATAAAAATTAAAAACATACAAATAACAAACTTATATAATAATGCCCTATCTGTATAATCTCCAGATCAACCTATAGGCTATAATGGCTACCAGGGAATGTTCAGGGGAGCAAAGATGGAGGGCGTGATTAATTCCACTTTACTGACTGAAAAAATATGGGACCTACCAACATATGCCAATTACACCTTAACGCACAGGTTCCCAATAAATGGGTCGTGGCAAACGTGGTTTTATAGATAAATGATGAGAATACCCTGGACAGACAAAAAATAGTAATGAAGATATCTTGAAAGAAACTGACTCACAAAGACAACTGATTGCTCACACCATAAGGAGTCAATCTAAGTTCTTTGATCATGTCATGAGAAGGAAAAAATGGAGGACATCATGCCTGGGGAAAATGTGAAGGAGGAAAAGAGGCAGAGGGAGGCTGAAAGAGAAGATACTCAACATGGCATGGACAATCATGAGTGTCAGATATGACTGAAGATACATGAGACAGAATGTTGGTTGTGGATGGACATGACTACCAACGCCACAGAGGATAGGCGTCATATTATAGAATGTACTACATACTTATTTTACACAACTGTTTTGTAAATTTTTAATTTTTTTTACTGTTTAAGAAATATCAAAAATTAATTACTTCCACTATATACAAATTATTTTAATCATACAGTAATGGGCCCATCTCTAACTAGCACAAACAGGACAGGTTATAATTAGGGTTAAAAAAAAGCTGGCTTATCTATAAAGATAACACATTCAAGCAAAATACACAACAGAGAAAATAAGCAGAATTACGATTATTCTCAAAATGTATCAAAATGGCCACACTTAAAAAACAAACTATCGTATATATTGTGATTAGGTAATAGGTGCATTTCTCAAGTGAGAAGAATAAGGTGATAAAAAATAAGCAAAGTTATATGTTTTTTTTTTTTGTTTTGTGGGGGGGAGGGGGGGTTAAAAAACGTTCATGCATACACTGGGGGAAATGATTGGTGATGAAATTAATTGAATGTGATCTTGTAAACATCTAGTTTGCTACCATGTTTTTTTCCATTATCACTAAATGCTATGCAGATTTCCCGGTTTTACTAAATCTTTTTTGGACTTCCCAAAGTCGAAGACTTTCTAATGTTACTAAATATAATAGAGATTTTCCAATGTCGCTAAATGTTAAACAGGACTTCAAAATATAACTAAATGATTAATATATTTAAATTCTTAATGTCACTAAATAGGATAAATTAAAGACAAGTGAAGAAATCAGAGAAATGTCTAGACAAGCGCTTGTATCAACAGTTCAAGACAGAGAAGATGGCGCTACATTGGACACATCCTAAGAAGAAACCAGCAGAGAATAACCAGACAGGCATTAAAATGGGAAATAAAGGGATTAAGGAGGTGAAGATGCTCAAAAGAAACCCTAAGATGAACATTGATGAGAAGAGACAAAGATGGTGAGCCATCCATGATAATGAGCTGATTACACAGGATAGAACAGAATGGAGGAGCCCTTTGCGACTTATAACGGCACAACAGGATAATGAATGAAACAGGATTGTAAACTAATTAAAGCATGGATAAGTACACTCACATCTACATTCTTAACTATCTAACAAGCTGAAAAAATATGTTATATAAATGACAAGGAAATGGCATAATTTTTCTTAGGTTTGAATCTATATCTGTTTTATCTGAATAATATTCCTCTCAATAACTTTACATATATATCTCGTGCATAACACAGTCTATCAAGGACAACTTAACAATGTTATATCTATGCTAATAACATTAGATTTACTTTGTTTCTACTATGCAACCCCTGTAACTTATAATGTTTGCAGTAATCTAAAGTTTACTTCTTATTCTTCTTCTTTGTGTTCACCCGCGAAAAATGTTCTGGTTGTTGTCCACTTATGGATTACAGTCCTGTTCCAGAACCTGAGTGTTACTTGTGCATCTGTTTGAAAGATCTGACTAATTTGTATGCAGACTGTTGGTTCCTTGTTTCTCAGGCAGATGCACCCCGACTTCGAAGGAATTTCCCAATGAGTCGACTCTTATGACATGCTTTTGGGTAGGCAGTAGGTCTATTCTTGCTTTTCTCTACAATAGGGATTCGGAACCCACAAAAGGATAAAGTTTACTTGAAATAATACAAAAAGTTTCAATATGTTATAAGAAGAAATTTAGAAAAAAACTGTTTACCTTGTCTGGAATGTAATTTAAACTCTTGAGTCTGAATGCCGTGCCGAGTAACTGGGTCACTGGTCACACTGCAGACAAGCTTCTCCAGCAGCTTGGGCGGTTGCAAGTTCTTGAAGGTTTGGTCAAACGGAACTATGCGCTTGACTGTGCGTGAGTAGCTCTGCTCCCTTTCTCTGTTAGAAATACTGCTGTTCCTTCGCTGGTAGTCCCGAGAAGGTGCATGATGTCGAATCAGAGTATCCACTTCCGCAATGGATTGTGTATATGGGTTCTGGGACTAAAATATAGATAAGATTAGACTGTACATCATGTAAGCTGGAGAAGAGAGTTGAATGAAGCTGAAACACGAAGACCAACTAGAACAATCACTAATAAACTATTCATTAAATGGTGCCTATGTAGAATAAAGTAAAGGACCCTTTTCCATGCCTTTAAACATACTGAGCATATAAGGTTCGACCTTTTTTGTTACTGACAAACTGGCACTTGGTGGGTGATGTGGTCAGTGTCACATAGGCCACCTTCCCTACCAAGGACTTTACCTGGTCTTAATTGAAAAAAAAATATGGATCAAACCTATGACCTTCTGATCTGCAGGCGAGTGTCTAGCTGCTGCACCATGGTAGCCCTCTATGAAGAACACAGGAAGTTAATTAAATGGTATAATGAAATCTGTTATCTAGAGTTTTAGGAGAGAACAAATCAAAATCCAGTAAATAGAAAAGAGAAGTAAAGACTCTGGCATTGGAAATGACATGCGCTGAGAAAACCTTTTAACAATATAGCCAGAATGTTTATACACTAGAACCCACAGGGTCAATGGAATAAAGGCAGATGGGAGTTAGGGATATTACAAATACATAATCAGATTTATGAGTGACTGCTCACTTAATCTTTGTCACATTTATCGCCTGTAACTTTGAATAAATTGATTATATGGCAAAAAAACTGTTTTTCAACTCTTTTGACACCAGAAGGTTTCACTGGAAATTTCAAGGTGAATAAAAAACCACCATAAAAAGTAATGAATGCATTACTTTCCAATTGGAAATATACACAGTGGCAGTGACCATTTGGGAAAGTCAGATCTCTTTAGTGCGTTGAGATCAAAAATTAAACAAATAAGAGAGAACATGATGCTATGGAGAGGAATCAAGAGGTAAATTCACCAACACATCAGGTGTCACTTAGGATTGAAAGAGTTAACTCTCTAAGGCCCACAATGTTATTTTAACTCTACCACACCACTGTCCTGATTTTTCGGGAATTTTCTGGAAGTGACAGTCAGTGAGAGCTCGAGTGATGAGAAGAATCTTGAAAATTATAGATCTAGAACTAGATTGATAGTAAGAGAAGGGGGCATGTCCCTCAAACAGCAACATCTGGTGCTCACTTTGTGAAACAAGGAGGAAGGCACACAAAGTGAATCATTGGTGCTAGATGAAAGGTAAACCTATTTTCTACAATGTCTCCAAGTTTTCATCTCATTCTAATGACTTGTTTGCAAGTAACTAACGTTTTTGTATATCATGTTGGTTTTTCAGTGTTAATACCCAGGAGCTCAGGTATAGGGGGCAGTTAGGTTCAGGGCCTCAGGTCTGGTAGGGTTAATCATCGCTGGAGTACTTACTCATACAAATCCTTGGTAATGAACATTTTGCACAATAAATGCTGATTCAGACAATTACAGTATTAAGGCAACTTTGTTTTTAACAGAACAATTTGTTTTTGTAAACAAAACTAGACAAAACAGAGTTAATTAAAGTATGTGATGTATGTTTATCTAAGGATCACACAATGAGTTGTTTAGTATCAAAAAGTTTTTTTAAAAAATACTGTCAGCTTCATAACTAACTCCATACTGTTAAATCTGCCTGACAGAAAAAAAGTTGCCAGCTTTTGACTGATAATTTTGTGTATCATCTGCTTTATAATCTCGAGTCTTTATTATCTGAAACTGTATACAGCACTTTCTTCTTTTTAGCTGTAAACTAGAAAATTCTAGTTGTTAGTCCACTTCTGTACTTTAGGTCTTGTTCTAGAACTTTAATTTTGCATGCACATCTATTTTACTGATCTGGCTTACTAGTATGCAGACTGTTGGTACCTCGCTTGTTCCTTCTTGTTTTACAACATGCTTGTTAGAAAGGCAGTGGGTCTGTTCTTTTTCCATAAAAACAGAGGGCCCCAGAACGCATAAGGCAAAAACAGACTATACAATCATAAACATTTTCTTACTCCAGTATTAAAATAAACACAAGCACTCACAGCAAGGTACTGAAGATCTGAAAAAGCAAAGTGGTGAAACAATCCCATCTTCTGAGCCACAATGCTGTCAAGTATATGAGACCGGGCATTGTTCCACTGTATGAGTCTTGTAGCAGTCTTCTCTACTTGAGCTAGCAGATCACTGGACCAGTTGTACATAAGTAGCGTCATCTGAAATTAAAAAATATCCAAGAACATATAATAATTAGTGATTTGATAAGAAAGTTGCTGACTACATCACCCACCAAGTGCCGTTTGGTCTTTAAAATATAGGTCTAGCCCTATATACCCAATATGCCTGAATGGCGTGGAAAAGGGTCCTTTACTTTGTACTTACTTATAAGAAAGCTGCGATGACAAAGTGACTAGATGCTTGACTGCCGGCCCAAAGATCTTGGGGTGAATCTGCACAGAGGTAGATGTTTGTTTCAAAACCGCCATTGGCTCCCAAGTTGACCCAGCCCAAAACAGCATATCAGGTGATTTTCTGGGATGTAAAGGTGGCTGGCATGATGCTGACCACATGAATTCTTAAGTGACTATTGGTCTAGAAAAATATATGAGTTTACAAGCATAATATGTTTAAATCACCATTGATCACTGACATCATGAGAGCTAATAGACTAAAATGGTTGGGGCACATTGAAAAATATCAGAGAAGTGAAAACTGTATACACAAGGGAGATGAATGGTCGTAGACCATGAGGAAGACCAAGAAGACAATGGAGAGATAATGTCCAGACAGACCTGCAAACACTTGGTGTCACCAACTGGAAAGAGAAGACCAGCCAGAGAGATGAATGGAGGCCGGTGATATCTGCAGCAATGAACCTCAAGGGCTCTGAATGCTGAAGAAAAAGAAGAAAAAGAAGAAGAAAAAGAAGAAGAAGAGAGGCATATGCCTCATGAAATACTGGCATATAAAATGGTCCCAATTTAATTTTTAAGCCACAAAACTAGTGGCTAGTATACCTGCTTGCTGGCGTAGTGAGCAAATGTTGTGTGCTAAAGCTAAAGTCACTTTGATATGTAAGAAGTTAGTGAAGCCATGATCGCATGTTATACGCTCAGGCGACATTTTTTCCTGGCTACAATAATCGCAACCCTTGAGATCGTAACTATAGACACTCTCCGTCATGTTAAAATCATTATTTTTGTGATGAATCTGCTTGAAACCTTTTAACCCATTCATTTCTCTATATTAATTTAAGGAAAACAATCTCGTAGTGCTTGTAGTAAATCAATGATGAATTTTCATTGATAGCTCCCAAATCAGTCACACATTGATGAATTTTCGTCATGGCATCAAATTCTTGAAGGGATCATGATGGTCATATTTATCATTTTTCTCTTGCAGCATATGGTTTTCTTGACTTTATATTTTTCTTCGGAAAGTGAAGACGAAGATATTACTTAACAGTCTGATGACTCTGGCTTCAAAAAATCTAATGAAGTGCGGTAGTGTTCAGTACTGATAGTTATAGTTAAAGTATTCATTCAGAGCCTGTAGATTTTGAAGATATTGTGGCTGAATCTGCATATGATTAAGATATCATTACCGCTTTTGATGCAGAATCATTATAATCATTATCAAACGAGTCAGGGAAAGAGTTGCCACACTGTTTGATGACTGGCGTTGTCATTCCTCACTGTTTGATGACTGGCGTTGTCATTCCCCACTGGTTGATGACTGGCGTTGTCATTCCTCACTGTTTGATGACTGGCGTTGTCATTCCTCACTGTTTGATGACTGGCGTTGTCATTCCTCACTGTTTGATGACTGGCGTTGTCATTCCTCACTGTTTGATGACTGGCGTTGTCATTCCCCACTGGTTGATGACTGGCGTTGTCATTCCTCACTGTTTGATGACTGGCGTTGTCATTCCTCACTGTTTGATGACTGGCGTTGTCATTGCCCACTGTTTGATGACTGGCGTTGTCATTCCTCACTGTTTGATGACTGGCGTTGTCATTCCTCACTGTTTGATGACTGGCGTTGTCATTGCCCACTGTTTGATGACTGGCGTTGTCATTCCTCACTGTTTGATGACTGGCGTTGTCATTCCTCACTGTTTGATGACTGGCGTTGTCATTGCCCACTGTTTGATGACTGGCGTTGTCATTCCTCACTGTTTGATGACTGGCGTTGTCATTCCTCACTGTTTGATGACTGGCGTTGTCATTGCCCACTGTTTGATGACTGGCGTTGTCATTCCTCACTGTTTGATGACTGGCGTTGTCATTCCTCACTGTTTGATGACTGGCGTTGTCATTCCTCACTGTTTGATGACTGGCGTTGTCATTCCCCACTGTCTGATGACTGGCGTTGTCATTCCTTACTGTTTGATGACTGGCGTTGTCATTCCTCACTGTTTGATGACTGGCGTTGTCATTGCCCACTGGTTGATGACTGGCGTTGTCATTCCTCACTGTTTGATGACTGGCGTTGTCATTCCTCACTGTCTGATGACTGGCGTTGTCATTCCTCACTGTTTGATGACTGGCGTTGTCATTCCTCACTGTTTGATGACTGGCGTTGTCATTCCTCACTGTTTGATGACTGGCATTGTCATTCCTCACTGTTTGATGACTGGCGTTGTCATTCCCCACTGTCTGATGACTGGCGTTGTCATTCCTCACTGTTTGATGACTGGCGTTGTCATTCCTCACTGTTTGATGACTGGCATTGTCATTCCCCACTGTTTGATGACTGGCGTTGTCATTCCCCACTGTTTGATGACTGGCATTGTCATTCCCCACTGTTTGATGACTGGCGTTGTCATTCCCCACTGTTTGATGACTGGCGTTGTCATTCCCCACTGTTTGATGACTGGCGTTGTCATTCCCCACTGTTTGATGACTGGCGTTGTCATTCCCCACTGTTTGATGACTGGCGTTGTCATTCCTCACTGTTTGATGACTGGCGTTGTCATTGCCCACTGTTTGATGACTGGCGTTGTCATTCCTCACTGTTTGATGACTGGCGTTGTCATTCCTCACTGTTTGATGACTGGCGTTGTCATTCCTCACTGTTTGATGACTGGCGTTGTCATTCCTCACTGTTTGATGACTGGCGTTGTCATTCCCCACTGTTTGATGACTGGCGTTGTCATTCCCCACTGTTTGATGACTGGCATTGTCATTCCCCACTGTTTGATGACTGGCGTTGTCATTGCCCACTGTTTGATGACTGGCATTGTCATTCCCCACTGTTTGATGACTGGCATTGTCATTCCCCACTGTTTGATGACTGGCGTTGTCATTCCCCACTGTTTGATGACTGGCATTGTCATTCCCCACTGTTTGATGACTGGCGTTGTCATTGCCCACTGTTTGATGACTGGCGTTGTCATTCCCCACTGTTTGATGACTGGCGTTGTCATTCCCCACTGTTTGATGACTGGCGTTGTCATTCCCCACTGTTTGATGACTGGCGTTGTCATTCCCCACTGTTTGATGACTGGCGTTGTCATTCCCCACTGTTTGATGACTGGCGTTGTCATTCCTCACTGTTTGATGACTGGCGTTGTCATTGCCCTCTGTTTGATGACTGGCGTTGTCATTGCCCACTGTTTGATGACTGGCGTTGTCATTCCCCACTGTTTGATGACTGGTGTTGTCATTCCTCACTGTTTGATGACTGGGGTTGTCATTTGCAAGGCTTTCATAAAGTACCCCCATTTACAAAAAAGGTGCAAAGTGTGTGTTTAAAGTTAGTTGTGTATCCTTTGCAGGACATTCCAGAACCGGAACATTTTTTGGCTGTTGTGGTTTTTCTAGGCAAATTTATGACCAGTAGTTAGCCATTGCTTTCTGGAGGGTCGGCTTCTTATTACCACTGCTGAAACCAACAAAAGGCGCAAGGCGCAAGGCCCAAAGTGTGTGTAGCAAAAGATATCTGTAAGAATCCAGAAACAAAAAGCAACTGGTGTAGGGAATGTCAGCTGCCACTCTGTTTTGAACAATGCTGTAAACTGTAACATAATTCTGACAAACTTTGCCTGTAAAATTAGATAAATGGGAGTTATGTGTGTGTAAGTGTGTGTGTGTTTTATATATATATATATATATATATATATATATATATATATATATATATATATATATATATATATATATATATATATAAACATGTTTTTTTTTTCTTGTTGCATTGATACTGAATTGCACACCATTTTCCCATTTTTTATATTGATAAAACGATACAATTTTATGTTTTATATGTCATGAAATTTAGTTTATATTGTTTTCCATTTAATTTGGTGCAAGAACACAAAATATGATGAGTGTACGTTATATGATTGTGAAGTTATGGCATTTTTGTTAGTCTATATTGTGGTCAGATAATAAATTTTCAGTAGCTTTTTTTTTTTTTTTTTTTTGCACAATATCTAGAGCCGCAAACAAAATAAACCCACCTTTTTCTTGAAATGTGTTCTCCATTCAATAAGGTGTAAAAGAAACCCAATATGATAATTGTATGTTAAATAGTTGTGAAGCTATGGCATTTTTAGTATACACTAAAATGTGTTGTGTGGTATCTTAAAAGTGCAAGGGTTAAAGGGGTTGGTAATCAGTGGGTTAATGCAAGATTGAAAAAGTTTTTTATTTTTTTTTTAAATATTATTACGAGACAAAAGGGTTAATGTTCATCAATTTCCATAGGCATTTTGTTTTCTGATGCATTTAACATTAGTTCAATGAAATTGGTTTTTCTACCTTTACCTTTAAAAAAAAATATATATTGTGCATCCTTTACAGGCGGTTGCAGAAACAACCTCAGCATTTTTTGCTGTTGGGGTTTTTCTAAGCAAATTGTATGTTCAGTAGTTTGCCACTGCTTCTGAATGGTCAGCTCTCGGTACCACTACCAAACCAAGACCTATCGTCCGCACCTGGGATTGAACCTGGCACCCCGGCATTATGAAGTGCGTCCGCAACACCTAAGCCACAGATGTCGACATCTTTACTTTACAAAGAGAAATTAGCTGATAACCTTGTGATTTACCTCTTTTCCTTGACAGAAAATGATCAGCAGCTTCTGCCTGGGCACAAAATCCTTCTCTGCTAACCTTGAACTTGACTGGTCGTGGTTTTTGTCAGGCTCAGCAAACTGCGGCAGGAATTTCTGACTGCCACGTAAGGCTGCAATAGAAAACAGATTACCTTTTTTAAATAAAAGTCAAATTAAAAAAAAAAAAAATTCTAAATGAAATCAGTTTAATTTACAAAAACTCGAAAGCGCTCACTCTTAAACTATAGAACACATTTAACATAATTATGTATTTTGTAAAATGTATTAACAACCATAAAGCATGGTACTAGGAAAGAGGAGCAGAGACCGACCAGCATGAAGATGGGCTCATGATATAAGTCATGCCTTGTGTATGAAAGTGCACCAGGTCAGACAGCTGGCAAAAGATCAAGTTTCTTTGAGGCAGGCTGTGAAGGGAGCAACATTTTGCAAAGGGCCTAACACATGATGATGAGCTGAAATAATGTTGTGACTAGAGCACCTGCCTGTTGGCCTGAAGATCTTGAGTCTGCATCAAGTTGGATTTTTGTTTGTTTTCAACACTGACTTTGACTCCCAGGCTGACCCAGCATAAAATGGAAAGTAAAGGTGGCCAACAAGATATGGACCACATACGAAAAATGTGCTGCTGATTGGTCTATTAACTCTTTAAAGCCCAGGCAATTTTGTGAGCGTTGTTTGAGAAGTTCCGTTTTGCCCAAACAACGCTGTCATCATTGATCGTGTGTCCCGTAAATTTTGCTTCACACATGCCTTTGTACTAGTTTCTAATGTTCGGAGGTACGATTAAACTATTCAGGGAAAGGCACTCTACCTAAATCCTTTTAGTTTCATTTCCTAGCCTAAGAAGCACGTACATAATTTGACAGAAATAACAGAGAGATTTTTTTCAACATTGCATTTTCTAAGTTCATTTTCGAGTGCCATGAATACCAATGTTCCAACTACAAGTACAGGTCATAGAATGCGTCTTTCTGCGGCCAAAGCTCAGAAATTGTTTTAGTCAGATGTTTTTAATTGTGATAATGATAATAAAAATTTATGTTTTCAGAAAGTGATTCAGATGGTGAATTTTCACCAGCGAAGCTGAGCGATCAGCTGTTCGGAATCTAGCAATTCTGATGAGTTTATTACACAGACAATGTCCCATACTACCGTATTTTTGGTGTAAGAGAAGGAAAGTGCTCTGAAAAAATAGATTGTACTATACTATGGTTAAGCTACATTGAAATCATCGGAGCTAAAGTCTGTAAATAAATGTACAAAGTAAATAGTAAATAGTTTGTGCGTAATGGCTCATTTTTCTGCTATTTTTTGTCTGAAATTTTGCTCAGCACTCTGTGAGAACTAAGAGCCCCCTGCTAAACTAACCCGGAAAGTTATAACTTTGGAATATGTTAGGAAATTAAACAAACTTTGAAGTTTTGTTCTCAAATTTGGATATTCACTACTCTTGTGGCTGCAAAACCATGGTAAGTGAAGAATTTGTTTGTGAAATGTTGTCCTTGTGAAATTAACACCAGCTGAGAGAGACAAAAGGTCACAAGAAAGAACGGGAGAGTGGCAAGTAAATAGGCAGGTAAAAGAGAGATAAGAGTTGAGAGACAAAGATAGACAGAAATACACTGAAGGAGGAGGGGATAGGCAGAAAGAGACAGAGAAAAATAAAGGCAGGCAGAAAGAAGAGAGATGCAAAAGAAAAATAAAGAGGGAGGAGAGGAAGCAGAAAAAAAAAAAAAAAATGTAGTAAAATAGAGAAACAGAAGAGAGAGACAGACAAAGATAAACAAGGAGAGACAGTCAAAACAAACACGGAGAGACAGACAAAGACAGAGAGGGAGGTCAGGTCATCACAAAGGAAAAGATAATATTAGCAAGACACAGTCTGGATAAGAAAGATCAATGAAAACAAACAATACACTGCCCTATCATCTAGAGAGACCAATGTCAAGTGAGCCTTACTTCTCTGCGCTGGAGCTGAAAAACATGGTGTGACGTCCTGGTAGTCCTGCACAGTACTCTGCCATTGTTCTAGGTTTCTGCCAACAGCCATCTTGCTTATCTTGCCACCAGTTGCTGCTAGGCTTTCAAAGAATCTGTTCATCTGAGCATCCTAAGATGCAGATAGTCAGAACATAAAAAAACAATTTCACAGTGAAGACTAGAGGCAGTCAGCATTCTGCCTCTCTAGCACACATTTAAAAAATGAAGTGGTTCAAGGTGACAAATGATTCATGCCAAAATGTAAAAAGTAACTCCCTTCTTTTTTCTCTATTTGCCTGTCCTTCTTCTTCAATACCTTTAACCCACTGACTAACAGCGTGGCACGTTATGCGATGAGGCGACGTTTACTTCTTGCCACCAAGATTGCACCCTTTGCGAATTTAGCTTTGGACGCTCGCCGTCATGTTACAATTGTGATTTTTATGATGAATTTAGTTGAAACCTCTAGCTCATTCACTTCTGTTTGGTTAATTAAGGGAAATAACTTTGTAGTGCTTAAAATAAACAGTTGACAAATTTTTTAGTTAGCTCCGATGACAGTGAGACACTGACGAAAAATTCAACGAAACAGTCTAACCATGGAAAGTAGGTCAATTCCATTGATAAGTTTGCTGGACTAGTCTACTGTGGTCGAGGTTATGGGTGTGGCCGTCTGTTTACGATTTTATTCCGAGAAAGAGACTGCATGTGACATAGGTTTCACACTCTCTAAAGAGGTTGTGTGTCAGACCCGGTTGCGATATGTTTGGAGTGTTAAAACCTCTAGCATGGTGAAATATACAACACACAATGTCAACAGCATTGAGGAACATCCCCATGAAAGTGACCCAAGGTTGCGTGGCTCGAGGTCGATCAATCAGAAGTTAGCTAGGCTGAAGGTCGACCAATCAAAAGTGAGCTAGTGTGTATATGGGTGGTCGGTGGGGAGACCAATGTTTCAATAACCCTAAAAAGATTGCATCACCTGAGAATAAAGCTAGGTAAAGCATGTTTATGCTGTCTTTGAGGTCAAGACAGCAGACATTATAACGAACTTCTTATTGAAAACAAATCAGCAGAGGTACTTTGAAGGGGCTGCAGCATGGTAGGACTGAGCATACATGGGAATATCCAATCTGTAGTGATGTCAGCTGTGATAACATCCTTACAAAGCATTAGATAACAAATCTAATTAATAATGAACCAAATCCACAAAGGACTTGGCATGAGTAGGAGAAGGGCCTACACTTCATTATAAGATGAAAGGCAGAAAGAAAATACAGACTTACTTTGCTTGTCATCTTGCAGGGAGTAAATGGAATACCATAGGGAGGCTGGGAGGGTGTGCTGGTCTGAATCACTTTGAATATTCTCAAGACTGTGTCGCTGGCAATTGTTGGGATGGACTGCTGTAGTTCTTTTATGACAAAGTCCACTGAAAACTTGGACTGGAAGTGTAACTGTGTTTTAGTCATGGAAGGCACACCTGAAAATAAAATGTAATAATAAATTATAGTACCATAAATAAAAGCATAAATAATAAATTATATAGGTAGCTTTTGAGAGTTAGTGTCTGTATGTGTCTCGTATTTATTTAAAAATCAGACCCCAAAAAATATTCCACTATGTTTCGCAGAACCAGCCAATCTGTCTGCCTGTTCATTTGCCAATACACTGATATGCCCAAAGAAAAGATCCAGACAATGCTCCTCCCCTGTGTCCTCCAAAGCATAGCATGCCAGTCTGCATGCAGCATGCCAGTCATCACCTTCCTCAGCATGCTTTCTGAATCAGTTACAGTCACCATATATATATATATTATATATATATATATATGCAACAATCTCCCTTCTTTCGTTTTCCATTTAAGTGCCTGTCTGATGATTCTCTATGTGCTTCTTTTTTGATGTGCCCAAAAAATTACCATTTTCTTTGTCCTACATCTAAATGTTGTTGAAAGCTGAACTAAGAATCAAAATCACAGCACTTGAAAAATTCCCATAAGCACTCCAACCCCATTTTCAGCAGCAAGCACAGTTCTAATTTTGATGGTATTAGTAACAGTCTGACTGTATATCCATCTCACCTTTCCCTTGAGTGTTGAGCATTGGCCAGATCCCCTGGTCACATCTCCCAGCACCATTTTCCTCAGACCGTGATGATCTATTTGTGCCTTTGCACTGTTCACTTGCTCCCATAGGATCCTTATAACATCTAGCTTGTCATGCATCAATCCACCATCAAGTTGTGCAGAACAAGCCAGTCTATCTCTCCCATCTCCCATATGCAGACTGATTCCTTGGAGGCAGACAGTGAAAGATGGACTATCACAGTTTGAAAGAGGCTAAACACAGCAAGCCAAAGAGAGGAAATGTCTCAGGGAAAAGCAGCCTCTGACGACACAGTATCACCATTGTGATGTTGACTATATGGCGGAGACTGCCACTCCTGCACTGGAGTTTGAGCCTTATTAGATGTACAACAGGGGTCTCTGTGGCGAAGTGGTCAAGCCATTTGCCTCACGCTCTGAAGGTTGTAGGTTTATTTCACGCCTGCCTTGTTCAGTTCACAAGTGCAATTTTTATTGAGATCCCTGATGATCAATGCCAGAGCTACGGAGTTTGTGCTTTGTGCGATGCTCTTGGCAGGCGGCTAGCCATTCTGTGGAGGAAGACTGAACCATATGGGATAAAACCCGGTGCAATGAAGTTGATGCTCTCGACTTTAACTTTAGTTGTTCCCAAAACCAGCGACACAACTCCATGGTCCCAGGGACTGACTGTGCCCACTCTCCTGTCTTATAACTGTTGATATGTTAACAATACAATAATTCTGTACCTATACTGTGACAGAAAGTCATCCAAGGCACCATCAAGGAACAGAAAACTGGATGAAGAGTGCCCACTTCTCCATTCTCATACTGTGCAATACTCTGCTGGTGTCTGATGGACTCTGACAAATTTTCCCTGGAGCTGAAGATTTTGCTGGCTATAGCACCTGGGGTGCGTGGCTGAGGCTGCTGATCTGTTCCGGATGCTGATGGAGCAGTTTTGAAGTCAAGACACTGCAACAAGAAAACACAGGAGATATTAATACAGATTATTAAAGTAGGTGAGTAGTGAAGGCCAGGCTGTTGTTTTTTTTTTTTTTTTAATTCAGCCGGTACTCACCACAAAGCGTCTATAAAAGGTGTCAGTACTCACACAAATTGTCCAAGTTACATATTGTGACGGCCCGTTGGTAACGGATGAACAGTGCGGGGGCGCAGATAGATTGCCATTTTTGCAAGAAAAGTGCAGATCTACTGCCAATTTAATGGGGGGGGGGGGGGGGGGGGGGGGGAGAGAGAGAGAGAGAGGGAGAGAGAGAGAGAGAGAGAGAGTTGTGTGTTTTTTACTGGACAGTGCAAAACCAACCCCAGCATTTTGTTTTGTTGGATTTTGTGATTCGGCTAGGTAATTTTACGTGCAGTAGTTTTCCACTGCTATCTAAATAGTCAGCTCTCGATACCACTGTTGAAACCAACACAAAGCAGTCTGCTGCCAAATGGCCCACAGCTGCAATCAAACATGGTACCTCGAAATTATGAAGTGTGTTCACAACATGTAAGCCCTAAAGAGGAAGTAAATGAAACACAAAAACAAAGCTTTAAAAATAAAGCTAAATGGGCTGACCTCAGATAGAAGCATTAATAAGTGCGAATACACACTAAATTTAACAAAAAAATTATGCCTTTATTTATAGCAGGGTTATTCAACTCTGGTCTGCGGAGGCCCAGCATGTGGCCTGTGAATCAGTGCAATTGCATTGTATTAATGATCTTTTAACACTGGGGTTTAGGCCTCTGGCCTATGACGATTCACATTTTCAACATGCTGGCCCCTGAATAAACTGTTAAGTAACACTGATTTATAGCATTTTCTTCTTATAATCATTTCTTCCATCTTGTGGAACAGTCCACTAGCAAAGACATACCCCACATATTTGGAGATGTGGAAATATAAAGAATAAGTCAAAGTTCATTGGAGAAAAATTAACATATTAAATACAGAGGTTCTGAAGAGACTAGAAAAGTAAAAATAGAGTTGCTAAAGGAAACAAAAAAGAGAAAAGTTAAATATTTTGACTACGTTACAAAATATATCACTTTTATAAATTATTGTCCCCAAACAGTTGCTATTTTAAAGGACCAAAGCTGAAAGATTTAAAGTCAAGAGGATTTATTAAAATGTGGCAGGTTTTGCTGTTTACAGCTCAGTCTCTCTCCACAGAATGTCTTTAACCACCTGCACAAAGCATGAATCACACAGCTCCAGCAACAATCCCCAGGGATTTCTGTAAGAACTGCTCTCACGAACTAAGCATAATCCGTGAAATTAACCTGACATTCAGAGAATAAGGCAAACATCTTTACTATTCTGCCACAGAGATCGATAAGACTGTCTATCCAAAGTGTGTGTGTTTTAGAGTAGCAATGTTTGAGTCTTAATAAATTTTCAGAAATATGGCTATGGGACAAAAGGATCAACAAGTGGGATCAAATGCATTAAAGCAAAAAACTAATTTTTACAGAAGTAAAGAAATGTATACTGTGTGTAAAAAAAATCAGTAAACATATCAAAAGTTTAAGTTATCCAGTGCTGAAAGAGTTAAAAGAGGAACACAGAAGAAAAGATACCCATTCCGTGATGCTTTTGCCAACTTGTGACTGTTGGAGGACATCCTAATATCTCCTACCACACCAAATAACTGTGACCAATCAAAATGGACCATAACGCTGTGGGAGCTCATGGAAGAAATCCTTAAAAACACAACTTTATATAGGTCACTATAAAATTTTGTTTGAAATTTATTTACATACATTTTAAATGTTTTCTTTGAAATATATGAAGATATTTCAAACGGCTAAACATAAACAGAGCGAAGCATTACATGAAATACATTCCCCATTGTTTAAACAATATTTTAAGTGGTTTGTGCCATGACCCTAATTTCTGTCAGTGAGGCTTATGGAAAATTTTGACATCAAATTAACTTTTGAAGAAGAAAAAAACATATGGTTTAATGGAAAACCCCTCTAAATTTCATTTCTAGTTAAAAAAGACCCTTTTCCACGCCTTTAGGCATATAGGGTATATAGGGCTAGACCTATATTGTTATAGACAATCGGCACAAGGTGGGTGATGTGGTCAGCATCACACCCGCCGCCTTTACTTTCCAGGACTGCACCTGGTACCCACTCAAGGCTGGGTCAACCTGGGAGCCAAGGTTATTTTTGAAAAAAGTCCAGGCCCTGCAGGGAGCGAACCCATGACCTTCCAATCCATGGCGAGTGTCTAGCCGCTCCGCCATGGGGACATTTATATCTAACATATTCACATTGTGACCTCATAAGCATTTGCGCAGAGACAAAAACTCAGCCAATAGTTTTAGTTATACATCTCATTAAGAGGTTAGGAGCCCCTGTGGTGTAGCGGCTAGACACTCACCTGCGGATCCGAGGGTTATGGGTTCTGGTTTTAATGGTGTCTGACTTAGTTTTTTTTAATTTTTTTAGCATGACCTCGGCTCCCAGGTGACCCAGCTTTGAGTGGGTACCATGTACAGTCCTGGGAGGTGAAGATGGCCTGCATGATGTTGACAACATCATCCCTCGAGTGCCGAATGGTCTATAAAAATAGGCCTAGCCCTATAAGCCCTAAAAAAAAAGTGCCAACTTGTCTATAAACTACAGGTATCATAATATGCACAATACACTTGAAGGTATTGAAAAGGGTCTTTTACTTAAACAGATCACCACAAACAAGTCAAGAAAGTGACATTTACAGGCAACAGGTCCCAACTGCGAGCTTAGGGTTTGCAGATTCTCAAGGCAACAGGGTTAAACCAGGGCCTGAAACAGCTATTATGCAGGAGTTGCAATCATCCGCTAGCTGGTATGAAACTGCAGTACTACTTCCAAGCATGTAGTAACCAAACACAAAACAAACTGACTAGAAAGCTTAATGGAGGAAAAGGTAAAAATGCTCACAAATACAACCAAATATTTCTACCAGAAGCTTATCAACTGACAAAACAACAGACTAATCAAAACAGCAGACAAAGACAACACTGGAACTGTAAATATGCAACAGCAGAAATAAAACTGATTAATTTTAAAACATACCTTTCCTGCTGATGTCTCTCCAGGTGCACTGAAGCGAAGATCAAGGATAGAGGTGAACTACAGACTTTGAATTAGTCATACTGCGTGGAGGGTCCACAGACATTTTGCGAGTAAGGATATTGTGCTTTCTCTCATGATTTTCAGCTAGAGAAAACATTAAAAGGTGATTACAATGTTACAAACCAACTGAATGCCTTGTCCTTGCTATGTCTTTTTCTTCTCTGTTAACCCTCAAAAGGGTGGTTTACAGCTAGGCTGTGACATCTGTGGCTTTCAGCCCAACAAATCCAATTTCAACACATCCCTAATTAATTTTTTTTTTTAAACAAATACAATGAAAGGAAACTACCTTGTTACTAACCAACTGAATGCCTTGTCACTAATATGTCTTCTTTTTTTTCCCTTCTTCTTCTCTGTTTGCCCTTAAAAGGGCGATGGCATTCTGTGTTGTGGTTTACAGCTAGGCTGTAACATCTACGACTTTAAGCCCAACATACCCAATTTCAACAAACCCCAAATTACAGGCTTTTTTTTTACAACATGCTTGTAGGGGGCAGCGGGTCTATTCTTTTTTTCCTCCCCCAAAATGGGGCTCCAGAACCCACACGTGAGGTGTCACAAATACATGATTTCTTTTCTTCCTCCAGTTACCTCAGGAAAGTGTTAGAGAGAGGTGTAGAGATCGTCTGTGTGCTCGGGAGAGATTGTCTGTGTGCTTTTTATAATGTGTTGTATTAGCTGGTCAACATTTCTCTAATGATATTCTTAATGTTGTTCCATTTTGTGCATGCCCCCCACCCCCAATGATGTCTATTCTCTGGAGAAGGAGCTGGCAGATGATTAAGAGCACTCTCATGTGACAGACCCAGGTTCCAATCCTCTGCAAGGTTATGGGTTTTTGTGTTAAGGGTAAAAATAAAATCTGAATCTGCACAGTACATGCTGACAGCACTAACCATCCACAATTAAATCTTCAGGTTCAAAGACATACCCTGCCTACACTGCAAAATTGGCAGTAATGGCATTTGGGGGAGGGGAGGGGCGCAGTCAGTTCTCCATAATAAATCATAAAACATAAAAGGGAAAATACAATGAACTGTACACTTCCCGTGCTATTCAGGACATTCCTGGCAACCAGTATTTATTGGTGGCTTGTGATTTTACTAGGCAAATTTATGTTAAACTAATATTTAACTACATCAAAAGACAACAGATCAAATGGTTTGGACATGCAGAGCCAGAAGTCAACCACGCAAGCCACGTATAGATGGAATAGCTGAGGCCATAAATACCAGTATCTGCGTAACACCTACCAAGGCTCTCACCTGATGTCTCTTCAAAATGTGATGCTGAAAAGCAGAACCTGACTTTTGGAGGAAGAATAGGAGAAGAAGAAGAAGAAGACATTTACATTTAGTAGATTGCCCATTAGATGCTGGCATTGGATTGAACACAAAGGTGAGAAAACCTGACAAGAATATATTTAGAATGACTCTGCACTGGAACCCATTGTCAAAAGAACAAAAGGCATACCAAAATACACATGGAGTAAGAAACTAAAGAGTGAAGCTATGAAGATGAGGAGGACACTGGGTGAGCTGCATGTGATAGCAAGAACAGTTGACTTGGAACGAGCTGATTCAGGGCATTTGTTACATTAGAAAGGTGAAAGGGAAAGGTGAGATGAAAATATACAATCAATCTGTTGCTGGTGTAATCTGAATTGAAACTCTGTGTTTACTGCTGAAGAAGGGGATGGAGTACATATGGGAAGGACACGAGTGTTGTGATGTGAATTCTCAGTTCAATATTCTTCTTCTTGCTCTTTCCTCTTTGTTCACCGGCTGTAAGCTCCAGGGTAAAGTCCTGGCTGTTCGTTCATTTGGACTCTGGCTTTGAGCAAGAGCCCGAGTTTTGCGTGTACATGAGTTTTTGTATGTGCAGCTGTTTGTTCATTGCCGCTCAGGCAGATGTACACCGACTTTGAAGGGAGTGCCCAATTAGTCGACTCCTATGATATTCTTGTTGGGGAGGCAATGAGTCTATTCTTGTTTTTCCTGCAATAGGGCCAGGGGAAGTTCAATGTTCAACTACACTGAACGATTTGGGGGAAGGGGGGAGGCATAGAGGAAGAACAAAGAAGACAAAAAAGAAAAGAAGAGGAAGAAGAGAAAGAGAAGAAGAAGAAGCTAAGATTGAGCTATAATATGCTACCAGAACCAATTTGTTGAAGGCTTACGAAGAGTCTTGGTCGGTGAGGCTGGCAGGGAAGACACTGGTGGTGCATACATGTCCATGAGGCTCCTAGGCACTAGACAAATGGGTGTTGTCAGCATAAAGAACTCCATGACAATGTCGCACAGAGCATGTCTCACTGCAGCAATCAGCTTCTCTCTCAGCATCTTCACATCACAGCTGCCACATTCCCAGATGCGGAACTGGATCAGGGCAGTTGGACCTGCAACAAATTCAGTTCAGTATATGAAACACTATATCGTCAGGTGCCTTGACTACAATATAAAGACACTTAATGACATAAAAGCAGGAACGATAGCAGCACTACAGGAATTGCAGAAGAAGCAGGATGGAAGCCATGAAGACAGCAGCTCCATGCAACCCCAAATAGACAAAGACAACAGCGAAAAGCCAATAGACGATAAATCAAAGGAAACATCGCCGAAAGAGTCTGTCTATTGGCAAGCAACAAGAACTTGAAGACAGATACAATGCAGAAATGAGCAGAATGTTTCCAGCAGGAAGCATCAAAACCAAAGAAGACAGAAGAAAACAAGCTCAATACAGAAAGAGACTGAGGGAAGAGATGAGAGAGACGACAAAGAAGAAAACATCCACTGACACCTACCAGCCAAACCCAAAACGTCAAGTAACACAGAGGACGCCAGACAAGGATGAGAAGGAGAGAAACAATAGCAAAGATGAAAAGACGAAATTACACAAGTCCTTGTAAGGACTAAGCATTATTACATCTTAGAAACCCAGATCATATCAAGATAGAGCGGAAAAAAGAGACAGGAAGAACAGAAGCCAGAAACAACCAATCAGAAGACAGGAATTGCAAGACGACGAGAGGATAGGACAGAACCAAAATACAATATCCAGATGTGTCCTGACATAATCAGGAACGAAACAAAGTGACACAATAAAGAAATAGAAGACCTCAGCACCAGGTATAAACAACTCTATACAAGGAAGAAGCAACATCAATTAAACCGTCTAGAACAACACAACAAAATGGAACCAAAGGAAACCATATTCGAACAAACCATACTCAATAAAGATCGCAACTATAGGCATCAGCTACATAGCTGAAAAAGTCTGAACGAGATCAAATTATCTTTTTCTTTTACAAGAAGCAAGCAAGCAAGCAAGACATGGCATAGGCGATCAAACCTCTTCACAGCTTGTGATTGCTAACAGCATTTCTCACAATTAAATGTTCAAAAATAAATCAATTGTTTTGAATGACTGACTGAATGGTTGACTGATTCTCCGTCATCAGTCCAAATGATGTAATTTCTCTGTACAGCTTTGCAGCCTAGCGGTGATATATGTTGCTTTTGGAAAAGCATCCTTCATCAGGTGTGCGAGTGTGCGTGCGTGCGTGCATGCGTGTGTGTGTGTGGGTGTGGGTGATTTTTAAGGTTAGCTTTTGTGGTTAGTTTTTGTGAGCACTTCACAGCCTCATTTGTGTGGTTACACTTGTGAAATAAAAAAATTGCATCACCACCCATTGGGCCTCTGATGCTAAATCCCCTGGGACTTAAAGAGTTAAAACCCAGCCAGTCATTCTTGATGACCCTGTATGTGCCTAATCAAGTAGTTTGGACACATATCAAGACAGCACAGAAAGTCCTGCCATGCCAGATAGTGCAGCACAGAAAGTCCTGTCATGCCAGATAGTGCCGCACAGAAAGTCCTGTCATGCCAGATAGTGCAGCACAGAAAGTCCTGTCATGCCAGATAGTGCAGCACAGAAAGTCCTGTCATGCCAGATAGAGCAGCATAGAAAGTCCTGTCACTCAGACGTAACAGAAGCAGAACAAGAGGTTGATCGTGCAAGTTATGGACAGATGGAATATCCGAGGCCATTAATACAAGCACCTACATAGCACATACCAAGGCTCTCACCCGAAGCCTCTTCAAAACCTGATGCTGAAAGGCAATATAGGACTAGAGAAGAAGAAGACCTTGACTGTGCAGGTGCTAATACCCCACTGGCGGCGGGGGGAAACAAAGAACAAATCTACTATACCCATAACAAGCATATCCTAAAAAAATGACTAATCATGAGTTTGAAGAAAATGAATATGTTGTTAAGCACCAGCAAGGATATCAAATTTAGAATTTTAAGAGTATGCATTTTCCCTGTAGCAATATACTGATGTGAGTCATGGATTATCTCCCAGTTGTTAAGAAAAAGAATAGGGGCTTTTGAGCTGAAATGCTGTAGAAAAATACTCAGAATATCTTGGACAAAGAAGAGGAGAAATACTGACATCTTGAAAGATCTGAACATCAAGGAAGATTGACATATAAACAGCAAACTGTCTCGGAAGCTGAAATATTTTCGTCATATCAAGCGCTACGACAGATTGGAAAAAATTATAGCAGAAGGCATGGTACCATAAAGGAGGGGCAGGGGCCGACTAACAAGAAGGTGGGCAGAGGATTTAAGTGACTCCTTGAGTATGAAAGTACACAAGGCGGGAGAGCTGGCGAGAGAGCAAGTTTCTTTCAGGAAGACCGTAATGAGAGCGACTTTCTGCAAAAGACCGGCTACATGATGATGATGACCATGTTGCGCTAAAAGGTCCAGATATCACAGCCTAGCCTTAAATCACAACACAATGTGCCACCCACCTATCAATGGTGAACAGAAGAAGAAGAAATTACCTGGTCTTGATGCTGATCTTTCATGAACTGTAGTCTGCACAAACTTATCAAATTCTGTAGGATCACTCAAAGCTGGCATGTTGTTTTTGCTCGGGCATGGACAGTTGAGAAGCTTCACTGGTGTACCTTGGCCATCCACTAAATTGACGCTGACAGTCGCTATCCCTACGGTATGCAGAAAAATAGGAAGAAAAATGTTGCGTTCATTAAACAAACAAAAAATGTATGTGCTAGCTCAACAATAAAGTCTGGCTACAGTGCACCCACAGCTCCTTTGGGAATATTAACTCTCCCACAGCACAACTCTTGTACCATGAGAATGGTAAACCATCCTCTGCAGAAATAAACCTTATTACTTGAGGATAGTGAAACTGTGAAACACAGTAACCTCTAAGACACATAGCTGCATGTGTTTATTTTAACAGTTCACAAGTTATTTGTATCTAATGAGTCTGGTTATAACAAAATTTAGATGGCAAGTTGTTTTGACATTTAGGTATATTTTGTAAGTATTGATTGCTGCTTTTTGTAAATAATTGCAAGTTAAAGTTTAAAGGTGAATGAAGAAAAAAGATGAAGAAGCAGAAGTAGAAGCAGGAGGAAGATGAGGAGGGGAAGGAAAATAAGAAGACTTAAAGGTTTTTCTGTAAATACTTGACTTATATTTTGCAATGTATAAAAAATGTTTTTAAATTGTTGTTAAAAAAAATGAAAAATAAAATAAAAAAGAATTCTAAAATCTATGACAGCTCATTGGGTAATACATACATGGTTTTTGGATAGTGCTCGACCTAAAAGATATCAACAATGTCACAGACACTTGGGGGAGATCAGCTGCAGACTGACTGCTCTGGAGACAATAAAAGACGGACTGTCACAGTTTGAAAGAAGCCAAACGCAGCAAGCTCTTGTGAGGAGATGCCTGAGAGAAAACCAGCCTCAGAGTGATGTTGCTGTTGTTATCAAGCCAGCGGCGCATGAGCTTTCGCCTTCTAGTCTAATGCCAGTGACATTCCATGTAGTGGAATTAGCATGTTTTCACAAGCTGTTTTTTTTTCCATCATACAAGGTGTTCCACTTGTCTGGTCTCAGATGGAGCAGCATTCTTCTAGTCTCGCTGAGTTTTAAGCACTCAAAGAGATGGTGGTCAACAGTTTTGTAGGGGTAATGCCTCAGAGTGATATAGCATCAATGTTTTTTTTTATGTCGACTCTGTGGCAGAGACTGCCACTTCTGCATTGGACTTTAGCTATAGAAGACACCGTTTTTAAAACCAGTGGTACAACTTCATGGTCCCCAGGAACTGACTGTTGCCTACAGATATTTGGGTAGTGGTATGGTATCATAGCCTCACCATGACAGAATCTGCAGCCTCACCATTTAACTATCCAAAGGACAGTAGTGGATGGGCATATCCATGGCAGCCAACATCCGTAGTGGAGACCATTTAATTAATGAATCAACATTTGCTGCTTTGTGCAGCTCTGTGGATTAGAGGTGAGTGAAATGGTTTTACAATGCAATCCTTACCATTTACCAGGGTTTGAGTCCTCATGGATTTCAGACAGTGTGGTATGAGAGTTGCTCTGTGCAAGAGACTGAAGGCTCATTATGTAATATTCCCACAGTTAGTAGTGAACTCATTGCAACAACATTCATTGATGAAAAGGCACAATTTTTAAATGTTTGTTTAATCTGACGATAAATTTTACACAAGATTAACATATTTTACTGTAAAGTAAAAAGTAAAAGTAAAGACCCCTTTTTACGTTTTAGGTGCAAAGGGCATATGGGAAGAGCAGCCATACTTTTCGGCATTAGGTGGGTAATGTGGTCAGCATTACGCATTATTGGAAAGACCTTGTGTAAATACTCAAACAATATTCTTTACAGGTTAATGAACTTTAGTTAGTTGCACATTCTTTATAGGATGTTGCAGAATCAACCGCATCATTTTTCGGCTGTTTTGGTTTCACCCAGCAGTTTTACATTCAGCTCTTGACACCTTTGCTGAAAACAACGCAATGCAGTCTGCCGCCTAGCTGCACTCAGGCGGAATCAAACTAGGTACCCTGGAATTTAAAAAGCACATTCAGCCACAGACATCGGCTAAAATTAATGTGCTATCTGATGTTTTCCAGCTGCAACAGATAGTACATCAACGCTACAAGATACATGGAACAGTGTCCAGGGATTGTCAGCAACAGTGTCTCCAGTGGTTCTTGTTTTGGCTTCTGGATGAACTGATGGAAACAAAATTGTCTCAGTTACTTTTACCTGTGTGAGGATTACTACTTGTCTTTATTTGTAGTCAGTATGCATCTGCCTGAGAGGCAAGAAACCAACAGTCTGTGTGCAAATAAGCCACATCTGCAAAACTGATGTGCCTGCGAAACTCAAATTTCAAGTTCTGAAACAAAACTAAAGTCCTGAAGTTGATGAACAACCAAAACTTTAAATTTATACTTCACACAGGGCTCAGTCTGTTCCTCAAATCCCTGTTATCCTGTGTAATTTTTGTTAATGTCACGGATACCTTTGGTATCTCTCAACAACATTCATCTTAAGGTTTCTCTTTAATACCTCAATCTGTTTCTTTCCCATTTCAACATAGATAAAGATGATAAAACAGTGACGGTGAGGTGAGAAAAAAATTGAGGAAGGGTCAGAAATAAAAGAGAGGAAATTAAATTGTGTGAAACAACCTAAACTGGCGAAGTCTGCCAAACTATCCCCTTGTAGCAGTGGATATTGAGAAAGTGTCACATATACAAACCAAAGACAAAAACTAGTAACCAAGATGCAAATAATACGAAATGGGCAAAACTATAGGGTATATCATTTACAATATTAGTACCTATTTGAATCTGGGTAGTTTTGGGAGCCAAAGTCATTTATTTAACAACAACAAAAAAACAATTTTATAAATATATACATATATATATATATATATATATATATATATATATATATATATATATATATATAAAAATGTACATGTATGTCTATATATGTGTGTGGGTGTGTATAGTGCATACCAGCCATCTCCTCAAAAACCCACACCAGATACTAGAATAAGGGTCCAAGCCACTAGTTTTGGTGCAATTCACATTTCTTAGCCAACATAATTGGCACAAAGAAACTAGACCATAATTATAACCGATACTGTTTCAGTAGGTTGAATGTGGTCGTTTTTTTCCCCTAGACATGGATGGATGGAATGCCTCTTTGGTGATTCTCTGTCTGCTTCTACTTCAGATATGCCCCCAAAATAGTGCCATCTTTGTGGTAATAAGGCTAGTGGTGATCAGCTAACCATCATCATCACCACTGTTGTCCTGTTGTGTCATGATATATCACACATGGCTTGCAGTCTATTCTGCCACTCTGTTCTATCAATGCAATCCTTTTGACATCATGGATAGAATACAGTCCAGCACCTTTCCACCTCTATCATCAACATTAAATTTCTCATGGCAGTGCCTACTTGGTGATGCTTGGCTCATTTCTTCTCAGGATGTATCTAATATAGCATCACCTTCTGTGTCTTTTAACTGTTTTTACCAGTGCTTGCCTAGACATTTTTCTTACTTCTTCAACCCTCCTGAATTCATCCCATTTCATTTTCAACATTTTTTTCAGCCATTCATTGTCAAATGCATTTAAATTTAGATCCATGTCTTCCGACATGCATTTGTTAAAGTTGAAAAAAAAACACACACATTAGAACTGAAAATACCTAATTTGGTTTTAACACTCAGCTATGTTTTTATTTTTATTTCCTCCTATTTAGGACGAAATTTTTTGTCATTTGAAGCCCTACTCTGGCTTTTGCCAGGGGCCGCAATATAGGCAGGCCATACATATGGCCAAATGTCTGAACGCGGTTTCTGGGACCTCTCCACGGCGATCCTCATCCGCATGGTGGCACTTTGTGTCATCGGGTGTTTATCGCTTGTGTGATGTCCTGGTGGTGTAGAAAGTCAGTCAGTCAGTCAACACTCAGCTCGCCACCATCGACATCAAATAATGGCATTCTGATCTTTGAGAATGAGACTTCAAGTTAAACAATATGCATCACAAAAGACACTTAGTTGTTAACAAACTTACAGAGATGTCATCTGGCTTCAGTTTGCACTGAGGATTCCTACTAAGCATCACACAAATGGTATCCAGTAAGGCATCATCCAACTTGTTCTGTAGCATCTTCATTACATCATCTTTGATTTCTTTACCTGTGAAAAGGAGAAAAAAAGCCTTTATTAAAGTTACCAGACACAATTACTGGCTTATCAACACCATTAAGTAAATCTATTGAGAACTACCTTACCCATCTTACAGGTGCCAATACACCTTGAAGACTTAACATTAAACACAATTTTATCTAACATCTGTGAGTTATGGCCCTTATCACTTACAGCTTTTTCCGGTTTGATATCTTTTCCTGAAAAAGAAAAGCAAAAGCAAACAACAGTTTTAGCTTTAACTAATTTGTTCCCATAAGTCCTCCTGGGGCCTTCCATTTTAGCAAATAAAAAAATAAATTTTCATAATTAACTCTAAATGTATTTCTGTACTTACTCCATTCCTAATTGTATTTTTATTATAGCTTGTGATAAACCATCTACAAAATGATACAAATAATGACAGGATTCTCCGTGATAAAATGTCCAGCAATTGTCCTTGTGTTCTGAACATCAAGGGTGTGTTTACAGACGTGTCACTGGGTTCAAACAGCAGACAGCTGCAGTGACTAACTCCATTCTTAAATCAGATGGTGTGGTTAAGATGCAAAGCTTTCTTTCCCTAATTGCCATCCACTGCAATCACCTTAAACCCCTAGGTGCTTCTTCTGCCTCTTAGTTACAGTTCTCGTCCTTTTTAGGATGACATTTTTCGTTATTTGAAGCCCTATTCTGGCTTTTGCCAGGGGCCGCAATATAGCCTGGCCATAAATATGGCCTAAAGGTTGAACACGGTTTCTGAGACCTCTCCACGGTGATCCTCATCCACATGGTGGCACATTGTGTCATCGGGTGTTTATCGCTTGTGTGATGTCCTGGTGGGGTAGAAAATCAGTCAGTCTGCCTCTTAAAAGACAGCCACATGTACAGATAATCCCCTAACACAGGCAAGATCTGTCATAAATTAATTGTTAAATGTCCTATTCCGAAGCACTCACTTACCTATCCTAGCATTTCCAGCCAAGCGTGATTACGATCTTGTGTGTCTGACTATTCTGCTGATACGCCTCTCTTAATCTAATATTCTCAAATTATGCACACCTGTCTGATTGTGTTTTCTGCTCAAGTCATCCAAGACCCTTCTTATCATTACCCTAAGACCGTTAACTGAATATAGAGATTCAAGCATGTGTTTTAGCAGTTAAACTTTTGGCATGCTGAGATCTTGGCAGGCCTAATTCAGATGTGATTTGTTCATAAGGAATGAACATTTGTTATGTCGGTCAACAAGAAAACACCCATTCTATTTATCTTAAAATTTTACATTCAGGAGGAACTCTTTACATAACAGATATGTGAGGAATCTCAACAACATATATAAAGAACAGAGAAAGGTACAATTTACCATGAAATTAACCAAAGTAATAAAAGAAGGAAATAATCAAAACACAGTTAAGACTTTTTAATACTTTCTTACCAACTTCTTCTATGCCATGGACAGTCAATTCGACAATATCATCCACCTTAGAGAACTGACGGCCAACACTGGATGTCAAAGACACGGCATCACTTTCACGCTTTGAAAACTAGATAAAAACAATCAATGAAATACATTTCAATTATTAATAAACAAATTCCAAATTAACTGTCAGTTAATTTTGAAAACATAATAAGTACATCTGGAGCCATGGTAACAAAGTGGCTAGAGACTTGGTTGCTGGCCAGAAGGTTTTTGGGTTTGTATCCACAATGATGCAAATTTTTTACAAATGGCCAGGTTTAACCAGCTTAATTTGATACCAGAAAATGTCATGAAGATAGTAGTTTGATGTTGACCACATCAGCCATTTTGTATCAAGTCTTCTTCTGCTTCTGCATAAGCCTTTAAAAGGGTGACTGACATGTTGTGTTGTGGTTATATGAACATAACACACTTTACTGATAACATACAACTGCAGTCTGAAAGACGAGTGTTTGAAAGGGCCAATCGTAAAACTGATATGCATGCCGAATTTGTGATCCATTGAAAATAAAGTCTGTTCGTTCGTTTGTTCGTTCATTTATGGTTTACAGATAGGCTGCAATATCTTTGCGTCTGGACCAAACATATTTGATTTCAGCAACCTCCTAATTAGTGGCCTTTTATGACATGCTTGTTATAGGAAGAGGGGTGGGGGTGTGAGGTTGTTCAGTTATTTTTTCCCCCAAACAGAAACCCGGAATCCTCATGGGAAAGTACCAAGTCTATAAATATATAGGGCTAGCAAACATATGCTAGATGCGTTATTGGTGTGAAAGTGGTCCTTTTCAACACATAACAGAATTGTGGTGATGTATCATCACAACACTCACTCTGTAGTGTTGCTAATCAGTTCAACTATAGGCATCTTTTCTTCTCATACAAGACTAGATTACTGTGTCTCAATGTAGTTCTCTTTTCTCAATTATCCCATTAATTGTTAAAAAGTTTGTCCTTCTCCCTTGTCACAATTGCCTGAGAATGTTACCTTTTCAGTGTTCAGACCACATTATGTTGACTGTGCGCATGTGCTTGTAGTACGTGCCTGTGCACGCACATGCATGCATGTGTGTGTCTGTTTTTAGGTCAGGGGTTGGGAAACTATGGCTCGCAGGCCAAAACTGGCCACCCTGACAATTTTTACTGGCTCACAAGGCCAGTTGGCCCTCAAGCTCACAAAATAGCACAAGACAAAAACACCTCTGTATGAAGAAATAAACAATCCAAATATCAACATCCGTACATGTGATAACTAAAACAATGATAACCAGAAACTAATGTCACCAAATCTTTGATCTTGCTAATGAAACACATGTTGTGGATAAACTCAGACATTAGAAGCAGTGTCTGTCAGCAGACTTTGACAATATAAGATGATGACTGTACTTTTTCTCTGAATAGACACATTTAGGAATATATAGAAGAGTGTTTACTGGGTGAGCGTATCTGGCCAAAGGCAAAGCAAGGGATTATAATCTTAGATTATCCCCCAAAAATATATAGTGTTTCAGGGAAATATAGGTGTTATGTTTATAATGGATTTTTTCCGTATGGCCCACGACCAGGTTTGTCATTCTAAATGTGGCCCGTAGACACATATACACATGCCCACACACACACACACAAAACAGGTTGCCCTCAACTGGTCTAAAAGTTAAATGTAAGTTATAATTACCTGTCTAGTAGGGTGGAAATGAACAGAATCAGAAAGGCTTGCATCAAGATCCAAGTCTTCTTGTGACATCTGCAACTCCTTCAGCCTGAATCAAACACAGAGATGTACATGTAAGTTGGCTTCCAGATCAGACACAGCTCTCACTAAAATATTTTCAGACACCATGGTACTAAAAGAATATGGATGAATCAACTTACTGAGAGCAAGATGGCTCTTGCAGAAGTTATCTTGGCACTGATTATGATACAATCTTTGTAATCAGGAGTAAACTCATGTGTTCTTTATTACCGGCAAGCTTTAGCCCCACAACAGGAGAACAAAAACCAGAAATTGCGATTCAGGTTAGCCCTCATGTAATTTTCTACTTTTCTTAGCTTATTTCAGTGAAAAAGAATTTTGCTGCAAGGAGTTACCAGGGAATCTGGCCGACGCTTAACACTCAAGGGAAGGGCGAGACAGATAAATAATCAGTCATTTCTGGTGTCATCGGAATTGGAACTCTTCGTTTGCTGCTGAAGATGGGGATGGAGCACTCATGGGGGTGTCCCAAGTGCTATGATTTTAATTTTTAATTCAACATTCAACATTCTAAAACATTCAACATTTCAGTAAATCACTGTTACCTACTCTGGTTCTTCATGATATTTGCAACACTTATTTAAGAAATGACATCTCTGCTTCCCTCTATGAGGAAAAAATCAAAATAATTAAGAAATCATCAAGAAGTCATAACTGTTAAATGACTCACCTCAAATAAAACACATTTTTGGAGGACAGCTCCTCAATCACAAACATGTTCTTCCTGTTGGTCACAATAAATTTATTCAAGATGCTTCTAAGAACAAGAACTCCCATGGGAGGTCCTCCCCGTTGCACGCCATGCTTAAGTCTGGGATGTATGGTGAAATAATGGCGCCAGACAACTGGACAAGCAAAATGCCCAGGGATGAGGTCCATTGAAGCAGCTAAATATCCTTGCTGTCCTTCTTCACTGTCTTCTTCATCATCTATTTCATACCCTGAAAGTGAAAGATTCATTATCAGTCATTACTCTTAATCAATAATATTTATTCTACAGTGAGATTCTTCTTCATTGCCTTATTATCTAACTCTAACCAGGAGATCAAAAGATTCTTTTCAATAACACTTATTTTAGAGTTTTCTTCTTCACTGTTTTCTCCAGGTCATGCTGGTGTTTTGGGAAACGAGTAGAGCAGGCAGACAGACTGGCCGGTTCAGCAACATTTGGTGGTTAATTGATGTATGACAAGCTACTTGTTGTGAGGGCCCTTTTGGAGCGAGGGAACCTGCGGATGCACAAACAGTTCATTACAATCTGACTAGAATGACGCTACAGAGAGTTACTGGAGAATCTGAACAAGCTTAGACACTCAAGGGAAAAATGAGACCGATGCACAATCAGACAGTTACTGGTACCATCAGAATTGGAACTCTTCGCTTGCTGCTGAAGATGCAGACTGAGCACTTATGGGAGTGTCCCAAGAGCTATGATGTCAGCATTCATTCTTCACTGTTTTCATTATCTTTTTCATACCCTCAAACTGAAAGATTTATTCTCGATGAATAAAGAAGTACTAAGTGCAGCACAAACTGTGACTACACAGCTCAACAAAGGGATTGGAAATAACCTCTACAAATACAACAGAATGTCTTGACCAAAGCTTTTATCAATGAAGTGCTCAATACAAAAACAAACTAGGACTAGAAAGCTGACAAGACAAAAAGTTTTTAAACAGCCAAAGTCAATATGAAAAAAAAAATACAGAATCAAATATCGACATGATGGGTTATATTAAAGAATAAAAAATAAGAACAGCCTTAAAAATGGAGGAGTGGCGCGGTGATTTCGGTCACAGGCATGAGGGGAAGTTAAGTCTGATGTGATGTGTATAAGGAGATATTCCGTACCCCACTCGGGCGCCAGTCCTTCACTGTTCTGGTTTTATGGAACCTCATGCAAGACTCCTGTTGCACGTCCCCGTCGTGCGCCACGGATAATGTCTCAAATGAGCATTAACAGAGTTGGCAGGGGATCTCGGAGCTGGCGGCCCCTAGAGGTGTAGAGTCCTTTCTGGCTCTCACCAGCCCGCCCCCAAACGCATGGGTGAAAAGTAACAAAACTCAAGGACTGCTTGCTAAATGTACCATCAAATGACAACTCTTGGTTAAAATTCGGGAGCGAATGGAAAACTGTGCTGCTGAGACTCAACCCTGACTGAGAGATTTACCCGCAGCCAAGACAAGTAACATCTCTTGTGGGCAACTTCTCGCAGCAAGATCCCACCTACGTACATCCTCTGTCAATCCTCAGTGTCGTCGTCACCGCGCTGAGGTACACCATGGCAGCAACTATTCATATGCTGGCTTGAAAACAATGTCCGACAAAGTTACACCCCACGGCACACATGCAAGCTCAAAGTCCGACGATCATAACTCGCACTGATTAGGAAAAGTCTGAATGTCCGTATCCACTGGTCCAACTCGCCCGAGTGTTGGGACCAAACAGGTGAAGCCACGCCTGACGCATTTTGCTTCCCCATTCTGTCGTGCTAAGGGCACAGCTGAAACAACGTTAAAGGTGTCTAACGTAAGATGAAAAAGAATGTACCTATTTGTGTGGCCACAAACGTCCTAGACCTGCGGGCTGCTCCCCGCTGATCTCCGGAGAGCGCAGCCTTGTAGCGCGGGAAGCTCAATACACGGTTGTGAGGTTAAGCAATCATGGGCAGGACGTGACGATTCCTTGGGTGAGCCCAGAACCAGAGCATCATGTGTCGGCTCTGCATTTATGGAAGCCTCCTTGGATGGCGGGGAATGCCCATGATCTGCCCCTGCCTTCCCTTGAGGGCTGAAAACTCTACATAGAGCTGCCTTAAGGACGACATGCCTGGGGCCACACCTGTTAAAAGTCAAAGAGGACACCACACAAATAAGGCAACATCTCGACCCACACAAAACAATGGCCACAGTCAACCTAGAAATAGGCTTGACGTCTTCCTTCGAAGTCGGAGTACATCTGCCGGAGAGGCGGGGAACGAGTACTGCAAACAAATAAGCCAGTAAAACGGATGTACACGCAAAACTTAGGTCAAGGTAAAAGCCAAAAGTCCATTTTGGACGAACAACCGTGACTTACTGCCGGAATTCACAGCCGGTGAACAAGAAGAAGAAAAAGAAGAAAAATGGAGGAGATATGGCCTCGAGTGTCTGCCTTGTCCAATATGAGTGTTCCTACTTCTGTCACTTTTGTTGAAAAAATTATGTTCTTTTATTACGCTTATTAATTAATTACTTTTATTTTTCTGTTGAACTTTTTAAATCAATATTTCTCACTTGAAAAAATAAATACTAAAGAACCACAAAATATGGTGCAATTACCATCAGATGAAGTGCGTCCAGATACAGTCCTTCTTGAGGTCCAGGTGAAATCTTCATCTGCCTCCGGAACAAGCAGAGCATTACAGATCTTGGTCTTGTTCAGTTCCTTCAAGAGAAGGGCCTGTAGAGAAGTAGAGGTACAATATTCATAAGATATTCATCATCAAATATTCAGCTAAGAATATTTTTTTCAAGTGGCCAGATATTTTTTTTTAATGCTTTTCTATGTGCAACACAAGCTCAGAATAATACTTCTTAGATGTGGACTCTTGAATGGAGTCACGTTTACTCATGGAGTTGGATCTCTTATTTTCTGCTATGCATTCCTTGACCTTCTTAATCCTCTGCATCAGAAACTCAAAGATATTCAGCATTATGTTCTTGTTTATTGACCACCCTCTTCTTCTTAACAGCCAGTCTGATGCGTACGATCAGGGATGTAACAGGCGCTTTCCACATAGTGCAGTCAGTCTCTTTATTATGGATGAAAACAATGAAGATGAATTGATGATTCAGTGTCACATCTTCTACTGCCTTCCACAAACTCACATTGGCAGTCTCTCTAGACATGGACAAACACCCCAGCGAACTATGACCCAGGTGCCTGCTACAGGCGACTCACACCCGATCACATAGATACACTTATGTGATGTGCAGTGACAATCCCTTGACAGTTCGTTCTCTAAACGACCCAGCCACCACATGGGACTCAAGATAGATGCACCTGTTGGTGAAAACTCAAGACCTCCCGTCTGCTATCCCAACCACTCATTGAAGCATCACTGACTAACATTCCGTCAATCAGCCTCTGATGCTTCCCCATCATATTCCCACATTGCTCAACTCACAAAAAGTTCCCAGCAGCTTCTGTGCACAAGGACACCGTTAACCAACGCCACATAGCTGCCACTGTGTTGACCACAAAACACATGGGCCGTACGACACTAGTCCACACTATAAAACACACTGACAGAACTGCTAGTCCTACTCATGATTCACCCCAATCAGCAGACAGTTCACAAGAATTCCACTGTTAAAACATTGTTAAAAAAACAGTCACAACAAGTCCACATGTGCACAGAGGACTTGAACCATCCATGCACATGTCTACACTCTGAGACGAACTGAAAGCAAATGACTGAAATTTTAGCGGTATCTTTCACACCTGCAGTTAGTTACATGTGGATCCCCTTTTCTCACCAACACTTGGGGTTTCCCACGCCCTCGTGCTGTCGACCCACATGGAACCCACATTCCCCACACAACTCGGGGAGTTTGCAGTCATCTATGCACATCGAGTAACCTCTGTTTAACCAGCTGCAAGTGGCTGAAATGTTTACATTTTTAAATGTTAACCAAAACCTGGCTTTATTAACTCTTTACAGTCCCCAGTTATTTTCACACACAACACAAATGGTGACACTTTCACTAAAGGACAACCGCAGTCACCAGGTGCTGGATTTTGAGGGGGTTTTTGGGTGGTTTTTTAAAATCCTGTTTCTTGAGCAATGGCCTCCTTTTGTTGGATATCATCCTCCTTGGACAGGTTTAAAAGATTCCTGATCTTGCTGGCTCTCTTGGGACCCAAATGATGGTGGATGATGGTGTCAGTGTTCACCTTTCTTGATGATAGCCAAGGCAAGCATACTCAGGTTCTTGTCTATGACTCAGTCATGAACAGTTTACGTTCTCCAGTCCAATGAAGACCGAAGCATTAGTGACCCATGCTGAGCAAATGTCAGATATGTATGGCGATGAGCACCTACAGTTTTACTTCAGGTCTTCCTTAATTAATAGCTATATAAATATGTGGTTGTTGGCTAAACATAAACAAATTAAGCCAAGGAGCAATAACCTGGTTAACTTTGCGGCAGACGTTGAAAATGTTCTTGATGGCGCCCGAGTACAGTTCCTGGTGCTGCATATTTGCTGGAGACTCACAATCAATCGGCTTCCTGTTAAAAAAATAAAGATCAGTCTTTTCAAGAATTTACAGAATAAGTGTATGTGTACAAAATCATTTGAATAAACATATGCTACATCAAGTAACAAGCTTCTCATATTTTTGGATGTGTGGATACAATCATCTTCCATCCTTTTTAGGATTAAATTTTTCGTTATTTGCCAGGGGCCGCAATATAGCCTGGCCATAAATATGGCCTAAAGGCTGAACGCGGTTTCTGTGACCTCTCCACGGTGATCCTTACCCACATGTTGGCACATTGTGTCATCAGGTGTTTATCGCTTATGTGATGTCCTGGTGGGGTAGAAAGTCAGTCAGTCAGCCGTATTTTTGGATTTTATGGGCCACAATTATAGCAGAAGGAAAAAATTTTTTTTAATAGGAATAGTCAAAAACACATACAATAGCAGGATAAAGATAATAAATGTTTATTGCGATAATCAATAATTTACAACTGAGAATGGATACCTGTTCGCTATGCTCAAAACTAGGTCAGTGAAAGTGAACAGACAATTAATAAATAATCAGAAAATCAGGGGATCTAAAATTTTGAATAAACAGAAACATGGGTGGCAGTCATTGAAAGTATGCAGCGGTGAATAAAAAGATCCTAGAGAAGCTGGGAAAGAAATTAGAATCATTGAAAAATTGTTTTAAAGTGAGAAAAATTACACAGTCTGAACACGTTACAAATCATCACACGCTTATTAAAGCCAAACTGCAGGACAAAATCAAAGACACGTGAACAAGAGATAGGTAGTGACACAAGCTGGCATATTCATCAAGAATTTCCCCATGCGAGTTCTAGGGCACTATTTTAGATAGAAACAAGAACAGACCCACTGACCCATTAAAAACTTGTGTCATAAAAACTAAGGGCTTGCTGAAATCTGATGTGTTGGGCTGAAAGGTAAAGACAGTGAAGCCTAGCAGTAAACTACAACACAGCACGTCAACTGCCCTTATCACCCTAGCTGTAATCTACAACACAGCACGTCAACTGCCCTTATCATCCTAGCTGTAATCTACAACACAGCACTTCAACTGCCCTTATCACCCTAGCTGTAATCTACAACACAGCACGTCAACTGCCCTTATCATCCTAGCTGTAATCTACAACACAGCACGTCAACTGCCCTTATCATCCTAGCTGTAAACTACAACACAGCACTTCAACTGCCCTTATCATCCTAGCTGTAATCTACAACACAGCACGTCAACTGCCCTTATCACCCTAGCTGTAATCTACAACACAGCACGTCAACTGCCCTTATCATCCTAGCTGTAATCTACAACACAGCACGTCAACTGCCCTTATCACCCTAGCTGTAATCTACAACACAGCACTTCAACTGCCCTTATCAGCCTAGCTGTAATCTACAATACAGTACGTCAACTGCCCTTATCATCCTAGCTGTAATCTACAACACAGCACGTCAACTGCCCTTATCATCCTAGCTGTAATCTACAACACAGCACACAAACCGCTCTTATCAGCCTAGCTGTAATCTACAACACAGCACGTCAACTGCCCTTATCACCCTAGCTGTAATCTACAACACAGCACGTCAACTGCCCTTATCACCCTAGCTGTAATCTACAACACAGCACTTCAACTGCCCTTATCATCCTAGCTGTAATCTACAACACAGCACTTCAACTGCCCTTATCATCCTAGCTGTAATCTACAACACAGCACTTCAACTGCCCTTATCACCCTAGCTGTAATCTACAACACAGTACGCCAACTGCCCTTATCACCCTAGCTGTAATCTACAATACAGTACGCCAACTGCCCTTATCACCCTAGCTGTAATCTACAACACAGCACTTCAACTGCCCTTATCACCCTAGCTGTAATCTACAACACAGCACGTCAACTGCCCTTATCACCCTAGCTGTAATCTACAACACAGCACTTCAACTGCCCTTATCACCCTAGCTGTAATCTACAACACAGCACGTCAACTGCCCTTATCATCCTAGCTGTAATCTACAACACAGCACTTCAACTGCCCTTATCACCCTAGCTGTAATCTACAACACAGCACTTCAACTGCCCTTATCACCCTAGCTGTAATCTACAACACAGCACACAAACCGCTCTTATCAGCCTAGCTGTAATCTACAACACAGCACTTCAACTGCCCTTATCACCCTAGCTGTAATCTACAACACAGCACGTCAACTGCCCTTTTCATCCTAGCTGTAATCTACAACACAGCACTTCAACTGCCCTTATCATCCTAGCTGTAATCTACAACACAGCACTTCAACTGCCCTTATCATCCTAGCTGTAATCTACAACACAGCACTTCAACTGCCCTTATCATCCTAGCTGTAATCTACAACACAGCACTTCAACTGCCCTTATCATCCTAGCTGTAATCTACAACACAGCACTTCAACTGCCCTTATCACCCTAGCTGTAATCTACAACACAGCACGTCAACTGCCCTTATCATCCTAGCTGTAATCTACAACACAGCACTTCAACTGCCCTTATCATCCTAGCTGTAATCTACAACACAGCACTTCAACTGCCCTTATCATCCTAGCTGTAATCTACAACACAGCACTTCAACTGCCCTTATCATCCTAGCTGTAATCTACAACACAGCACACAAACCGCTCTTATCAGCCTAGCTGTAATCTACAATACAGTACGCCAACTGCCCTTATCACCCTAGCTGTAATCTACAACACAGCGGCCCAACCACCCTTATCAGCCTAACTGTAATCTCCTACACAGCAAGCCAACCGTCCTTATCACTCTAGCTGAAATCCTCAATACAGCGAGCCAACTGCCCTTATGAGGGTGAACCCAGAAGAAGATATCAAGCACTGAACAATTAATACAAGATTCAACAATTAAGTAATGAAACTGATTTTATTATGGCCAAGACAAAAATGCCATATATGAAGCAAAGCATGGAATCTAAAGAGGCAACATTCCTCTGTGATCTGGTAACTTTTCATCGCTGCTTTATAAGCAGAGAACAAACAAGCTGACATTTTGTTGACCTAGTCAAAGTTGCATTTTTACGTAATCAGCATGGAGCAAAAATCTAACATTAAATTCTTTTTAAAATTCAGAAAAAAACGCTATTCAAAGAGCTGAATTGATGCAACACGTTTATAGGGATAATTGTTTATCTCGTGCACAAATTTTCAGGTGGTATTCGCGATTCAAAAGTGGTGTGGAAATGATAACTGATGCACCTAGACCTGGACGCCAAATTTCTGTTCGTAATAATGAACTCATTGCAAAGGTCAAAGAACGGGTACAAAAAGATCTTTTTTTTTTTTTTTACTGTTAGGATGATGGCAGATGAATCTGTTGTTAATAGAGAGACCATTCATAACATTTTAGTGCAAGATTTTGGCAAGAAAAAGTTGCTTGCCAGTTTGTACCACATTTGTTGTCTGATGACCAAAAACATCAGCGGGTTGAGTACCCAAGGGACATCATCAAAACAAGAATTCTTGGCCCAAAAACAAGTGTGTATTCTCAGCCTTACACCCTGTTCCATAGATTTGTCTCCCTGTGATTATTTTCTATTCCCAAAGTTTAAGTTACCATTGAAAGGACGCTTCTTTGATGATATTGATGACATCCAAAGAGCAGTAACATCGACTTTGAGGGCCATAACAACAGAAGAACTACAGAGGTCGTTCCAGTGTTTGTTAGATAGTGCGACTTGCTGTATCAATGCACACGGGGCTTTTTTAAAAATCAGATACAGTTTATATCTTCAACTGTTAATTATTTTAATTTTTATGGAATTAGTCTCATTACTTAATTGTCAGACCTTGTAGTTTCACAGAATGACAAGAGTCATAATCCATTTTTATAACAGTCAAGTAACTAATGACCCAAGCATCCCAGTTTGTCTAATAAAAAAGTAAATAATGACTACTCCCCCCTCCCCTCTTTTTTTTTTTTTTTTTCAAAAAGTTTCTTTGTTAAACTGCTGAATGATATCCTAATTCATCTATTACATTCCAGTCTGAGAATGCATGATATTAAACACAAGAGCCATCAAGACAGATCTTTCAACATCAACATCCTTTATGTGCCATTAGACATCACATAGGGTTCACATTCTATTCCTCCCCTCCGCTCTATTGCAAGCAAGTCTCTCCATTTCTAAAATGGAGTTCAGCCAACATTGTTAGCCTCTTGTATTAAAGTTCTTCTTTATGTTTTCATTGGACGTCCTTTTTTTCTCAGACCATCTGTTTACCATTTTGGTGCTTGTTTTGTGATTCTTTGCTAATTTCATCCCAGAGTGTGCCCAATATATCTCCACCTTCTATGTCTTATTGCAGTCAATACAGGTATTTGTCCAGACATTTTCTGATCTGTTCACTCTTTTTTTTTTTAAACATTCATCCTATTATTTGTTCATGATTTTTCTCAGACATTTATTTTCAAATGCATTAAACTTTTGTTCCATATCTTTGGTGGTTCTCCCCTTTTTTTGTTGACATATGTTAGAATTGAAATAACATTAGAAAAAAAGATCTGTAGTTTGATCTTAAAACTGTATAGCTTGGAGATCCATATTTTGTTAAGTCTTTTAAAGACTTGTTGCTTTGTCAATGCATATCTTGATTTCCTTCGTTGTATCTCCTTGAGAGTCAAAATTGCTACTCAAATAGGTGAAATGATAGATCTTTAAAACACTATAATGTATACATATTAATTCGTTATTGGCTAGCATAACTGATGCCACTGCATTCAGGACACTTATATTAGTAATATATATACCAAATGTCACCATTATTAAGACAGCAAAGCATAATTATGAGTGCAAAGAGTCAGATTATAAACAGCATATTCAATCAAACATTAAGCTACCAGTGCCAAACATGGACACTATCTAAAGCCCATATATACAAAATCACCACCTGCAAGATGAGATGCCTGAGAAAAGCTGCCAACCTAACCATCCGAGATCCAGTGAATAATGAAACTATCAGACAAATTGTGGGAACGACATCTCGTACTAGATTCATCGAGAAACAGCAGATCAGGTGGTTTGGCCATCTCATTAGAATGCAGCAAGATCAAATACCATTACAAGCACTACATCTTAAAAGATCAGCTACAAGAACAAGAAAACAGCCGCAAAAATATGGATCGACAACATTAAAGACAACACTCTACGCCTTCATGGCATGACAATAGCCAGAGGCAGCCAGCGTTCAATGAATCGCAAACTATTCCTCCCCATGACGCTTAATGGCAGAAGTGGTTTATGATGATTATAACGTGTCTCCCTCAGTGGTTGGATATAAATCAATGACATTTGCAAGCAAGGTAAAACCAGCTTATATTGTAACACCTTGTCTCTGTCTACTGTCATCTCACTACACACTGTATCATCACAAAGAAAGTGTACAAGAGATGTACAAGAAGACAGTGCTGCAGCATACCTGGAATGGAAGAACACTTCCATCCTGTCCTGGTGTATCTGCATAAGCAGCCAGAAGTCTGGGAGTTCTGGGTAACAGGTGCTAATATCTGACACAGAGGCAGTTTCATCTAGTTCCATGTCACTGATATCTCCTTCAAAACCTACAGAGGAATATACACAGTTAGGTATACCATGGTCTGGAGAGAATTATGCAATGGGAGTGACATGCCGATCTGCTAAATCAGTGGTCTCCAACTTGGGAAGCATCTCTCCCCACCTGGGAAGGGGGCTTGAGGAAGTTCCAAGGTGGTGGGTGGGTGGAGCAAACTTTGAAAATGAGTTCATCTGTACTTGTAACTTCTTTATATTTAGCTTTTTTTTTGTTTAACTATTAATTTAAAAAAATTGTAATTTAAAAAAAAAAAAAAAACTATTTATAAAACAAAATGACCTTTTTGTTTTCATGAGTAGTTTGTATATCTCATGTTGAAAATTTAATATGACAACATCTGCATTTAATTCTAGATTAAGAATAAACTTGTTCTCTTTTTGATCCCATTTTATTATTTGGAAAAGGGGATAGAGGGGGGAGGGGGGTTCCTTGCAATATACTCAACAGGTGTGCATGTGTGAAAAAAAAAAGGGGGGGGGGGGTGTTTAGGAGTCTTGCCATATTCTGAAAAAGTGGAGAAATGGGGGAGGGGGGGTGTTTAGGAGTCTTGCCATATTCTGAAAAAGTGGAGAAATGGGGGGGGGGGGGGGGGGGGTTGGAGACCACTGTGCTAGACACTCAACCCACAGAGAAAAGACAAGGACATACTTCAAACTGCAACTGGCACCGTTAGCACTGGAGCTCTGCACTGACTGCTGAAGATGGCATGGATCACTTATGAGAATGACCTCAGTTCTGTGATGTTGGTATCTATTTTAGGCTGGGTCAACATGGGAGTCAAGGTCAATTCTGAAAAGTTACCTTGATGTGGATTTTAACCCTAGAGTTAAAATAATATGGCTATCTGACAAATAAAAAAATAATATAAAGAAAAGAAACATAGCTTAAAAATGTACAAAATATAATTTAATTAAAATATAATAAAAAATAGAAATTAATATAAAGAAAAGAAACATATTAATTTAACTGAAAGAATAAAAAAAAATTAATAATATAAAGAAAATGAAACATATCTTACTAATGTACAAAATATAATTAATAAGAAAGAATATAATTAAAAAAGAAATCAATATAAAGAAAAAAAAAACATAGCTTAATAATTTAATTAAAAGAATAGAATTAAAACAACTATAATTAGGTAATAAACAACACACACAAAAGTAGTTACCATCATCAGTTGTGGACTCGCCCGATGAATTTACAGATGGTGACTGTGGCATAGTTGATGAGCGACTAGGGATAGAAACATGGCCTGATGGAGCTGAGCAGTGGCGGCTCCTGGAATTTGAGGCAGCTACTCCAGAGGATTGGCCCTGTGTGCCCTGAAGTCCAGCAAAACTGCTGGATTTTTTTAAGCTGTGGTTCACATCAAAACAATACATGTATCAATTTTCTTTCTTTTAAAATACAAACAATAAAATACAAGTAATTTCAAATGCATGTGGAGAGATAATATCCAGGCAGACCTACAAATCTTTGGGGTCACCAAGTGGAAAGAGAATGGAGGTGAGTGATATATGTAACAATGAACCTCAAGAGCTCTGAATATTGAAAAAAAGTAGAAGAAGAATCACCTAATCGAATGAGAAGATCAGTCACATAGATGAATGGAGGCAAGTGACGTCTGCTGTAATGAACCTCAAGGGCTCAGAATGCTGAAGAAGAAAAAAAATAAGTCAGGCACAGGAGATGACCAAGTCTCCCATCAGAATTATGCAAATGAAAAGACGACTAGTGATGTGTTCAGCAAATCTGATGATATAACTATAATGTCTTTGCATTGGAACCCACAGGGTCAAAGAAATAAAGGCAGACCAAAAAACATGGAGAAGAGAATTGGATAGTGAAGTAAGATGGAAGAGGACATAGGATGAGCTGCAGGTGACAGCAAAGGATAGCTAGCTGTCAGCTGGGTAAGGTTCTAGGCTTCACTGGAATATACAGAACAGAAGAAGAGAGGTGACCATTGGGAGCCACAACAGCATAGTGGCTATACATTTGTCGGCTGGCCCGAAGGTCTTGAGTTCAAATCTGCACCAGGCGGATTTTTGAGAAAAACAAATTTCCCTGGCTCTTAAATAATTCAGAAAATTTTCTGATACCAATTTTGTTAGACTTGACTGATCCCAGGGTCATTCTGGTAGAAAAAACAAACAAATTACCTTACCTCTGCTGGGCATTGAACTTAGACCCTACTTTTAGCAAGTAAGCATACTAACCACTATGCCACTGCAGCCTGAAGTGCACTACACATTAACAATTCCCCCACCAAGATGAAATTATTTTGGTTTTGCGGTCTGTTGCAAATCTCCACAGGACCAATACCTCAACTTTAGGGAACTGGCTAGCGAGTGCCCATTATGCCTACAGATTTCTTGGTTGGCACCTTCCTATCTTTCCAGATGACAGTGTTAAACTGTGCTGTAGGGAGGCTTGGGACTTAAAACCCATGGCGATAGTGAGTCTGACTAGCAAGAAATGCTCAAGTTAAAAAAAAAAAAAAAAGAAATATAGTCTTTCACAACTAGAGCACAGGATTTTAGGACCGTTCTTGCCCGAGCATGTACGAGGTGTGCTTCTTTTCAGACCCCAGCTCTCAACCTATCTGCAATAATTTTTCATTTATTCCCTTCCTGATTTTACCTCTACACAATATGGTCCATGACATTCTGTTCTCAAGAACTGAACTAAATACTTGTACCATTCATGTCCTATCTGCATACATCTTTATATCGTAATGGAGGCTGACATCGACATCTTCTACACATTTGTAATTCACCATAGAGAATGTCCTGAGGAACTCTGCCATCTATCCTACAAGTGTGTCCTAGCCATCGAAGCCTTCAGAAACTGAGCATTGAAAAAAACTTGCTTCTTCCAACACCTCATTGCCAGTGATTGATCTTGTCTTGGGCACTATCTTAGTGGCAGGTAAAATGGTCATTCTTAAAGTTTTTTTTTTTTTTTTTTTTTTAAATTATTAAAGGGTTTTGAAGTTTTCTTTCATTAGGGGTTTCCAGAGCAAAAGAGTTAAGTAAGAAATGCAAAATAAGGGACAAATATAATATTCAAAATATACCTTGGATCTGAATCTTTCTCCTCTTCTTGAATTCTGAGAATACTAATAGCTTCCAAAGCTTTTTTGGCGTCTCGTAGAGATACTGTATGCTGCTTCACATCAACACTACCACGTGACTTCACAGAGACTGGTTTCTTGGATGATTTAGTATCAGAGCAGCTCCTTGGCCTTTGTTTAGCAGCCCCAGCTTCTGGACCAGCAGCTTCATCTCCAGTGTTCTGAACTGAACGTGCAGCTCTAGGACGAAGGTTACTGTCTGAAGGGCCAGTAAACACACAAGGCAAGCTGTAGCTTCTCTCCTCTTTAGAAATGGCTAATTTTTTGACATCGTCTTCCTCATCGGGACCCAGAATGCCATAGTGAGGAAAATCATTCTTGTTGAGATGGTTGACATATCTCAGCTGATGTGCCAAAGTCTTGTTTATTATCAGGAAGTAATAATCTCCCTCTTTGGTCAGCTTGTAGCCAGGTAAGCTCTGACGTTCAAACTCCTGAAATAAAAAAAAAAATACAAAATTGTTTATGGTAAGATCATATTACACAAAAAGCCTGCATTCCTGAGGTTTTCTCTTCATTTCTCATAAATTGGGGGGGGGGGGGGGGGGGGGGGGAGAGTGGTCTCGGGGCACGGCGTCCGCCTCAAATGATGGAGATCCTGGATTCAAGCCCCGGTGAAGGCTAAGATTTTTTAAAGTGGACTTCTAGTAATTTTCCCTGGTTTCTAGGTAGTAAGATCAGTCACCTATGTGTATTGTTGCGCACACAAAAAATCCCTAGACAGTTGGAAATCGGAAAGAGTAGCCTAGCAGCGCTGCCCGGGCAAAATTTGGAGTTTAAAATCTACCTAAAGTATTTCAGGATCTTCATGGGTGTTAAGGAGTTAGTGCACTGCGCTGAGATTCTTCAGACTCAGGCTTGAGTTAGAAGTAAAACGGAGCGCTTATGGGTTACTACCCTTGGGTAATGTTGATCTATTGTATAAACCAAATCAAACCAACCTTACAAATTTTCTGACATTCACTTCCATTCATTATGACTGGTTTTATATAGCTCTAAGTTAGTCATTTTATTTCATATCTGTGATTTAACAATCAAATTCACCTTACTAGCAGAATGTTCTTCATCTGACATCACCACAGACAGCAATCACAACAGTGATCCTTTACATTTGGGGTCAGCAGCTATATACTTGCCTCCAGAAGAGCACATTGAGGTAATCATCATCCTGGGCAGGTATTGCAGAGAATGGAGCCAAACAGCCAGAGATGCTGAAATAACAACCCTCTTCACAAACACAATTGACCAGGTGATGTCATCATCTATACATATGGCTCTGTGAATTCTGGGGTGCAGCCTGGGAGGGTCTACACAGCGCAGGTGAATGGGAAGGCAGCAACAGAAAAAAAGGTCAAGCATTCAGTTCAGCTATTTCTAATATGACAATGGAGATGCCAGTTGTCACTGGGGTACTTGCATGGCTGGTGGAACAGAAAACACCTCATGGGCTGATAGTGACAGTCTTAATGAGTATGTTTAAAGAAGATCTAAACTGAAAAACAACTAGAATGGGTTGACAGTATCCAGAATTTCTACCTCAAGAAACTATATTGGTTGTACACACTAAGATAGGTTGGGGTGAAAGCAAATGAAAGAGCCAACAGACTGGCCATGTCTGCACTAATTAATACAGGAAGAAGTATAGACAGACAGAACAGGATATAGTGAATTTGCTGTGTCCCAGAGACGTTTAGACAAATAAGTCCCAAACACTAAATCACTTGTTGTAAATAGGTATTAAATGAGGACTAGCATGCAGAAACCAGGTATGGAGCAAAGAAAACAGATATGCCAATCATCTCCTATTGGCTACACTGAGCATGATGACAGTTAGATGGCTGCTGCATTGAAGGAGTGGGCATGAATGGGTCGAACAGGTGGGCTAGGATGTTGATACAGACCAAAAGTAACAAGCAGATGCTTGCCTGCCAGCCAAACGGTACTGGGTTTGAATCTGAATATCGGCAGATGTTTTTATAATTCACATTGACTCTTAGATCAGCCCAGCCTAAAATGGACACCAGGAAATATCTTAGGAAGTAAAGGTGGTCAGCATGATAGTGATCACATTGCCAATTAAGTGCCAGATAAGTGAAAACAATATGGATTTATAGTGTGTTTCACAAGTCATGCTCTTATGCTTTAACAATTATCTCAAAAACTCATGCATTAATCAACACAAATTTGTATTTTTTGCATGTGGCCTTAGATTTCCCACGTCTTTACGAATGTTATAATTTACAACTGCACATGTCATCTCTCTCAGTCCTTAAGAAAGAGAATAGGGGCTTTTGAGCTGAAATGCTATAGAAAGATTCTCAGAATATCTTGGACAAAGAAGATGAGAAATATTGACATCTTAAAAGATCTGAACATCAGGGAAGATTGGCTAATAAACAGCATCCTTTCTCGAAAGCTGAAATATTTTGGTCATATCAAGCGCCACGACGGATTGGAAAAAATTATAGCAGAAGGCATGGTACCAGGAAGGAGGGGCAGAGGCCAACCAACACGAAGATGGGCACAGGATATAAGTGACTCCTTGAGTGTGAAAGTTCATGAGGCGGGAGAACTGGCAAGAGACCGAGTTTCTTACAGGCAGACAGTGATGCGAGCGACGTTCTGCAAAGGACCTGCTACATGATGATGATGACATGTCATCTATTTTCTCAAAGTGTGGCCAATTTCTGTGATCCTTATTTGACTAATAATTTGTGCACCCCTTAAAAAAAGTAACTGACACAACCTGAAGATTTTCTTGGAAATCTTTTCACAAGTGCAGTGATGTGTGATTATTATTTTGCTAGCCTATCCAGCCTACAATGAGAAATCCACAACTCATGGGAGACTAATGACGGAGATGACCAGCTGAGAGTGAGATGCCTATGAAATGCATGCACTTTATGTTCTGAAAAGTTATGGTTATTAAATTAACTGAAAGTATACTGACTGTTTGCTTTTAACTGGTTTATTTTATATATATATATATATATATATATATATATATATATATATATATATATATATATATATATATATATATATATATATATATATATTTATATATATATATATATATATATATATATATATATACACACATACCACAAATAAGGCAAAATGAAAACTAGATGTTTGTTTACATTAAACATATACTTTTACAAGACATGACTATTAACAGGTTGCATGCCAAACTTCAACAATTTACACTGAACGGTTATTGGGTTATACAGACTGTTAAAATTGGCCACAACTTCTGGAACGGATTATAGCATCATGTGCCTGATACATACTGGTGTGAAAAGGGTTCATAAATAATTGTTCACTGACGTCAGAACATGTATCGGGGTGGCTGTAGTGTAGCAGCTAGATGTTCGCCTGCGGATCAGAAAGTCTCAGGTTTGGGTCCTGACGGAGCCATACTTTTTTTTTTTTTTTTTTTTTTTTTTTTAAATCACCTTGGCTCCCAGGCTAATGCAGACTTAAATGGCTATCGGGTACAAACTTGGGAAGTAAAGGCTGCTGGCGTGATGTTGACCACATCAACCACTGAGCGCCGATTGCTCTATAAAATATAGGTCTAGCCCTATAAGCCCAATTTGCCTGACGGTGTGGAAAAGGGTCCTTTACTTTTACAGAGATAACGTGTAAGCAGCTCAACTTATTTACCTCAATGAACATGTTCAAGCTCTGATCAGGCCCATAAACAAACTGGAGATTTATACACTGGTACATCACTGTCCTTGATTGGCTATGGGATGTGTTGCGGATGTAGTCGGCAACAAACACCAGGGTGTCAGTTGTAATTGGGTGCATACGACGTAAAGCAGATACAACCTCCTCTTGCATCAGAGATTCAATCTGGAAAAAAAAAATATCCAGGAAAAAATTAAGTTACAAAGTTGTGATAAAATGTTCAATGGAATTTTTTACAGAAACCATTCTTTGCTATTTAATTTAATTTTTTTTAAATCGTTGCCTTTCTCCTATATGTTGACCGAAGTATATTGTTGTTAACTGCTGCTGCCATTGACTAGAAATGATTTCTAGCAGGGCTGCTTGTATTGGCATTTCAGTTTCACTTTTTTTTTTCTTCTGCATTCATCGGAGTGCATTAATGTGTTGTGCCCATTTACAGGATGGCTGCAGTATTTCTGCCTTTTGGTTAACTCATCAGACTTCTTGAGAAATTTGTTGCTTGGGTTAGTCCTCCCAGTTTGTTCTGTATGACATTGCATTGAGCAGCTATTTCCAACATGGTTGCAGTTTTTCCACCTTCTGGTTGAAACATCTGATTTTTTCAGACATCTGTTGCTCGGGTAAGTACTCCCAGTTTGTTCTGTAGGACATTGAGCAGCTATTTCCAACATGGTTGCAGTATTTTCACCTTCTGGCTGAAACATCTGACTCTGGCCATCCTCACTGTCAGTGCTACCCAGATTGAACGACTCGAGAAGGTGCAAAATGAAGCCATGCGTATTATTTTGGGATGTACAAGAGACACATCCTGTGGAGCAATGAGGTATCTACTTGACTTTCCAACAATGAACCAAAGGATCAGGATGTGGAGGGCTTGGGCATACCTCAAAATATGTGCTGATAAGAAACACCCAATGCATCAAGCGCTTTTTAGTGAAAAGGGCGACAGACTGAAGAGGGGAAAATCGTGGCTAGGTTGGGCAGAAGATGTTATTAGGCAAATATGCAGCCTAACCGACATCATACCTGGTGCAGAATGGATACCTGTGCCTCAGGCGTTTATTTGTACATTTTCCTGTATTGTCACACTCAACAGGCGATGTAGAGAAGATAATCCTGTTGCTGTTAATGCAGAGGTCAACGCTCTCATCGGTGAAAATTCAGACGAAGCAGATGCAATAATCTATACAGACGGATCAGTTATACGCCAAAGAAGAAGCGCATGGGCATTTACAGCACGCTCAGCGGGCAGAACAGTCAAAGAAGCCAACGGCGCCTTCTCCATGACAACCAGCAGCATGACGATGGAGGTGATGGCAGTGACGCAAGCGTTTGCCTGGCTTGAAACACAAAAATACACCCGCATATGTATACTCAGTGATTCAATGAGTATGATCCGGAGGGTTCAAGCAGGTTCAGTGCGAAGACAATGGCTTGAATCAATTCAGAAGTCCACTGTGCGAGGAGTCACCTTTATTTTTGTTCCGGGACACGCAGGCGTCGATGGAAATGAAAGAGCTGACAGATTGGCTGGATCCGCTATCACTACCGACGGTCGGCCTATGGATCATGCTGATATTATCAATGCCCTCAGAGAAATGGGAAGGATAGAGGACTTTGGTGGCAGTGAATCCACATCACTCGCCAGAATGGCAGACTTGGGAATTAAGATCGGCACAGCAAAAAACGAGACGCACACCGGACACTTCAGAAGACTTGTTAATCAACATAGAACTGGTACTATTAGCCATCGGACGTTGGGATTCATACTGAGGGGAGGATCTGAGCACCTATGGACATGTCCGGAGTGCAATGATGATGACCCAACTAACTAACTAACTAACTAACTAACATCTGACTTGGACATATTTTGCTCTGTTTAATCTTTCCAGTTAGTTTCCTGGGACACTGTACAGCCTTACTGTTGTGTTGTTTCTGCTTTCTAGTCTACACATGGTGACTCTCCTCAGGTCTGTCCAGAGCAGCCATGTAAAGCTGGTCAACCCTCAAGATAAGGCAAGGGCAAAACACTGAGTATTTCCCTTCAATTGGCTTCCATAAATGCTGAGCAAATACATAATGTTCTGGTACTGGGCTCCCCCAAGGAATCGTCACATCCTGCTCATGACTATTTATTATCACTTATAAGTAGTGAGCACAAGGGCTGCTCCTTTAGCAAGCAATAGCCTGTGGACCTGAGATTTGATTACCTCCTTCAATAAGAGCTATAGCTTTCATGTTTTATGTTGTCTACTGTGTCCTTCTGTCTTTACTTCTTTCTTCTGCATCTGTAAATGCCAACCAGCACATACTATTTCAAAATCCTCAAAGATTGACCGGTGATTTATTATCTAGATAGCCGAACAGAAGCCCATCTTGTTTATTAACACCATTTGGTACACAAACTACAAAATCTCAAGATGAATCTTTGGATTAATCAAGATGAAAACGGCAGAAAATAGAGAGAGAGAGAGAAGTAACAACAAAATTCAAAATTGTGCTAAATTCACCATTAATTACTGGCATCATGAGGGTTAATAAGCTGCAATGATTTGGTCATATAGAGAGAATGATCATCATCATTATCATCTTCACATGCCTTGTCAGCTGGCGTAGGCATTCCTGCATCTCCACAGATCTCGGTCTTTGGTGCTCTGGATCAATACCACTGATGATATTACTCCATGCCACTGTCGTAAGCCATCCAGAGAGAATGACAAATAACAAAAAACTGCACTACATACAAAGAAGAAGTGAATGGGAGCAGACCAAGAAGATGGAGGAGATACAATATTCAGGCAGACTTATCAACATTTATAATCACCAACTGGAAAAGGAAGGCAAATCACAGAGATGACTGAAGGTGGGTGACATCTGCAGCACTGAACCTCAGCTGATGAAAGAGGCAAACATAAATTAATTGGAGAAAAGTCTAACCTCATTTTTCAATCCATATATAGCCGCATGCTGGGGTTTTGACAAGTGGTTCACTGGATCTCCCATGGGTTTGGGTGAGCTGGAAACAAAGAGAGAAAAATGTGTGGAAGTATTTTCTGAGGTGTAATTAAATATTTAACAATAATGTGTAAATTATCTAAATAATTCAAAATCACAAAGAAAGTTTAAAAAAAAAAATGAGAATATTCAAATTGTTGCACAACTTATACCTCTTACCCCGTGAACACTTGTGAACTAGCAAGGGAAAGTCAATAGTAGCACTGTAAGATAACAAGCATGTCATAAGATGGTGACTGAGGAAGGCAGTCATGAAAAGTAAGTCGATGTTCAGATCTGAATGGGTAAAAAAAGCATATGAAAGGCAGGCTATCCTCTGAATATTGGCCACATATTATGGCGGCCGAAAACACACCCTGACAGGGCCTCAGTCACATGTAAATTGCAGACTTTCTGCAACTTAAATTGCAGACCAGCGACTATACCGCCACCACCGAGAGTATCTCGGGGCTTAACTAGATGGCTGGGAATCACAAGCAGCAGCTTCCGCATCTCCTGCAGCTTTGCTCGTGAGTCCCAGCAATCTAGTTTAGTCTCGCTCCGCACTGTGCATTAGCAGCACGAGAGATACTCTCGGCGGTGGCGACATAGTCGCCGGAAGTCCGCAATTTACACATGACTGATGTCCTGTTTTTGGCCGCCATAATATGTGGCATTATTCGGAGGATAGCCGAAAGGCACAATTACATTTCATCACATACGTCTACACACATGTGCATGCAGGAGAAAAAAGATAATAAACGAGCCGACCAGTTGGTACCAATGCCATCTTTAAGGTGGGGACATGAGACACTATAACCAACTTTTCATGGAAACCACTATAGGTATAGGTACCTTGGAGGGGCTGCTGTACTGAAGGATTGAGCAGACATGTGAATGCTCAATGTGCAGTGAGATCAACTGTGATAATACAACAGCAGAATGTGCTAAAATAAAGGACTTTTGGAGAAAACAACACTGCAATAAATGAGAAGAGGAAGAAGAAGATCCTACCTTATTATAGTGGATAACTTTTCTTCTCCTGCTTCCTTGACTCCGTTCACATCACTGGCATTGGATAATAACCTCATATACAATGGCTTTCTGGGAGTGGGCTGATCAGCGTCTGCCAACAGAGCTAAGCAGTTGATGTCAAATGTCACCTTGAACCCTGAGAAATCTAATATTCTGATTGGTTCTTCTAGTCCACTGGCAATCCGACCTGTAATTAAATGCATTTAAGGGAGGTGACGACAGATGTTACGAGGAGTGTGAATTTAACAGAAATAAAACCATATTTTATTAATGATGGTTAAGTATATAAGGTGCACTTTTAATATGTTAATGCAATAGCAGGGAATCCTGAAGTGTAAATGTACAAATGAGAAAGAGGCTGAGGATGTAGAGATGTGATTTCTAAATTGTATGCTGCTACAATATGACTGGTTCTTGTTTTAATTTATTAATTTTTGCTCCAAAAGATGCACAGGACCAATTTTTAGAGGATGTCTAATATTTTGGTCTATAAAAATATAAATGTATTCTTTTCATAATACATTTATATCTATTTGTTTCAAATAAATTTGACACTCCCAACAAAAACAGTCTGCTGAGCAATCTAGGGTTACTTATTCATACCTGTTAATCTCTCATCCAAAGGCACTCATTTGGGAACTTATAAATATTTTATAATAATTTATATCATCATTTATTTAAAGCATTAATGTCAAAAATATTATTTGTTCAAATTTATTTATTTAGACATTCCTTAATTTTATAATCCAACACATCCTTTGTGTGCTCCAGTGGATAAACAGACGATGGCAGAATATCTTAAAGCATAAATTGTGGGTAGGGTTATATTATGAACATCCTGAAAAATCATGTTAGGGCTCTTTTAGAGGGTTGGGTCTTAGTTTTTTCAAGAAACATGGCATTACCTTGAGTAACAATAGAAACAAATGATTCCCTAGCAAAAACTAATAAGAGCAGAACATAAGAGAGAGACTGTTCTCTGGTCATATAAGAACACCAAGGCATGTAGCTGACAGAGAAACAGAAATCAGATGTCAGAAAGCAAGTGCACTTATATACCAAGTGTCATCATTATTAGGACATCCAAATATAATTATGAGGGTGAAGAAAGAGATTACAAACAGTATATTCATTCCAACACTGAGCTACCAGTGCCAAACATAGACATTATCTAAAGTTCATGTACACAAATTCACCACATGTGAAGTGAGATGCCTCAGAAAAGCTACCAGAGTATGTATGTTGTACCTTGTTCAGATTCATTGGGAAACAGGAGATCAAGTGGTTTGACAATCTCATTAGAATGCAGCAGCATCAAATACCATCACAGGCACCACATCTCAGAAGATCAGCTCCAAGAGCAGGAGACAGCCAAGAAAAGTATAGATGAACAACACTAAAGACACTCTACGCCTTCCGAGCATGACAATAGCCAGTGTCAGCCAGCATGCACTGGATAGCAAACTATACTTCCACCCCGTTTTTCTACCACAGCGCTTAATGGCGGAAGTGATTTATGATGATCATGATGATGACCATGGCAATGGGAAATGTAAATGGCAGAAGAGTTCTAGAGAGGAAAGATGCTATATGGTCCAAGATGATGACAGAGAGGAATATAATCAACAGAACTAATCAGGAGCACCAATGGCCAAGATATAGGGGAAGACTAGAAGTATATGATGATGAGTAAACAGAAGAACTATTTGTCAAAATACAATCAAAAATTAAGAATGTGGAGAATATTGCCAAGTCAAAGAAAGAAAGAGAAAGAAAGAAAGAATAGCAAAGGACAATCCTGTTAAAGTATTTTCAGTGACCAAAGTATAAAAACAAAATATACTTTCATACCAAAGCAGAGAGGCACAGACCGCAGACTTGTATGCTGAAAGTTGGATTTCTGTTTCACTGTGCAAGTGAAATGCACAAATAGTGGGACTGGATCACACTCCACCGAATCTGTGGATACGTTTCCTTCAAATGACCCCAGAGATGATTCATCATGGTTGGATTCCATTGAGGTTCCCACGGACATTGCCTGATTGCCACCAGGCAGGGAGAGAACTATGTCTTCATCCTTCGCTCCATCTGCATCATATTCTGTTTAAAAAGACAAATATATCCATGAAGAGTAGTCCACTGTTTCTGTCTATATTTAAAAGACCTAACATGTCAATTCTAAAAGCATTAGCGCTAAAACTATTTGAATAAATGGTGAAGATGAATTAAAAGAGCCTTTTAAAAGTTGCTGACAAAATAAACAACGTAAAAAACTAATGAGAAAGAACTTGTTGGATATGTATAGACAGATCTTGTTATATGTACCCATTTAACAAGTAGACAGAACTTGTTACATATGTCTATCAGCCAAACCGACAGAGCTTGCTGCATGAGTCTATCAGCCAAACCGACAGAACTTGTTACATATGTCTGTCAGCCAAATCGACAGAACATGTTACATATGTTTATCAGCCAAACAGAGAGAGCTTGTTATATGTATCTATCAGACAGACAGACAAAACTTGTCAAATAAAAATATGTCTATCAAACAAGTAGAGCAGAACTTGTTACATGTGTCTATCAGACAGACAGAGAGAACTTGTTAAATGAGTCAATCAGAGAAGTAGAGCAGATATTGTTGCATGTGTCTATCAGACAAACAGACAGAACTTGCTGCATGTGTCTATCAGACAAACAAACAGGAATTGTTACATGTGAGAATTAGACAAATAGATAGAAATTGTTACATGTGTGAATCAGACAAATAGATAGAAATTGTTACATGTGTGAATCAGACAAATAGACAGAACTTGCTGCATATGTCTATCAGCCAACAGACAGAACTTGTTACATGTGTCAATCAGACAAATAGATAGAAATTGTTACATGTGTCAATCAGACAAATAGATAGAAATTGTTACATGTGTCAGTCAGACAAATAGTTAGAACTTGTTACATGTGTCAATCAGACAAATAGATAGAACTTGTTACATGTGTCAATCAGACAAACAGATAGAACTTGTTACATGTGTCAATCAGACAAATAGATAGAAATTGTTACATGTGTCAATCAGACAAATAGATAGAACTTGTTACATGTGTCAATCAGACAAATAGACAGAACTTGTTACATGTGTCAATCAGACAAATAGATAGAAATTGTTACATGTGTCAATCAGACAAATAGACAGAACTTGTTACATGTGTCAGTCAGACAAATAGATAGAACTTATTACATGTGTCAATCAGACAGACAAACAGAACTTGTTAAACGTGTCTGCTAGACAAATAAACTAACTTGCCAAAGGCAACTATGAGATAATCTTCACTAAACAAACAATACAAATCTCTGAAACATAAGAAAAGGTGAAATGAGCAGAAGATACCTGCATCGGCTGTGTTACCATCAGAGTTGTTTCCAGGCCCATCCAGAGCATCCTGCAAAACACCCAACACAATCTATTCCAATCACAGAAACAACAGTAGTAACAGATATGCTGCTGTAAAGGCAGGTAAACATTTTTCTGCAGGCACAGCCCTCTCAAATTATCAGGTTGGCTCTGCATGTGGGTTTCATGGCCCGGTTGTGGAGAAAACAAAAGCAGGCCCACTTGCCTTTCCAAAAAGCATGTTGTTAGAGTTGACTAATAGGGAATTTCTTTTGAAGCAGGACTGTATCTGCCTGAGAGGAATTCAGTCTGCACACAAATAAGTCAGATCTGTAAAACATATGTGCATACGATACCCAGATTCTGAAAATTTACTAAACTCCAGAGGTGAACGAACAACCAGAATTTTCTGGCAGAGTTTGAAGCTGGTGAATGTGAAAGAGACAAAGAAGAAGATCAGGTTAGCTTCATACACACTGTCACAATTTAACATTATTTTGTAAGAGCTAAAGCTAAAGTTTAAGCTTTCTAATCCACAACCAGTCTGGGTTTTTTCCCTCTTCTTTCAAACTTGATATTTGCTCCCAGGTCAACCCGGCCTAAAATGGGTACCAGGTAATACAATAGGAAGTAAAGACGGTTGGCATGATACTGACCCCATTACCCAGTAGTTTCCAGGTGGTCTATAAAACATGTGAGTCTAATAACACATGCCGCAATGATCCACTAGCATTAGGGGAAAAAAGGCTCTCTACTTTTAATTTTAATTTTTTGGTTGAAATCTAGCAACCCTGCTATAGTAACTCTCAATCTCTCTCTCTCTCTCTCTCTCTCTCTCTCTCTCTCTCTCTCTCTCTCTCTCTCTCTCTCTCTCTCACTCTCTCTCTCTCTCTCTCTCTCTCTCTCTCTCTCTCTCTCTCTCTCTCTCTCTCTCTCTCTCTCTCTCTCTCTATCACTCATACATATAATTCAATAGTACAATTTGTTACAAACATAAACATTTATAGAGTACAACTTCTTATAAATGAACATCTAATATATTTAAGTGCAAGTTGTTATAAACAAGTACACAGTGATAGATAGTAACACTTGTTAAAAACATATAGTGGTATACAGTAAAATGTGTTATAAACATATAGTGGTATACAGTAAAATGTGTTATAAACATATAGTGGTATACAGTAAAATGTGTTAGAAAACATATAGTGGTATACAGTAAAATGTGTTATAAACATATAGTGGTATACAGTAAAATGTGTTATAAACATATAGTGGTATACAGTAAAATGTGTTATAAACATATAGTGGTATACAGTAAAATGTGTTATAAACATATAGTGGTATACAGTAAAATGTGTTATAAACAAATATAGTATTACAAAATTCAACTTGTCATAAACAAATATACTGTGTTATAGAAGATAAATTCAACATGCTATAAGCAAACAGACAATTCTATAGAGCATGTATACACCATGTTTTAAGTTAACAGACAATTCTACAGAACCAGAAAATACCATATTTTGAGGAAACTGACAAAGCTATAAAACACACTATCTTATTCTAAGCATACAGACAATTCTATAGAACATTCAGGAACTTGTTGTAAGCAAACATATAGTTTTATAGAACAAACATCTATAGGACATACCATCTTGTTCTAAGCAAACAGACAATTCATTAAAACATAATGGAACCTTGTTCTAAGCAAACAGACAATTTTATAGAACAAGCATACACTTTGTTCTAGGCAAACAAACAATTCTGTAGAACATCTATACACCTTGTTATAAGTAAACAGACAATTCTATAGAAAATATATATGCCCCATTTTAAGCAAACAGACAATTCTATAGAACATGAAAATAACATATTTTAAGCAAACAGACAATTCTATAGAACATACTACCTTGTTCTAAGCAGACACACATTTCTATGAAACATACATACACCTTGTTTTAAGCAGACATACAAATATTTTAAAAAACAGGCAATTCTTTAGAACATACATAAACCTTATTATAAGCAAACAGATTAATGCGTAGAACACACCATCTTGTTCGAAGTGAACAGCCAAACCTACAGAACATACACAAACCATGTTCTGAACAAACAGACACTTCTGTAGAACATACATATATCTGGTCCTAAACAAACAGACAAATATGTAGAACATTAATTAACCTTGTTCTAGGCAAAGAGGTAAGTAGGCAGAACATTCATATACATTGTTCTAAGCAGATAAATTCATAGAACATATTACTTTGTTCTAAGCAAACAGACAATTACACAGAACATATTTAAGCCATGTTCTAAGCAAGCAGACAATTCTGTATAACATCTATACACCTTCTTCTAAGCAAATAGACAACCAGAATTGTTTACAGAGACAAAAGATGACCAGACTAACCCCTGAGTTCAACTGAATGACATTCGGGCAATAGAAGTAGAAATCTGGCAGGCTGGGTACAGGCCTTAAACATCTCCCTATGGCCTCAAGGAATTTGGCTTCCACATCTTCCTTCAGGAGGTTGTACTCCTTTAGTTGCTGGCAGCGATCTGGTGATAAACTTGCCCACTCCTCTTCAGTAATCTCAACAGACTGTGTTGGCAGTTGTAAAACATCTGGCAGTCGAGGGTTGTCATCCTCCCTGTTAAATACATTATAGTTAAAAGATACAATGTGTTAACTTTGACCATCTGTAATAAATCAATATGTACTTAAAGAAAAAAAGCATAGAGACAGAAGCACTCATTAGACAACATAAAAGTCAAAAGCTATAGTTACCATACTGGGAATCAAATCTGTTATCTTAAAATGAAATCAGCAACTTGAAAAGATATCAGTACCTCACTGCAGGAACAAGTGTACTTCAACACATGACCAGCTCAACGCGCTTATAAAAGGTGTGACGTCATTAGCCAGGTCTATCATACAGCATCTACCGACAACTATGGAATACTGACATAATTCATTCTGAACCACCGAAATTAGCACCAGAGATTATACAAATTCATATTAACCAAACATAGACCATAATGGAAACATAAAAGAGCAAGAGTGTAACCCACCATGATTGCTGTAAGGAGCAAATAAAGAGGGCTGTCATGGGATGGCTATCCCTTGTGCAAAAAATTAACCCTACTGCCCATGAATGCTTTAAAAAAAATGGTCAGAACCCATAGAATTTCCCTCCAATGATCATTTTAAAAAATTAATAAATGAACACATTACACAGGGGAGCTTCTTCTTCTTTTTCTCTTCCACTTTTTACCTCATCGAAGTGTCGGGGGGAGATGTAATGTTCGTTGATGAGCTCTGTCAAGAGCACTATTAAGACTGATGTTCATTTCTGTAAGGCTGTTCTTAATGCCATCACTCCATGTTTTCTGAGGTCTTCCATTCGTTCTACAGGGGAGCAAACACATTTTATTTGCGGTGGGGGTGTGGGGGTGGGGGGAGGGGGGGTTATTTATATATGTTAAGAGAAAAGAAATCTGAAATATATTAAGATATATAACGGGATAATCAATAAACATGAACAGAGTGAGGCATTGAATGGAATATATTCTCCGGGGCATAATAAACAAAATATAATGGGTGACTCATACCACGATCCCATGCCCTCTATCACCGAGGCTCATGGCAAAAATTTGTCATTAACTTCTCTTTCAAAAAGCTACTGGAGTCAAACTAAACGCTATGTTTAGTTGCTACATTCATATCCTATGCATGCTTTTTCAGTGACTCAATGAGTATGCTTAGGAAGATAGAGAAGGGCTGGATCTGAAGGCAGTGGTTGGTGGCTCTATAGAATTCATGGCTGACAAGGATTAGTTTCATTTTTGTGCCAGGACATGTAGGGGTACAAGGAAATGAGCAAGCTGATAGGCTTGCAGGTAAGGCTACTGTGAAAGCCGGACTAGCCATGGACCAGGCTGATATACTGAATGCTCTAAGACAGTTGAGACATTTGTATGATCCAACTGAGAACTGTGAATCTGCAACCATGGTCAGACTGCAAGAACAACATGTTAAACTGGGTGTCACCAAACAAGTACACTATGCAGGTAGTCAAAGAAGAAGAATAAACCAACACAGAACTAGTGTCGTTAGCCGCTACACGCTGCGGGATTTACTGAGGAGGGGATCCGAGCACTTACAGACTGAGTGGTTCGACATGCAATGAGGATAATCTATCGACTAACTAACTATTTATATCCTATCCTATTAAACACCGCATTGGTGCACACAGGACCAACGGAATTTAACTATGCTTTTCGACAACAGGTCATTGAAGACCTAGCCACATATTAGCATTTACAAGTAACATGTGGTTATCAGAAGTGACTGGATTAAGGCTTCTAGGGGCAATAGGGTAAAGCTGCAAAATCAGACTACTCAGGAACAAGTCTAAGAAGGGTTTGGTTTGAGCTGATTTTAATGGGTCAATGTTCAAGTGGAAAATGAAAAGCGGAATATGTGCAGAATGTCATCATGAGGCAAGTAATGTTCCATAGATTTATCATAGCTGTAGCTCACTACACTTCCCCCCCTCCCGGTTTGTCCACAAGTGTAGTGATCAAGAACAACTGTATTTCAAGAACACTGGGTGATCGGCACCAGAGCAACTGTATTACTTCTTCTGCTGTTGTCCTACTGCTTATGCCGTAAAGTGTTGCAGAGAAGAGTTAAATGTAGTTTCCTGTCTTTTGCTAGTTGTATAGTTTGTGTTAAATGTCATACTGCTTTCCTGTGGTGTCTCTTTTGCTCCCTTCAACCATCTTTTTCTTAGTTGGCATCTTGCCTTGTAGTTTTCTTTTTTTATGTAGTAAGCTCTAGCTGCTGGCTGATTTTTTTCCCCTATTCTGACCGGACGATCTAACTATTTGATTCTCTGATGCTCTGTGAAATCATTTACCGATACTGTGCCTACCATTGTTTCTAGTTCTTCATTGATGATTACACCATGTTTACTGTTGTAAGTTAGCTGTTAAAAGAATTTACGTTAAAGCCAGATTATCTGTGTGCTGACAACCTTTCGTGCCATTAAAAAGCATGTCTATTTTTTGTGTTTCTCTGTCTCTTCGCATAAATGTCTGTTGATGTCACATGTTCTCATTTTTTTCCCTCATAATGTAGGAAAAGAATGGCCTTATAATGTGGCAAAGTATGACCAACTACCAATGCAGGCACTACACATGAAAAGATTTGATGTGAAAGCAAGAGGTCACCCTAGGAGAATATGGACTGATGATGTTAATGAGCTTCAACACTGACATTGAATGACAATAGCCATTGCTACCAATTAGGCAACAGATCACAAACTGTTCCTCCCCATGACACTTAACAGCAAAAGTGAAAACTGATGAGAATAACTATACATATATTTGAGGTGCAAAAAGCATGAAATGGGTTTTTTAGGAGGAAGAAGGAGAACAGTGTCACAACATGGAAGGCAACATACTTGTGTACATCAATATCTTGGAAGCGAACAAAATGCTGTTTATGAAAGATAGCTCCCTCCTCGTGGCATCTGTCCTTAATTCTGGCTTTATTCACCAACTGCTGCATGTGTGTGCAGGAGGCCAGCAGGAATGTGGTCATATCTGTTTCCAAGGGATGTGACTCTTCACAAATGTTGTTAATCGCAGAGTCTACATCTTGACTGTCCACAAAATAGCTTTGCTGGAGGCTCAGAAAAACACCTGCGTGGTGGAACATCAATCAATCAGTAGGTAAGGAAAGAAATCAAAATTAAAGATATGATAAACATTCTGCAGATCTCCTACAGTTTAGATGTCTTCTTCTTCCCTGCAATTACTGGCTGTAAACTCGGGCAGAAAGTTCTGGTTGTTCGTCCACTTCTGGACTTTAGACTTGGCCCAGAACTTGAGTTTTCTAAGTATTTTATCCTTACTTCTCACAAAAGAGCTGAAGTAGTTTATCATTACCTCTAACAAAAGAGTTGAAGTAACCTTACCTCTCGAAAAAGAGAGGAAGTATATCATTCTTACCTCTTACAAATGTGTTGAACTAAATCAACCTTAGCTCTCACAAAAAAGCTGAAGAATAACTCATTCTTACCTGTCACAAAAGAGTTGAAGTATTTAATCCTTACCTCTTATAAAAGAGTCAAAGTATTTCATCATTACCTCTCACAAACGAGTTGAAGTACATCTCAGTTATCATCTTGCAATGCTCCCTGAATGACTCCATCCTGTATGAATTACTGTCAGTTGACCGGCGGTCCAGTGAGGATCGCCAGGAGTCTCTGTCATCCTGG